TGTGTATCCCCAGCAAATTAGGAACAGAGGAAGCCGGTCCCGACAACGAGCCACGCGATGAGTCAAAAGGCGTTGGATCGTAGCGACCGTTCAACTCGTGTGGTACCGTTCGGTCGGGCGACTGTGCTGACGGCAGCGGCGGGGAGGAGACAGCGTCTTGTCTTAAGGAGTGTTCCAGCGTGGAAGACGCAGCGGCGGCAGCAGCAGCAGCAGCGAGATCTTTCTTCGACGCTTTCCCTCGTTTCTTTCGTTCACGGGCATACTCGCAGGCGAGACCGAATTCTGATCCAACCTCAGCGTCAATACCTTGGTACCTAGTTATAGTCGTTACCACAACTCTAACTCACCGATACAATGTGCACACGGGTTCTGGCCATCGCACTTGGTTCTCAGCTGGTTACACTGATCACAGGCGCGACTGATCCGACGACGAACGGACGTGGAGTTCTTGCGGATCCCAGAGCGCGAGTCGACAAGCAGATCCCGCTGCGAGGAGGCTGCCGGCTTGAAGGCCAACCGGTTCTCGTCCGACTGGCTGTCAAGGTCTAACGGGTCGAGCTGTTTCTGCTGCGGCGGCGGCCGCCGCCGCTTGGGGTCTGCTGCGGCCTCGCGCGACAACTGCAGCTGCTCGAGGGCGTACTGGGAGCCCTCGGCGAGGGTATCGAGGCCGGGAGTCTGCGAGGGAGTCTGGGAAAAGGCCGTGGCCGAGTAGGAGCCGGCGAAGCGCTGCAGCGAGGTCGACATGAGGTCCGACAGGCAGCAGGCCGTGAGGGCCTTGAAGGACTAGAAAAAAAAAAAAAAAAAGAAGAAGAAAGACCGGAACTGCTCGAATCCTATTCTGAGAAGATGGAGGGGGTGATAGAAGACGGTGAGCAAGGACAGAGGAAAGTTTGGCGGAGAGAAAAGAGGCTTGTTTGTTGGGGGGGCGTGGGAATTAGGCGAGATTAATCAAGTAGGCAGGTTGAAAGAGGAGTCGCCACTGGATTGGGTGTCATCTAACCAGCATATCCAGTTGAACTATTTGATTCCAGATCAAGACCAGCCTTCTTGTCAATTGACAGAATGAGAGAACAGGAAAAAGCGTGATCAGCCCATGGAGTTGGTTTCTCCAGGTGGGGAGGAACTGTGGAGAAGCGGGGATATTATATGGAGTGCATGATATTATCCTGACTTTGTATACGGAGTACCTTGTATAGTAGTAAGCATTCAAGTGCTTTGAATATGTCTGTACTTGATATAACACTCTGCGAGTCTAATATATCAAATCTCCAGTTCATCGATAAATTAATCCTGTATTCTTTAATGTCACAGTGTTTCTGGCTGTCTTAACTCCTGGTTGCTAGCTAAATTAGCCCGGTAGTAAGCGATCCGGTGGATAGACGGCAGTTGGACCCTTGGGAGATGCAATGACTAGTTATGTACAGCTACAGGACATAATATGACTAGGTGAGAATAGTAAATAAATAGAAATAGCATTATAATCATGACCAACACTACATACTATAGTTACTATTACATACTATTTACTCTACAGGACAAAACAGGCACCGGAACACGTGGAGGCGAAGAATCACCTGATGATTTAGTCATCTGACACTGCCGCATCAAACCTTAAATTGTTTCCGGAAAAGGCAGGCGCGATGGATTCCTCCAGCCGAGGAAGGTGCCGTTAGTGATTAGTCACCATCAGAAATATCAGTATTGCTTCTGCTTCTCCTTCTCCTTCTACTCTGGCAGCCATCGCTCAGTAAAATCGAATTCATCTTGACTAGAAAGGACATGACAATATTTATTGGTAGATCGCATGATCTCATGGTCCCACGTGAGCCACGTGGGCGTATCTGTATAGAGAGAATAGTATAACATATAGTACAGATGAGACATACCCAACGCCAAATATGCAATGATGTACAGTAGGTAGGGAAGGGAAAGCAGAAAACAAAAAAAAAAAAAAAAAAAAATCATGAGAAGAAATATTCGCTGTCGCGGATTCGACTGACGTCCCAGTCGCCCTTGGCGGGCACCGCGGGAAACCGCATGGGCAGCCATAGCGGCACTGTGTTGGCGGCACTGCCCTTGGCCCTGCTCTTGACGGGAGTACTAGAACCCAGGTCGGCCTCGTCGTCGTCCATGGCCTCGTCTGCCAGTTCAGCCTCTTCGTCGAGGTTGCTGCTGCTGCGCTTGTTGTCGACAACAGAGGCGTCCGCCAGCGGGCCCATCATGGTCGCCAAGGCCGGGTCCTCCGGGTCGACCAAGGTGGTGATCGGCCGCCGTTCTGCGGCGGCAACGTCCTCGGGGATGTGGCCGATGCTGGATTCGCCGATCGTCTTGGAGCTGACCAGGTCGGCGTCGCTGCCCGCAAGGCTCTCGAAGATGCTGGCCGGCGTCACCATCGCCCGTCCCTGCGCTTGCAGCTCCGGTTCCTCCGACCGCAGGAGCCGCTGTCGCTTCTGCTCCTGCAACAGTTCCGCCAGCTTGAAGCTCCGCGGGCTGTTCGCTCGCCGGTACTCCCGGATCGCCTGGCCCAGCTTGCTGTTCCTCGAGACCTTGCCGAGAAACAGGTGCTTGCCGTACCGCGCATCGAACTCGGCTGCCAGCCGCCCGATAATCGCATCCGAGTGCATGCGGATGAACGCGTCTCGCAGGATCCGGTTCATCGAGTCGACGTCACCCGCATGCGTCCAGAAGGAGTCGTGGACGGCAGAGAACGTCAATCCTTGCCGTTGGCACTCGTTGGCCGACAGCAACATGTGTGTCGCGTCCAGCGAGTGGATGAAGTTGGGCGGGAACGCCTGCAGCTGTCGCCGCCGGTTCACCACGTCGTCCGTGCTCCAGTCCGCGATACTGATGTCTTGCAGACTCGTCGTGATCCGCCGTGTCCGCCGGGTGCGGTAAGGCTGCACCACGGGCAGGCCCAGTGGGGTCGTCCAGATCACGGTCGACCGGAAACGCTGCGTTGGGTCCTTGGCCTTGCGACCGCTAGACGCGCTCAGCGCCTCGCGCGACATCTCGTCGATTTGCGCTGGCGCCAGCGACTGCGTGATCCGGTTGACGCACTCTCCCAGCCAGTACTGGATCGCGTGCGCCCCGTTGAACATCGATCCCAGCGCTTCAAAGATCTTGCGCGCAATGTAAAGCGCTCCGTTGCGCGCCGTCTCGGACGTCAGCTCCGGGTAATGGTCCGCCAGTTGCCGCCGCACCTGTCGCATCGCACCGATGAAGGTCACTCCGTACACGTTGGTCATGACCGTCTGCTTGACCACCTTTCGCGTCACTTTCCCGTTCAAGAGCTGCGCCAGCGCGTTGCCCTGCGCTGCGTCCTGCGCAATGGATGCCTTCACAAACTCTGCCACACCCGTGTACACGTCCGACGGTCGGTCCGACGGTTCCAGATTGACTTGCTGCGCACCCGTCAGATCGCCGCCCAGAGCCGCGTAGTGCTGCAGTCCGTTGCATGAGCCGTCCTGGTGGATCGGCAGTCGGGACAGATACTGCGTCGGATCGTCCAATCGCAGTGCGTTGCGCAGCTCGCAGCACGCCGCCAGGCACTGCCAGGGGTCTTCGGCCTTGAGCCACCACCGCTGGCCGTGCAGCCCGTTGTTGGCCGAGTCCAGCACGTCGTTGAGATGGTCCATGGTGAACTGTTCGCGCTCCGAAAAACTTGCCTTGTCGTATCCGAACACGTTCGCCAGCTGAATCTTCAACCACCGCAGTCCCTGAACGCCCAGGGGCTTGGCTTCGCTGAAGAGAAGGAGACCACGGCTGTTGTCGGCGCCCATCTGGTTGAGGTAAGGGGGCAGAGGGTAGGCTCGGCCACGGAAGTCCATGTTGTGCGGCAAGTAAAAAGTCACGTTGCGGTAGGCGCGCGCGACCTCCATCTGAAAGTTCTGGAAGCATCGATTCGAATGGAAGCCTGACTTCAGATTCTCAATGTCCCGGACCTTGTAGTTCCACTGTATCTCCGCCTCCCGACCGTCCTCGGGACTAGGCTTGGGCGGGTGCTGCAGATCAGGCTCCGAGGGAGCCAGGTTGGCAACCGCCTTCCCAGAATTCCAAGCCTCGAGCATCACATCAAAGACTTCCTTATTGATAACCCAGCCAGTCTGCCCAAGCACATCAAGCCCGGCGCGCAGGTGTTCCAGGCCATGGTTCTCCATAGCCGCCTTGACGTACTGCGGCTGCAGGATCTCGGCCGGTGTCACACGCAGCAGAGCCGTGTCGTAGTGATAGTAGCCACCGCTCTTCAAGCCTTTCCACGGTTTGGGTTTGCAGATCATCGGCAAGTGGCGGCAGATCAAGCTGGCGGAGGGCTCCTTAGCGATCATCTTGACCAGGTCCTCGTGCAGGTGCATCACACCGGAGCGCTTGCCCCAGTTCATGATATATCCGTGGTGGAAGGCCGGCTGTGATGTCGTGATGGGAGTTTTGCTGGCGGGATCGATAGCTGTCACGGTGATTCTCGCAGTTTCGTAGAGCAAGCTCATGAGCACGGCGCCGACCTTGACGATCACGCGCGGGGGCCAATCGACATTGGGGTCGCCCTCCTGCATGGTCTTGAGGATACGCTTCCAGCTGGGAGCTGCCTTGGTCCTGCGGGAAGACAAGACCCATTTCAGCATGTTGAGCTTTTCTGGGCTAGCTGCCGCATTCTTCTCGAGGGCAGATACTGCAGCCATCTCGTCACGAATATCTCGGCCGATGATGGAGGCCAAAGTCGAGAGCTTGACGCCGTTGCCCATACCCTCTTTGCTGAAAACGTTCCACACATCAAGAATCGTGAGGGCAGCCAGCTTGTCGGCGCTGAGTGCCCGCAGATAGACACCATATTCGCAGCGTTCTCGTTCCGTAATCGAGCGGACGGTTTTAGCTTCGGCTTCAGCGACCAACTCCAACTCTTGCTCCAGACGTCCAACGAGCCTGGTATGCCATTCGTGCATCAAGTTATTTACTTTAATTCCACCATTGGTCATATCCATGCCGGATTTTCTGCGATCGGCGTATTCCTCACGCCACCGCTCGAGGGCAGAACTCAGAGCATCCGCCTCAAGTCTGCGCTGCTTTGTTTGCATGTACAGTTCGTGTTGTTCGGGGTCGGTATGGTCGATATCCAAGAGCTCTTCCACCTCGTTGTTACTAGAAAATAGTGAAAGCGACTTCTTCAGCGATGCGAGACCGTGGCCTTTTAGGTGAGCAGCCTGGACCTCGGGAGGTTCGTAGGCTTCTTGCGGGGTTTGCTGCGAAAAAGCTGGTGTTGATGTTAGTTCTATGCTATTGATCGCCACTCGTTGCAGGTCGGCTGAACAGATCTGTTATAGAGCAAAGAGTCATTAGAAAAAATTTTTGCTCTCTCTCTAGACCATACTTTTTGCTCCGCTGAATGGCACATACCTCTGATATCTCTCCGAGTTCCAATTCTGACAAAACGGGTGCTGCAAGAACAAGATCTTCGATATCCTGCTTCTTGGCGACTTCCCAGTACCTTCGGACGGTCCGATCTCGCTTTGAGCCGTGTAGCATACGCAAGCCCATTCTGATCATGATTGCCAGAGTGGTCGCGTCAGGAATGACACCGCCATTTGGCATATCGACCTCGAAGAACTTCTGCAGCGGCAAGACTAGATGCGTTTGTCTCATCACGATCATGTGAGTCACCATGGCTGCCAGGTAGCGATTGTGCAGGGCAAGGTATTGCGGCGAGTCGGCCGGGAAAAATTGACCGAGTCGCTGAATGAGAGACACTGCACGATCGAACCGGCCTACCTTGATAGAGACGTCAAAGTTGGCCAGCATTTCGTCTTCATCACCGCCAATTCCATTAATTTTCCGCAGGATCTTCGGGGTGGTCTGGAGGAAATCATCGAGGATGACCAACGAAGAATTGGGGTCATTGTCACGAATTTCCGAGAGAGGCCCCCACGGCCGAGACTGTTCATAGCTCTCATAGTTGATGTCCGATGGAGAGGTGGTGGAGGTGGTTGTGAAGGGATCATAGCTTCCCAGGCCGACAGGTGAAGCATCTGTAGCCGTAGCGAGGGTGCGATGCGACTGGAACGAGGCACGACGGCGTCGCTCTGTCGACTGAGGCGTCGTGTGAGAATTATCTGTGATTATCGGTCGCACCGGCTGGGCCTGCAGTCGCAGTGTTGTATGAGGCAGTCGAGGCAGCTGCGCCGTTGGCCGGCGAAAGGAGAGCAGAGCATGTTTCTGACGAGCAACGCGGGAAAGCATGGTTCGGAAGGCCGGATCTCAATTAAAACAATAATGGGAATAGATCGAAGAAAGACAAAAGACAATATCGAAGAAATTATACAGCAGAATTAGATGAGAAACATGGAACGACCAGCCTGGACACCGTACGCGACAACAGTAGACGCTGCAGAATGGAAAGAAGACGGGCAAAAAGACGGCAGCGATGGAAATCTCATCTAATATTCACCGTCGCACCGTCCTGCAGATGTCCTTCCAACGGGAAAATAAAAAGCAGGATGAAACGAAGAAGAACTTTTGGAGAGAGGATGGCGAGTCTGCACCGGCAACACACACGACTCGGGCCAGAAAAAAGATTCTCCAGGGGAAGAGCGATAGCGCACGTGATTAGCCCATCAGGGTATCTGTGATTGGTGGAGAGGCCGGCCACTAGCAGCCAATCGGATATTACTAATAACCATGCCTCAGGCATGATATCTCACAAAAGTACCAGAGCCAGCGCATCCATGGATAGTACCAGTAAGATTCTATTGAGAAAGGTCATGACTACACTTAAGCTATCACTGGCTACTCCTCCTCGAAAGACTGTTCCCCCCATCCGTACAATCGCTTCAGGCGATTCGCAAACCGGAGGAGGGTATATCCTTCGATCCGAGACTGGTGAGGTCGATGGATAGTGAGGGATCTCTGGACGTCAAGGTCTTCTGGAGGAAAGAAGGTAAAGACTGATCCAAACTTGGGCATCACGGAGAATTTAAGGTTGGCCATGGCTGCTTCAAAGTCGGCCCAGGCGATGGATCCGCGCGAAACTGCCCTGGAGAAGAGGGTGGAGAAGACCTTGAATGAGGAGGGCTTCACCTTGAAGACCGGCGAGGTTTCTCCAGGCTGGGGCTGAGAAGAAGCAGCCACGCTTGCAGGGGTGATGTCATAGATGGAAGAGTGTTCCGGGCGGGTCTTGAGCTTTTCCTTTCGTTCCTGTACGACCACAGGGCTGGGCGTTTCGGTCACGGACGGCACGGCAAGCTCGGCGGCCTTGGAGAGATTGTCCAGCTTCTCCTTTTGCTGTTCATAGTGAGCGTTGAGCTCGGCCAGGCAGCCTTCATTCAGGTCCTGGTAGAGGAATCCGATCTTGGTTCCGGTCTTGTCGATGATGAATTGGTCCAACGACTTCAGCGCGCCCTCGGCCATTCCGGGCTCCAGGAGGTTAGCGATCGGAACTGCATAGTCGGATAGGTCGATCTCGGTCTTCAGCTGGTCGATCTCTGCCATCAACGCCTTCAGCCTGGGAATGTATGTGTGTCCCTTCTTCAGGTTATTGGGGGGCAGTGGGAACGAGGCGGCCAAAGCCTGGACAAAGCTGGCCGTCACCGCCAAATTCCCAAACGCTTCAAGTTCCTGCTCGCTCATCGTATCCCGCTCGGCTGGGAAAGATTTATGAAGATCGTCCAATTTCTTGATCCAGCTGATAGCCTTGATGGCGTTATTCTCCGGCTGACAGAGGCGTAGTAGGTAATGGTCCTGCGGTTTCTCTCGCGTGAGGGAGTCCGGTTTGAGCTTCATCGTGACCCGCGCAACACCATTGTCGTAAGCTCCCGAGACGCGTTTGAAGTACTTGGAGCCGAATTTGAGTTGCACGTAGCGCTTGAAGATGTTCTGCACCCGGCTGTATTCGAAATGGCAGATATTCGAGATCTCTTGCAGGATAATGCCTCGGTAGGTTCGATCATTCGGTCTATCCTGGAGCTCCTGCAGCAAACGACCGAGATAATCCCAAACAGCGACACCGGCAATAGAACTGTGGATGACTTCGACAAATGCCGTACTGATATATTTGTCGGTGTGAAGGGGCAGGATCCGACCCTTCTCGTCCTGCAGCAGCTCAGGCCGACTGAAGAACCACAAATTGACCACATGTTCCAGGAAGGCAGGTTCCGTGCAACACAGATCAAAGTCATCCTGCAGAGCCGATTTCTGATCCTGCGCACTCGCAATCACCTGGGCGAGGGAGAATTTTTCCGGCTTGGGAACGATCGAGAGCTTCTCCAGAGCCGCACGAGCAACGTCCTCGGGCTTTTTCGACCGGGTGTTGGACGCGCGAGTCGTGGAGCCCATGTCGAGAATGTCCTCGATGATGATATTCAGCGACTGCAAGAGATATATCTGCCGTTGCATGATCAACTCGCCAGTCGTCTGGGGCACGCAGACTCGAGCATTGACCGCGAAAGCCAGATCGGACATCGTCTGCTGATACCTGGCCGGGTCGGTGACCTGCATGCATCGCCCGTAGCTCTGTTCATCCATGAAAAGTGCGAAACAATATTTCAGTTTCGATTCATCGGCATGCCGTAACCCATTATCTCGAATGCTGTTGAAGATGAACTCCGCGTCCCCCTGCTGGTACTGTTCCACGAGCGTCTTGGTCGCTCGATGCTTCAGCATGTCCAGCAGATAGTCCGACTCTGGTTCCGTCACATCGCGCAGATTCCACTCCGGGAGCATCTTGTACACATTTCCCATGGATCGGTCCGTAGGGTTCTTCAACACCTCGCCGTTGGCTGCTCCAGCCTTCATGGCCTTGACGCGTGCACCCTGGCCAAACGAGCGCCATAGCTCCTCAACCTTGGCTCCATGCCTTGAATACTTCCGGACAAGATCTCGATGCAACTCTTTCAAGACTGAAGAAGTATCAGATGCAGATGGATTCATTTTGCAGGTAGAACCGAAGTGATGGAAGGACTGAAGTGCGAGGCCTCTGGGGGATGGTTTGGATACGACAAAGTGAGACTGCTTATCTAAGCAGAACGCAAACAGAGCAATCGAAGGAAGTTATTAGGCATTTGTGTTTTGACTGGGTAGAATAACCCAGATCAAAGAAAAAAGATATCAGCTCTTCTATAATACACTTTTTTAAGATCTATGGAAAGATGGCAAGTCTATCAAGGTCATGTATGATCGTGACTATTCGTAAAGGGGATATATCCAACGGTCTCACCCCTGGGCGTCGTCTTCCGGGCTCTCTTTGCCTTCCTTCTGCCTTTTCCGGTTCTGCTTCATTGCCCAGCCGGTCATTTCGGGACGAGCGGGATCGATCCGCGGCGCGCTCATCGTGTCCAGGTAATCCTCGCTATTGATCGCTGCGTGAAGTTGCGGAAGATCCTCGGGGTGTTGATGGATCATGTAGCTCTCGTAGGTGTGCCACGACTCCTCAGTCTACCCAGTTAGTTCACAATCCATTAGACACCACAGAAGAGCGATGTATGACCTACCTCGGCATCAACCCAGTCGTACGTCTTCCATTTCTCATCCTGCATCTGCTTCAAAAGCTCCAGGTTGCCCGCCGTGACGGCCTCTCCGTCCTCAGCAGCCTTGATCTTGACGTCGATCGCGCGAGCCTCCGTCTCGGCAGAGCGTTCCTCGTCGCCATCCTTCTTGCCCTTGGAGCCTCTCCCTTTCGACATTTCCTCCAATGCATCGATATGGTGAAGCTGGGGGTGTAACTGCACCACCGCAGAGACGGGAGATAAATGCAGATTTTCTATAACATTAGCCTCACACCCATATCCACGCCCATATTTAAAACTCAAGAAAAAAAAAAAAACGTACTCCCCCGAAAAGCAGCAAGCATATAGACCGGATCCCCCTCTTCAGGGATCTTAATCCGCCCCCCCAAAGTCTGTAAACCAAGGTACTCCTTCCGATTCGTCCCTCCCATCTCGACATCACCAGAGCTACCTTCCATCTTGACTCTTGCCGACGCTCCAGCACCTACAGAGCTAAACCCGCCCGCCATGCCGTACCCGCCGCCCTCGCGCGCCGCCCGACTCCGCCGTAACGCCTCGCCATACTGCTCTCCCTTGTCGACATCATAATTGAACTGGGTGTTGATCGGGACGTCGACTTCCACGAGCCCCGTCTCGGGCTTCATTCGGAACGCTGCCGGCTGCTGGCCGTGTCGCTCATCGTAGCCCTTGTCGATCGGTCGGTCCAGGTACTGCAGGACGTACCGGTTGATTTCTGAGTCGGTCAAAAATACATCGTACGAGGAGATTATGGGGTCGGATTCTGCCATTTCTTTTCCTTTTAGCTTGAGTAGCTCAATGGTTTCAAACACTGTCTTCTGTATAGCTTCACTTGTCGTTGAATATTTTTTGATTAGATACCCTCACCGCCTGATCTACCGCCTTGCCCCTCTGAACTGTGGCCTCAGGCATACTTTTTAGCCTCAGGCTTCACTAATACGGAGTACGGAATACGGAATATTCTGTCAGTAGATTACTAGATATAAAGTAAATATTGTCTATTTAAAATTGTCATTCTTCTATGGAAATAATGGAATGATATTTTGGACACCAATAACAAATCTACTGTGCAGTACATAGGATCGTCGCTACTCTTCGTCTTCCTCGGCAACCTGAATTCAATTAGCTTCTGCACAAAAGGAAAAAAAATAAAACAATACAAGCTCAGTAAACTTACTCCTTCGTGGAAATTGCGGCCGTCGGTGGTCGCCTTGATGACCCCGGCGCGAATGCACCAGTCTCCGAAGCGCTCGGGTTTGGCTCCCTCGGTGTTGCGCTCTGCGGCGTAGCGCTTGAGCAGACCCTTCATGATATCGAGGATCTCGTCCTCCTTGATGGAGGAGCGGTAGAGCTTGTTCAGTCGCTGGCCGTGGTACCCGCCGCCAAGGTACATGTTGTAGGCGCCGTAGGCCTTGCCGACAAAAGCCGCCTCGGCCAGCCAGGGCCGGGCACACCCGTTGGGGCAGCCCGTCATGCGCATCACGATGCTGTCCTGGGCCAAGCCAACTTCCTCCAGGGTGGATTCGAGCTTGGAAATCAGGACGGGCAGGTAGCGTTCCGACTCGGCCATGGCGAGACCGCAGGTGGGGAAAGCCACGCAGGCCGAGGAGGACAGCCGCATGCCCGAGAAGTTGGTGTTGTCCAGCTTATACTTGGCCATGAGCTCCTTGACCTCGGCGAGATCCTCGTCCTTGACGTTGGAGATGATCAGGTGCTGGTTACCCGTCAGCCGGAACTCGCCCTTGTCGAGCTTGGCCAGCTCGCGGAGACCCGTGCGCATGGCAAACTCGGCGGTGTCCTCGATGCGGCCGTTCTCGATGAAGAAGGTGAAGTGGTTCAGCCCCTTCTCGTCCTTCAACCAGCCAAAGGTGTCGACGTTGGAGGCGAACTGGAAGGGGCGCGGCTCCGCGAACTTGAGCCCGCCGGGCATCAGATCCTCCACTTTGCCCTTGAACACCTCAACGCCCATGTCGTCGATCGTGTACTTGAGACGAGCGTGCTTGCGGTTCTTGCGGTCGCCAAAGTCGCGCTGCACGAGCATGATCTTCTCGCAGAAGATGTGGGCCTGGTCGGCGGCCACATAGCCAAACATCCGGCCGGTCTGCGGGTAGGTCTTCTTGTTGTTGTGCGTGGCGCCCATACCGCCACCGGCCAAGACGTTGAAGCCTTCCAGGTGGCCGTCGGCTCCCTTGATGGCGATCAGGCCGATATCGTGCGCGTACACGTCCGTATCGTTGTGGGGCGGGATGGCAATGGTGATCTTGAACTTGCGAGGCAGGTAGGTAGGTCCGTACAGCGGCTCGTGGTCGACCAGCGCGTCGCCAGCGACCTGGATCTTCTTGTCATCTTCATCCTTCAGCCAGATCTCGTGGTAGGCAGTGGTCGAGGGGAGCAGGTGGTCGCTGATCTTCTGTGCAACCGCGTGGGTCTCGCGGTGGAAGAAGGACAGTTCGGGGAGAGAGCTGCACATCACGTTCCGGTTGACATCACCACAGGCGGCGATGGTGGTCATCAGAGCCTTGTTGATGGCACGCATGGCGCCACGGAGGTTGCGCTTGACGACACCGTGGAACTGGAAGGTTTGACGGGTGGTAAGCTTCATGGTCTCGTTACCGAAAGCGCTGCTGATATCGTCCATTTGCAGCCACTGGGAAGGGGTGGCGACGCCGCCCGCAAGACGGCAGCGGATCATGAAGCTGTACGCAGGTTCCAGACCCTGAGCCTTGCGCTCGTCTCGGATATCACGGTCATCCTGCATGTACGTGCCGTGGAACTTGGTCAACTGCTGATCGCTGGCAGAGATGGCGCCAGTTGACTCGTCGAGCAGACCCTCGGCAATGGTTCCGCGCAGGAAGTTGGACTCAATCTTGATATCCTCATTGGTAAGCGGCGGGGGCTCGTCCGCAAGACCCTCGACGTTGTCGACTCCCAAAGCTTGCCACAGACGAGGCTCCCACTCAGAGTAGCCCGTCTGGAAGCCATCAGGGTCCTGGTCATCACCCAGGCCGATATCGGCAAGCTTACGACCGCCCAGGAAGGCAACCCGAGCATCAAGATCCTTGGCAGGCTTGTTGTAGTAGATCTTGTCCTCCTTGCGGGGCCAATAGTGGCTATCACCCAGACCAAAGACCGAGAAGTTGATCGAGGACAGGTCGAGATCACCCGAATTCTTGACCACTTCCCACAGAGCACGGCCGTTGACGGGGAACTCACCCTGTCCCGCGGTACTGGTGATGAACACGACGTTCTCCTCAGTGGCCAGATCATCGAGGGGGTACTCATCCATGGCCATCACCATGGTCTTCAAGCCCCTCAAGCGGCCGCGGTTTCCAAGACGCTTAGCCAGGTTCTGAGCATTGCCGCCATCCGAGGCAAACAGGATGGTCAAGGGAGCACCGAAGAGACCCTCGAGGAGCTTCTCATACGAGTCCTTGGCCTTGCGCTTCTGCAGGGCGCGCACCTCCGTGCCGTAGGACTCGGACAGGACAGGGGAGAACTTGGGCTGGCGGTTCATCAGCTGCGAGAGCTGGTTGTCCCGGCGCAGGAACTCCTCGAGCTCACGCTTGATGCGTTCCGAGTCGAGAGAGAACTTGGGTTCGCCCTTGTCGTCATTATCGGGATTCCAACGGTACAGAGGCCAGTAACCGAGGTCGACGGCCTTCTTCGTCTCTTGAAGCACGGTCAGGGCAGAGTCGTTCTCCTGGTGGTATGGCAAGTACGCAACAACCACGGAGGGACCCTCGAATTTTTCGGCTTCCGCCATGGCCTGCAGGACCTGCGTGTAGGAGCTGTAGACAGCCACAGAGGCAACATAGGCGTTGCCATAGTTCATGGCGTACAGACCAATGTCCTTCTTTCTGCGAGTGGGGTCGGCAGCAGTGCGCTCCGAGTAAGGCTGGGAGTCAATGATGAGCATGTTCACGTTGGCGCCAGAAGCCAGAACATGATGAACACCGGAATTTCCCAGATCGTAAGCCCAAGCATCGGAGCCAATGAGCCACTGGGATTCCTGGAAGAAGAGCTGCTTTGAGCCGAGAAGCTGTCTGGAGAGGGTGGATCCGTCATTGGCAAGACGGGCAATCACATCAGGGGCCAGCTTGTTGGACTTGACGGTATCCTTGGCGTTCAAAGCCCACTTGGTGAGCCAGGACTTGACAACGTCGGTCGCGAAGGTGGTCGCCTTGGAGGCTTCCTCAACCTCACGGATGAAGCGCTCGCGGTGCTCCTTCCTGGCGATCAGGGAGCCGAACCCATACTCCGGGCTGGCAGCGATGGTGGAGGAAATACCGGCATCATTGGCACCCAGCTGGTTGGCGATGTACAGACGGTCCCCAAAGAGCTGGTGGAGAATCTTCAGATACGCATTTTCAATATGGGGCTGTTCAAGTGGGGCGACCGCCGTTGGGGCGGTGGGGTTCCCGATCTCGAGATTCTGGATAGGAGACTCGGAGGTGAGGTTCTGAACGACGCCGCGGAGAGCCTGGACGGCAGTGGAGGGCTCGACATAGCCCAGACGGTATCCGACGATCTTCAGCGCACGCCCGGCAGTCGCAGGGGTGACGCTAGACAGGATGTCCATGAGCGAGGGACCCCATCTCGTGGTCTTACGAACCTGCTCAAGAACGGCGATCTTCTCAACCGTGGTGGGGATCGAGCTGACGATCTGGCTTCCGGTCCAGGGTCTGTACAGGCGGGCAGTGATGAGACCGATGGTCTCGAGCTCGCTGTGGCTGGTGGGATCCGCCAGGATATCGACGAAGACACCGGTGGAACCGAAAACAAAGATGGCAGACTTGGCGTCCGAGGGACCGGTGTACTCGACGGCGTGGTAGGTGCGCCCCGCGAGCTTGGAAAGAAGGGACCAGATCTGGGCAGTCCACTCAAAAATGTCTGCCGCGTTCACCGGGCGCACGCTCGAGGCATCCACGGTGGTAGCGGACGAGCTGAGCGCACGACTGTCCGTGCTGCTTGCCCGCCTCGACGAGCCCACCGAAGAGGTATCGACGCTAACCGTGGACGGGATTCCCGAAGGAGTCGTCTCTCCGGAGATGATGGTCTGGGTGCCAGTAGGAGCAATCAAGCCCTCTTCGCTGGTGACAGCCACACGGCCGGACTCCGTGTACAGTGTCTGGGCATCAGCGTGAGCATGAGAAGTAGTGCTTTCGGTCGTGTCAACAAGCTTGCGGACAATCTCCACATCTTCGGGGGAGATGGCATCATCATGTGCGGAGTTGGAAGGATCAAAGAAGTGAATGACACCCTTGCCAGACCGCAGCGCCAACGCATGAGCCGTGAGAGCGATGTCCTGAGCCTCCTGCAGGGTTTCCGAGTGCAGAAACGTGAAACCACACTGGCGTATTGAGCTGATGACGGAGTAGTCGGGAAATGGAGACGGTTCAAGGGCAACGTGAACGACCACGGGGTGGTTCGCTAGACGGTAAAGGTGTGGGATCGAGGAGAGAAGGACCGACGAGGCCGTGACGACAGACACGGTATGGCCTGTCTGGACAGGATGAAATGCTGACAGCAGAGGGTCTTCATTTTCTCTCACGGCGACGACCTGACGGCGAACCCAGTTAACCAGAGGGGAACCCAAGTCTCAACTTTGGGGGATATATTCATACCTCTGGTGTTTTGCTAGAGAGATTGCTGGTTTTGCTCGCCTTCAGGGCCTTGAGGGGCTTGGAGAAGATCGAGTCGGTTTGCAAGGAGGGCTGGACAGAGACGACCAGGTCGCTGAGCAGATATGCGATTCTGGCGACTGTCGTCGGTTAGCATCATCTTCTATATCCAAGCAAGATAAAAGATCATAACAAAAAGAAAAAAGAAAGAAAGAAAGCGATTGTCTTCTGCTCAATGCCCTTGACTCACCAGCCTCGCCTGCAGCAGTAACGGGAGCCATTACAAAAGCCCCTTGCTACTACTGGCTCTGAAATTGGATGTATGTAGTAGTAAGGTATCTCAGCACATCTATGGGACAAGAACACCCCCAGGATCAACAAAAACCACACGGAGATGGAAGATTCAGGAGAAGAGAGCAGGTCCAACTTCCACTGTGTGTTTTCCCCTCCTCAGACAAAAAAAACAAGGCTCTTCCCACGCTTTTGTCCCTTTCTCTCACTCTGCCCACCCCGTCCTCTGGGTTAGAACTGCCTGCCGCTGATTGGCCGACGATCACGACATCGATGCAAACCGCCAGTGCAAACGTTTTGGCGCGGGGGTCCCGTGACCGCCCTCGAGCACGTCATTCACTTAGTAAGTGTAGTATCACTACAAGTAGAGTAAGGTAGGTAGTTATAGTGAGAGATTGTGGGCAATATTGACTATAGTATCATTCTTATGCAGCTGCAATACGCTCTTCCAGCTCAGGAAGCCCTGCTGTCAACTGGGCTAGAGTCATATCAACACTTGCCGTGTCCTCATAGAGTGCCGCGCGGGCCTTCTGTGGCAAGTGGTCCAGGCAGTAATCCCTTTCCCAGTCACCATGAACACCCTGCATCCTCCTTCGACATTCCTGTGACCGTGACCAGAACTGCCTGTTGTCCGAAAATCGGTTGCCAGTAAGGTAAGACGACAGTGGTCTAGCCAAAACATGTCTGCACACCATTCTCGCCCTCCTAGATTTCGTATGGTAGAATAGACGTATTGAGTTGCGGAACATTGTCTAATGCTTTTGACGATCATAGTATGACATAGTCCACAGAATCTGAAGACGATATGATTCCTGCGTATGATGGTAGATATCAGGTTTTGGTGAGGACAGACCATATCGAGTCTGCAGTGGTGTGCTCGGTGATTGAAGGAGGTCGATGATACGGCCCCTACCTCGAAGCGTCAAGGAGGTACAGGGGCATATATCTAGGATGCCTGCGTAGACTGTACACGACTTTTCTAGAGCTTGAGATGTCTGGATTGTTGTAGTCTTGTTCTTGGATTTCCTCCACCAACCTCTTTTCTTTGGACTAGACGGCTCTGGAGAGAATTCATGCCGAGGATGCAGCTTCAGGCATCTCCCGCAGTATGCGCTGGTGTCTGTCTCTAGTCGGAGGAGAAGCTGGTTGCGTACCACCTCTGCACTGTTGACGCACAGGATGGGTGCTCGGGAACGCAGAAGATGAGGGAATGCGAACTCTTCTTGTTTCAACCCCTTGCCGAATAGGCTGAGCAGCCGTTTGCAGCTGAGTGCTAGGCATGCTTGGTCGACTAGAGGGAGACATTCGTAGATCTCGTATAAAATGTCCTCACTGAATGCCAGGAGGGGGATGGTCTTTTTTGGTTTTCTTTGGAGATAGGGGATCTTGATCAAGCTCGGGATTTTATATCCAAGTGTTTTCTCTTTCATCTTTTGGTTTAGTATCTGCGATATTTAGAAGAGTTGAACATAGAAACTTGGAAGAGATAAGCCAGTGTTATATAATGATAATATTTGACACCTTCCCTTACCCAGACTGTCGTGGTAATGATGATTCAATACTTTGATGGCACGAGTTTATCTTGGATGCGGTCAGTAGCACCATGGAAGATCAAAATCTAAAGTTGTGTTCCATTTATCGTATGTTTCCTATCTATAGCTAGGCACCACCGCGGCGTGATCTCCTATCCAAAAGACCAAGTGCCCTGGTGGAAGAGAAAAAGGATGACCCAGGCAAAACCTCTAGCACGCCGTTATACGTCGTCAACAGGACAGACCGTGTCCTGTCAGGGTAGTTAAGACCGTTTGTAGGAAAGCCATGAAACATTAGTTTTGTCATGCAGTAGTTTCCGTATAGTTTCCGTCTGTCCATTTCATCACCACTTATGTAGATCGTCTCGGCATATATAGCAACAAGGAAGAAAAAGGGGAAAAAAGGTGTAAAATGGTTGAGGAGAGGAAAGGGAAAAAGCGGGCAAGAAAAAAAAGATATTTGCCCCTCTTTCCGATTGTACAAAGTATTCCGTACAAAAGGTGAATGGTTGTACAAAGGGGGTGAAATGTACGATACTCAAGGCCAGCTCTTGGCCCGAGTCATTGGGGGGGGGGGGGGTGGGGGGGTGGGGGCGCCCTCGCGGGTTTATAGACAGATGGATCATTGCCGGGGGGGAAAGATACATTGGCAGGCTCGACATTCGAACAAATAGCTTTTTGTTTGTCCGAGTAATAGACCAGGATCACCGGTTTTCAGGCCAAGGTTGCATCTTAACGTTCGCGAGCGGAGCTTCCTCGGGGATCGGTTGCTGCTGCAAGGAGGCAGCCTGGATAACGAACTGTGAGGGCTGTGGAGGACCTGTGCCGGATCTGCGTCGCCGTTCACGCTCCAACGGGCCAGAGAGGTCCTCTGGACGGGCCCAGGGGCGACGGACCATCGTCGCCCAGTTCGGGTTGCCGCTGCTGTCGTCTTCACCCAGCCAGTAGCCGCGGCCGATACCGATCATCAGGCGGCCCAGCTTGCCCTCCCAGCCCTGACCGTCGGGGCTGAAGGTGGAAAACGGCTCGCGGTCAATGTCCGCAACGCTGGCCAACGAGGTGTTGCGGCTGTGGGTGGGGAGCTGCGTATGACGGGGGACCGCAACGTACATCCGCAGAGACTGGCGAGCAAACGCTAGCATGACCAGAACGAAATATGTGCGGATGATCCACAGAGAGCAGATGAAGATGATGCTCTGGAAACTTTCGGGCTGGTAAACGACATTTCCGATCGCATCGCTCTTTTTCGACGAGTCATATTTGGCACTGGTGAAGCCTGCAGTCTGCTCCATTGTCGCCTTACCGGGAGACGACGACGACGACGACGACGACTTGCCGTTGCTGCTATCGTAGTTTTGCGAAATGACCATGAACCACGTCACACCGAACGCGACGGTGTATGCGGCGTTGACAACACTGTCGATCAGGTAGATCCATGCGAGCGCCAAACATTGTAACGGAGACTGTTTCCGGATGTGTGGGAAGAGGTACACGGCGACGGCGAGGACGACGAGCGAGTAGAGATACATGGACAGCTGGACGGGCGAGAGGTGGTATCCGGTCAGCAGCGCCAGCAGGCCGTACAGGCCGCTGATTTTGTTAATCATCATTGATAACGCGATCAGGGTCGCGCCAGTCTCCAGACTCATCACGTAGAGAAAGCTCTATTATTTCAAAAAAGCCAGAGCGTTAGTTTTCCAGCTCCCCCTGGTCTGATCTGACCGTTTGACCGGTCGACTGCATTTGCGCAACGTTACCTCTGGCCGCGGAATGCGGAGGAAGGCGAAGAAGCCCATCTTGACGCCCGTTGGATGCGATCAGAATAGAGTCGCTTGGCTTCAAGAATGGGAGTCGGAGCGAAACACAGCAGAAGGAATGGAAGGAAACCACAGCAGAGGTTGGACGTCGCCAGGGAGGCACGAGAGGCTGGGGATGAGAAAATGGCTGGGTTTGGTTTGGGTTTTGGTTTTGTCAGTCAGCCCGATTGCAGGGGCGAAACTCCGGCTGATCCGCCCGATGATCGTTTGCCGCTGTTGGTGAAGGGTCTATGTTCTACTATTATTGCCAAGGCGGGCGACGTTGGATTTTTATGTGGTAAGATGATTCAGAAATAACTTATGATTGTTTCATAAGTCCAGAAGAGGGATCTTGAGGCGTACTATGGAGTATTTATGCAGAGTTGGTGTACGACGCACCCAATAGCGTTCTGCTTACTCTGGGTACTAGATAATGCAGTGGATTTGGTAGATATTATGTTCTGAAGATCTAATTATTTAGAACGTTTGATGCAAATAACTATCATATCATACAATAAAGTGGTGGTGGTTCGTTGCAAGTAATCCACCAGTGTCAGCCTTTGTTTCAAGCTTGAGGTTCCCGAGATATCCATGGATATAATTCAATAGGAGGTTATCTAGACACGCTAGTTATTGGCGAAAGGTAAGAGTCAAGAGAATATACAGAAGAGAAATGGAGAGGAAAAAAACATAAAGTAGTAGAGGATGATGGAAACAGCTCCAGGCTCCAGCAATAGATTTCCAAGGAGTCGTAGCTGAATACAACAAGGTATCATGATCACACTTAGCAGGCACATCCATCATTTGTCGTGGTCTCCTTGGGGCTAATGTTGACATCGATCACTGTGGAAGGATCTCAGAGTCAGTATCACATCGAAGGAAGAGAAAGGAAGATAAATGTGGGTGGAAGGACTAACTTTGGCTCTCTCCCCGAGCAGCTTCGCCCTCCATTCCCGGCAGGGCTTGGGCGATTCTCCGGAACAGCTGCTTGACATTGTGTCCGACTTTGGCGCTGGTCTCGATGAACATCAGGCCGTTCTTTTTGGCCTCCTCCTCGCCCTGCGCGGTCGTCACCTCGCGCTTGTCGTTGAGATCCGTCTTGTTTCCAACCAGCACAATGATCACGTCGTTCCCTCGCTCGCCGCGCACGTCGTCAATCCATTTCCGAGTGTTCTGGAAGGACTTGGCGTTGGAGATGTCGTAGACCACAACGGCAACGCTCGAGTCACGGATGTAGGAGGGAATGAGAGACCGGAACCGCTCTTGACCGGCAGTATCCCAAAGCTGAAGTCGAACAGTGCGGTCTTCAAGGTACATGGTCTGGAAGGTGGTTGTCAATATTGGGGACCAGACAAGCAAGTGTCAACCTGCATACCTTTGACAGAAAATCGATACCGATTGTCGCTTGATAAGTGTTATCGAATGAGTCGTACATAAACCGTGTGATCAACGACGTCTTTCCCACTGTTCGTAACTGTCAGTCTATCCCATTCACAGGCCATGGTCTATGACATCCATACCGCTCTGTTCTCCCAGAAAGACTAGCCTGTGTCACCCAATTAACCAAAAATATCCATAACCCCGATTCGGCCAGAGCAATAGACATACTTGAATTTCTTCAACGGGTTCGAATACGACCCTACCCCCGACGTGGAAGCCATTGTTCCAGCAGTGTGTGGTGTTGTATTAGGGGTACGAGCACCGATCCGCCGCGAGACAAGCGCTCAAAAGATCCGATCAATGACTGTCTTTCCACAGATATACAAGACAAACTAGAGAGCCTGTTTGTTGAAAAGCCGACCAGTCGGCCAGAAATGCACACCGTTTCCCAATGAGTTGCGACCGAACTCCAAGCTGCCAGCTCTCTTGAGAGGGGGGTGGTTCGCAGGCCACCCACCGCGCGCGCGCCCCGGGCGGATTAATCCGGCCCGACTGGCCAGCTGGCCCCCGACTTGCTGAGGTACACAAGAGCAAGAGCAAGAGCAAGAGGCAGTTCCCAGCTAGTTAGGAGGAGCTTCAGCAGCCACTCGAACCCCCGTCGACCCCTCCCCTCTCGCTCTTTTCCTTTTGCAACCCGTCGGTCTCGTCTGTCTCCGGCGACTACAACTTGATCTCTGCCGGCGGTTTCTTTGCAGCGTCCCTGGCTCGGGGTGGAGATCACGATATGGGTCTCTTGTATCCGGCTGGTTTTGTGACCCTGGTGGTTCTGGTGATAGGGTTGTGTGAGTATCTAGTTACTGGCTGGAGGGTCTTTGGGATGGTGGACTGATGTTAGGTCTTTTAGACCTGCTGTTCCGTGGAGATGGCGAGGTGTTCAATGTACGACGTTCCCTCTCGGCTGGGGTTTCCCGAGTCTGTCGCTGTTGCTTTATTAACCTTGAGCTAGGTCGGGTATTTCCTGGAAGCGGTTTCTCCGTATGCGTGGGCGAATATTGGTATTGCGATGTGTATAGGCCTGTCGGTGGTTGGAGCAGCATGGTAAGATGATCTGATGACCCGACATTAAACCTCTCCGTCCATGAATAGATACTAACGCCGAACGACGTCGACTACAGGGGTATCTTCTTGACGGGCTCATCGATCGTGGGTGGAGGTGTCCGGGCGCCGCGGATCCGGACAAAGAACCTGATTTCGATTATTTTCTGTGAAGTTGTGGCTATCTACGGTGTGATCATGGCCATTGTCTTTTCCTCGAAGCTCAACCTGGTCAGCGACGAGGAGCTCTTCTCCGGCAGCAGCTACTACACCGGCTACGCGCTCTTCTGGGGCGGCATCACGGTCGGCATGTGCAATCTGATTTGCGGTATTTCCGTGGGAATCAATGGAAGTGGAGCAGCTCTAGCTGATGCCGCCGACCCCAGCCTGTTTGTGTCCCTTCTACCTTTCTTTCTCGGCTGATTCTGGGCGATCAAAGCTAACTATATGGCTTGCAAATCACAGGTTCGTCAAAATCCTGGTCATCGAGATTTTCAGTTCCGTTCTCGGTCTCTTCGGTCTGATTGTCGGACTGTTGGTTTCCGGCAAGGCCAACGACTTTGGGGCTTGATTAAATTCACGGTGCTCCCAAAGGAGCGAATACAATGGATAGAGAGGCTGGAAAAGTCACGCATGGGGCGTGCACAACAGGTGGGCAAGACACGGCTGTATGAATTGTACTCGAATATCTTCTTTCTCGTTGCTGTCATCTTTCCTATATACACTTTCATGGCGTCTGGCTTCAATGTGAATGTAGAATTTCTTTCTGGGTTTGCGCAAATGGCATTATAACCCCACTGGGTGGTCGGGATCAGTCAGGCGATGTACAGTAATGGATTGAGACGAGACACAGCTTCGAATAATATGTTCACTCAGTGGAATACGTAAGCCTTTCTTGTACGAATTTCTGCTTTGATATTGACCTTGTAATTATGCAGTATTTCCGCGGGCATATCTATCAGAGTCGGCAGCTCCGCCCACCTCTTATCAACACCACCACTACACCTGCTCAAGCAGAGAAACACCAGTTCCCCCGGTTCAGCGCGCATATCCAGTGCACAAAGGGGAAAATGGGGGACACCAAATTACGAGCCGCGATTCTCGTCATCTCAGACACTGCGTCTCAGAACCCTGCGTCGGACATGGTCGCTAAGACGCTCACGACGTCATTCGCCGTGGAGGGGTCAGGGAAATGGGAGGAGCCTCCAGTCTCCAAGATCGTGCCAGACGACGTGCTGGCCATTCAACAAGCGATTTGTGCCTGGACCGATGGGCCGAATCCGTTCAATCTTGTGCTCACCAGTGGTGGGACAGGGTTTGCTGTCAAGGACAATACACCAGAGGTGCGTTCAGATCGAGGAGATATCAATGCGGGGTCCGGAAGGACATCAATCGATCGATTTTGAGTCCTCCACTATTTTTACAAGCCGGATAGAAAATTTACTTACTTGCTATTTCCAGGCGGTATCGCCTCTGATCGATCGTCATGCTCCCGGCATTGTGTAAGTCGATCTTGTGTCCCTTGCCCATGGGTACAACATTAGTAATGTGTACTGTACAGGCATGGCATGCTAGCGGCATCCCTGAATGTTACACCATGTAGGCCAGATCTTGACAAAATACATATATGACGCTAATTCCGACGACAGTCGCAATAATGTCTCGCCCGGTGGCTGGAACCCGGAAGAGATCCTTGATCATCACGTTGCCGGGATCACCAAAGGGTGCCAAAGAGAATCTCGATGCAGTCATCAAGCTTCTCCCTCATGCGTGCATGCAGGCTGCAGGGGCGGATTCCCGAAGTCTCCACGCTTCAGGTGTGAAGAAGTTGGAGGTCGAGGCTGGTATTAGACCGTCTCAACAGCAGAACAATCACCAACACCACCATCACCATAACCATAATCATCATTCTCATGGTCCCGGACACGTTGTTCCCAGAGCACACACCTTGCCCTTGGAACGGCCACAGTCGAATGATCCCAATGCCGGTCCGACAAGACGGCACAGGGAATCGCCATACCCCATGCTGTCGGTCGACGACGCTCTCAAGCTGATCAGCGAGCACACTCCGGAGCCCACCGTGATTGAAGTTCCAGTGACGACTAGTCTTGTAGGCTTCGTTCTCGCCGAAGACATCCTCGCTGCAGAGGCGGTCCCGGCATACCGCGCAAGTATCGTGGACGGATACGCGGTGATTGCTCCCGAGTCGACTGCCGCCGGCCCAGGCACCAAGGGCACGTTCCCCGTGGCATCTGTGACCCACGCAGAAGCCGGGGGTATTCTCGCTCCTCTAGAGCCCGGTACCATCGCACGAATCACCACAGGGGCCCCGCTGCCGCCCAACGCGAATGCAGTGGTCATGGTCGAAGACACCGTGCTGGTTACCACGACGGCAGACGGCAAGGAAGAAGCCACAGTAGAGATCCTCACAAACGCGATCAAACCGGGCGAAAACGTCCGCGAACCAGGCAGCGACGTCAGCCTCGGGTCCCGCATCCTCCAAAAGGGAGACCTGATCACCTCCGTCGGCGGCGAGATTGGGCTCCTTGCCTCGACGGGCACCCGAACCGTCAAAGTATACAAGAAGCCATGCGTCGGCGTACTCAGCACAGGCGACGAGCTAGTCGAACACGACGCCCCAGTCACCCTACAAGGCGGCCAGATCCGGGACTCGAACCGCCCCAGTCTCATCTCCTGCCTGACATCCTGGGGGTTCCCAACCGTTGACTTGGGTATCGCGCGCGACACCCCCGTCGGACAAATCGAGCAGTACCTGCGCGACGCTCTCCGCGGCGTAGGCTCATCCCCTTCAGTGGACGTGATCGTCACCACCGGCGGCGTCTCCATGGGCGAGCTCGACCTGCTGAAACCAACCATCGAGCGCTCCCTAGGTGGGACGATCCATTTCGGCCGCGTCTCCATGAAACCAGGCAAACCGACTACCTTTGCAACGGTGCCGTTTAAACCGTCCTCTTCCTCCTCCTCCCCTTCCACTGGTAATATAGATATACAACAGGAACGCGAGATACGACTCATCTTCTCGCTACCCGGAAACCCTGCCTCTGCACTCGTCACGCTGAATCTATTTGTCCTCCCTTCTTTGCATAAGTTGATGGGAATGGGCCAGCGGGATACAATCTCACCAACACTGTCACCCCCGCTAGGCCTGCCCCTCGTCTCCGTCACTCTCTCGCACCCGTTCCCTTCCGACGCCAAACGAACAGAGTACCACCGCGCCGTGGTGAGTGCGTCTCGTGCCGACGGCCGGCTCTATGCTTCTAGCACGGGGCTCGAGGGCGTGGGACAGCGGAGCTCGCGGGTGGGTAGTCTGGCGAGTGCAAATGCCTTGTTGGTGATCAAGCCTGGGAAAGGCCCTGTCGCCAAGGGGGAGATGGTGGATGCGTTGATGTTGGGGCCGTTGCAGCAGATGGGTTAATTAGGTATTAATTATATTAGTTATTTATATATACTATAAGTATTAATTGAAAAAAAACGTCTTCTATAGTTTATCTTCATCAAAAAATTGGTCTATCCCGGTGAACCTTCCAGCCTTTCTTCTTCTCTGCCCGAAACACAGGCAACGTCCCATCTCGGCCCTGCTTTCTCGCGATCTCCACAACGAAGAATCGCACAAAGTCAGTCAACGTCCAGTAGCTGCTGTGTGCGCTGAGCATGTTGAGGTACTGGATGTTTAGGGGTCCCCCGCCGCCAGAGAGGAAGAAGTCGATCTGCCCGTTGTCATTGAGCAGGAACATCCGCTTCTCTGCGATTTCCTCACGGGTAAAGTCGTGTGTTTCCATTTCGACAGTAGAGGGAAGCTTGGAGATCGTAACAGGCCGTGATGCACTCACGCTTGACGGGATGATTGTTGAGGCTGAGCTCCAGCGGAAAACATTGCCAAAGGACTGTAATAGAGATGCCGATGACGCATGGATGTTTGCGGCCTTGAGCGAGCTGGCGAGATCACAGTCGACAGCAGCATTGACACGATATGCAATGGCTAGAGAAAAGATTAGTCTGAATACCGACATCATTGATAAGGGAAGGTCGTCACTAACGGTCGGTTGTGTGCATTATGTTATAGAGATTATCTACAGCTACACACCCATACGTGTCCGCTTCGCCCGCAACTCCTCGATGTCTGTCTTCACCTTCGCTGCCGGGCTTATTGCGGTCTCTTCTGGGGAGGAGATTCGCTGCACGCTGATCAGCCATCTTCAAGTTAAAGGATAATTGGCGACAGACTGACCTTTATTGAGAAGTAGGAAAAAGCCTGACGGGCTCCCACACAAGAACAGGTTGCCGGTATCAAATTCAAAGATATCTTTGTGGACGGGTATGGTCGAGAAATCAAACTTGGGGACCCGGGTCGGTTGATGGCTGAGAACATCTAGGGCCATCACACTGCCCAGCGAATGAGCAATCAGATGCACCTTTCCATTCTCCTGGAAGCCATGGTTATTGTGACACCATAGGCGATAGATGCGATTTGCCTCTTTCACGACAGCCTGAATCATCTTGGGTTTGTGATGGGATAGGTAGTAGGGTATGTCTAGCATAACGTCACTAATCAGGGACCTGACCGCAGGGATCGTCTCCGGGGTGATGTCTTCCAGAGAGTAACGATTAGATGCTGGATCTTCTGTCGAGGGCACCTCTAGATTTGCGTCATCTAGGGACAGCGTCGATCGCCAGTTCACGGGTAGAACCATAATGCCGCCATGGTCTGGCCGCACATGAGACCAGACAGGCTCGTTATGTAATTCTATGTTGACGTTTCTGCGTAGGGAATTGATTGCATAGGTGAAATGAAAGCTTTCCATGCGCTCCGAGAGCTTCTGTCCAATCCCATGGATGACCAGCACCAAGTCAGTCGGATTCGGACGCGATTCCTCCATTGCACAGGCATAGCAGACCTCTCCACCATGTGCTCTAGGAATCTCTATGGACTGAGTACGTCGCAGATAGTGCCTTACGTCTACAGGGTTCGGTTTGGAGGGGTGGAGCTGATCCCACGCCCTGCGACTGAAACCACGAACGACGGGGACACCGATCTGCCGGCCTTTGCGGATGGCGCTGAGCGGTTTTCTCCCTCTCGCGACTGACGGAAGCAGACTCGGTCGTAGAATCTGAGCGTCTTTCGCATCCACATAGATCACACTCGAGTTTAAGTATGGCTTTATGACCTCTTGGGATGCGGCTGTTCCACCGGCAGCATGGTTGTCTTCAAAGATCAAGCCTGTTGCCCGTTTGGAGTCGGGAGACTCCTCCGCTTCACCTGGTATTTGGTTGGTGGCCTCATTTTCTGAGGTTCCAGGTCTGCTGGTAGAACTGACATCGTCTTTGGACCACAGCTGGTGGACGACTTTTAATTCAGCGTCCGCTCCGTTTTCCACACAGCTGTTCAGTTCGTCCTGCCAGGTCTCAGTCCATGGTTTCAAATAATCGTATCCCTCTTCTAGTTTGTTGGCAATTTCTGTTTCCACTGGAAGTAGTGTATTCTTGTAGAACCACGTGGCTCTAATAACGTCTGATATATCGTGGAGAGGGCTCCAATAGATAGGTTTCATCTAGGGAACGGAAAAGTCAGTAGCACTCCAGAGGTTCCAGAGACTCGTAGTACCTTCAGGCTGGGCAATTCCACCAAATGAAGCCGGGAGACGCCCACAGGTATGATCGATTCATCTTCATCATCTCCATTCTTGGGTTGAGATACCTCTGTGACGGTTTGCTCGCCCGCCGGCCTGGATGAGGTAAGGCCTGCACCCGTAGCTTGACTGTCTGGTTGGAACTCCTCAACACCAGCATCATTCGATGACGATGGCAGCTGCGAACGAGTCAATGGGCTTGAAGAAGTCCCCAAAGGCGCTCTAATAAACGGCGATCCACTGATACTTGCATTCCGGGACCGATCTCCGCGAAGACTATCTCCATCCGCATCATCAGAGTCCAGCTCCTCATTGCGAGAGAAAGAACCCATTATGCGTTTATTAGCTTCGATCTCGCTTCCAAGTAGAGACCCTTCTTGTTTGCGGTTCCTTGATGAAATATTCCCGCTACCCTCTTGCTGTTCATCGTCCGCCGTGATACGGATGTGCTGCTTTTGCCAGGTGCCTTTCGTTGGCGACTCTGCACTGCTATTTTCATCGTGCAAATGAGCCCTGTATGTCGGTGACGAAGAATCATCTGGATTCCACGAAGAGAGGCGCGGCGAGCTCCCTTGGCTATGACTTTTCGTCGAGCTTACATCATCCACACTCCCGGCAGCTTTTCTGCGAAGCTGATTTAGATCACGTCGAACTTCGGGGACAATGATTCCGGATCTCCCCTTCAAGCTCTGTGTCTGTTTCCTAGCCTGCGTCGCCGCCTTCCTCTCTCGAACCTGCCGCAGACTCCGCCAGGCGTCTTCCAGCGCTGCATTATCCCTAGCTGAGAAGGGTTGGGGTGGAAATCGTTCGTTGGCCGAGCCGGAGCCCGTCGACAGCGGAGGCAGAGGTGTCAGGGGATCGTCTATGGGTAGTGAGGATGTGTAGAAGAACTGCGTGCGGATTTTGGGCGGAGTCGGTGAAGACTGCCAGGCCGTCAGATCGGGCTCATCGTCGGCCAGAAAACACGTCGGGCCATATGTGTGGATTGGCCCAGCCATTATCCTCAGTTAGTAGACGTCCTCCTCTGGGTTCTATAAAGTCTGTACGAGCTCAAGCTATACGTGGCTCTAAGAAGCCCGCATGCTAGGGGACAATCGCCGCTGAGGGTCTAGGCAGGTCGATGCTGTTGCTTGGAGAACCCCAGCTTCAAGATAAGATAAACAAAGGGCGAGGAACAGGAAGAGAAAGAAAGGAGAGCTCTTCAAAATCATGAAAAGACGAAAAGAAGATTGTCAATCATCGTCGCTCGGGAGAAGAAAAAAACCTGCAGGAAGATCTTCCCAGCAGTCTAGACGCCTGCCTAACGTTGTGCAACAAGCAGCGCCTGCTGTTGTTTGGCAGCGAAGCCATGACTTGGCCCTATGACGTCGCACCACGTGCTGGCCTTACAAAGTCCGAAGGTGTTTTTTTTTTCTATTGGAAAAACAAGCACAGAAATAATTACAAGCGAACCTGGAATTTGCTATTACTAATTGAAATTTATCAGGTAAACGAAGACAAGAAAAAAGCGCAAGGGTATCGGCTCCTTCTCCAGAGCGAAATGACACAGAACAGAAGACACCAGGCGGAAGCCAGACTCACACACCTCCGCTTCTCAGCGGGCAGTTCAAAGAAGAAGCGATAAATGCAAAAAGAGGAGAATAAAGGGAAGGGAAAGAAAAACAGCTAGGTATTTTGAGGTGGGTATCAGGTCATTCTGTGGCCGCTATCTCCAGGAGGATTACTCGAGACGTGGTTTTTGCTCAGATGCTCTTTCATCGTGGCCAAGGTACGCATCTGCAGATCGCGAAAGGCCATGAAGGTGGCGAAGGGGGCACCGAGCATTTCAAGAATCTTATGGATGTCATGCATGTGCTTGCGGATGGCGCTGTCGGGAGAACAGAAGGTGCGGACGCTCATCTCCTTGACGATGGCCTTCCAGTTGTGCAGATTGGAGTTGAGGAGCACGGGATTGGTCGATGTCTCGCCATTGAAGCGCAAGGTGCGGATATTGGCTAGGATCAGATCGCGCTGGGTCGCTTGGTCGAATTGGAATTCGAGAACCTGGGGTCGGTTCTTCGATCCCCAGGCCTTGGTCAGCTTGTTGATCGAGTCCGTCGAAAGGCGGCCTTCTTTGTATTGCTGGACAAGAAACTTATTGGCGCTGACGCAGATCATGACCTCCATCTCGGAATAGAGCCTGGCTTGGGTCGGAGGGTCCAAGGAGATCGCAAGAGTCAGTTTCTTGACAATCGTCGGACGACGACGAGGAGGCTGGGCGAGGGCGTTGGAGACTTTGACGACGTCTCCAGCCTGTTCAGGGATTAGAGAACGGAGAATGAATGTAGGAATCGAGGCTCAATTTTACTCACAAGGTCTTCGACTTGCTGCTTGATCTTCTTCCTCAGATTTCCAAATGTCTTCTTCTTACTCAGTTTATCCGGCTTTGTCGTGTTTCCAAGCCAACCGTTTGCTCCGAAAAGTTTCTTGTGGCTAGTCACCGGCACGGGAAACAGATCTTTGTCGTCAAGATTAGCGTCTAGAATCTCAGGCTCACGGAAGAACTGCGAAGACTCGCAACGCAGAGGAGACTGGGTGCTCTCGTCACCATATCCGAAGCATGCGATCTGTTGGCTCTGGTGAGACGAAGGAGACTGGTAGATTGCCTGAGGTTGCTTCGGCTGGCAGGATCCAGTGTGTACCTGGATGTCCGATCCAGAGGTCACCGAGCGGATGTTCAAAGGTGGGAAGGACGGATCAAGATCCAAGTTGGAGGAATGGATGGTCGAGAGAGTTGAGATTGAGTTCTCACTGCTCTCGGACGACTCGTGCCAAAATCTACGAAGCTCCTCGTAGAAAGGGTTGAGTTTGAGGATATCTTCGTAGGGAAGAAGCCTGTAGAAGAGGTCAATGGTCTATTCTTGTGGTCATGGACTCGGGGTTCCTACTCTGGGCTGAGCATGATGGGCACGTCGACAGCGTTCATGTTCGCCATTGATCTGAGCTGTGCTACTTGCAACGTAGAAAATATCGAATATCGCGTTCAAGAAGCAGGGAAAGGTTGAAGGAGAAGAGAAGGAGAAGGAGAAGGACGACGAGGGGGAAAAAAGCAGAAGAGATGGGGGGTAGGAGCTCTGCCATGGTGAAAAAGGCATAGTCTGTTATTTATTGACAGAATGAGGCCTTATTGTATAACAATAGGGACAGTCTATAGGCCCTGAATAGTCAAAGGGTCACCTCATCAATAGATTGTGTCGAGTGAATGGGTAAATAAAACAATAGCCTTTTAATCAATAGCCTACTTCAACAATCAGACCCATTAGCGCTCTCTATAAGACCTCGATACAATGCCCCTCCCCCCACCTCTTATTGAACTCTTCAAGTCAGAATCAAATCAACTAATATTCCCTAATAGCTCCTCAACAATAGGGTAGATGCCTCCTTCAACTAATATCCATTGACAGGTTCCAGGAGCGCGTCACCCTTCAGATCGAGACCGCTCGAGAGAATGGTTCGCTGCCTCGACAACCTCGTAGTCAGGCCAGTCGAAGATATTTTCCACATCACTGTGAAGCATCCTTGAACAATTATTAGCTTATAATACTGCTATATGGGTGCTAAATAGTCTGAAGTACTGGGAAAGCACCTTAGAGCGCGAGGTAGCCACCCAGCTTGATGCTTATTGAACTTCCTATTGATATTTCAAGCACGTCCCATTCTTTCCTGAATAGGGAGCGACTCCAAGGCTCCCTTCATGCCTGAGGCTTCCTACAGCTAGTATGTGATTATATAAGCAACCCAGGGACTGATTCCCGTGATCTGCTGCCGACGGTCCCACCTCGTACCCGATCACGTGACCATAGTCCACTTGCCGAGTTTCTATCCGGCATAGACTGGGACGCCTTGTGATACGCCCAGTTCGCCCTCTTCCCCACGGATACCGTCGACGGGGATGGACGACTGCGGCTCTCCCACAAAGAGGGCTCGCTGCCATGGAGTCGCAGGGGAGCTGTGTAACCAATCCGTGGCTGTGCATATTCAGCACCTGGCCAAGCTGCCCCAAGATCTCTCAGCCGAGTATGAATGCCGTTGACGAGTGGAGGGCCCGCTACCCTCGCTTCCAACATTCTTATATATAGGTGGTGTACCTGGAGAATGGCGCTCACTTTTTCCTGGTCGACAATATTCTGGGAATAAGCTGACTCAATAACGGGCTCTGTTATTTCTGTTGCTCTTTTCTTTTTCTTTTTCTTGTTGGAAACTCTCCCCTCACAACTAGTTACCAACGTAACTAGTACTACCTGGATATGGCTCACTCAGAGGATACATACGACATTGTCATCGTGGGTGCAGGGCCTGTCGGCCTTCTGCTGTCCCTCTGCATGTCTAGATGGGGTTACAAGGTTAAACATATCGATAACCGCCCCGTTCCGACTGCGACTGGGCGTGCCGATGGCATTCAACCACGCTCCACGGAGATCCTTCGCAATCTCGGTCTGAAGCGCGCCATCATGGCGTACCACCCGGCGAAAGTCTATGATGTTTCTTTCTGGGACCCTCTCGCTGAAGGCAAGGGCATTCACCGTACGGGTAGCTGGCCTAGTTGCCCCCGATTTATCGACACCCGCTACCCGTTTACCACTCTTGTCCACCAGGGGAAGATTGAGAAAGTCTTCCTTGACGAGATCAACAAGGCGGGCACGACAGTAGAACGGCCGTGGACGGTAGTCGACTTCGCGAATGATGGCAAGGACGAAGACTACCCGGTGGAGGTGAGCCTCAAGTCGATCGATACCAACGTCATCACAAAGGTCCGCACCAAGTATCTGTTTAGCGGCGAAGGCGCCCGGAGTAGCATCCGGGAGAAGCTGGGGATCAAGATCCAATACAAAGACCCCATTTCCTATGTTTGGGGTGTCATGGACGGGGTTGTGCGCACCGACTTCCCTGATATCAAGGTTAGAAGAAGAAGAGAAACCGAATTTCTATTACGAACACTGGCTAAAAGAATCGCAGACCAAATGTACTATTCACTCCGATGCGGGCTCGATCATGGTTATTCCTCGGGAAGACAACATGGTCCGTTTGTATGTCCAGATCGCCTCCTCGTCCGACCCTGACTGGAACCCCCGCAAGACCGCGACCGTCGAGGATGTGCAGGCGACAGCGAAGAAGATTCTCCAGCCTTATTACCTGGAGTGGGACCGGGTAGAGTGGTACTCCGTCTACCCGATCGGACAAGGTATCTCGGAGCGATACACTTTAGATGAGCGGGTCTTCCTGGGGGGTGACGCCTGCCATACCCACAGCCCCAAGGCCGGTCAAGGGATGAACACGGCTTTCCACGATGCGTTGAACATGGCCTGGAAGATCCACGCCGTTGAATCTGGCTTCGCCAACCGCTCTATTCTGTCTACATACGAGAGCGAGCGCAAGGACATCGCGGAGACGCTTCTCGGCTTCGACAACAAGTACGCAGCTCTGTTTTCCAAGCGCCGCCCCACTGCCGGAGAAGTCGGGTCGGCCAGCCACACGACTGTTGCTGAAGGCGGAGAGGAAGACGAGTTTGTCAAGACGTTCAAAGAGTCGTGCGAGTTCACCAGTGGGTATGGAGTCGCTTACAAGCCCAACGTCTTCAACTGGGACACCACCCACCGGGCTCAGTCACCCCTGTTCGGTGTACCCGGGATCCGACTGACTGCAGGACGTGTCTTTACCCCGGCAACCGTCACCAGGCTGGCCGACTCCAACTTTGTGCATCTCGAACAAGAGGTTCCCGTCAACGGGTCGTTCCGCATCTTCATCTTTGCAGGAAAGCAGGCCACGACGAAGCAGGCCATTGACGACCTGGCTGCGAACCTCAAGAAAGAGCGCTCCTTCTTATCTATCTACCAGCGATCCGATATCAAGGAGGTGTCCTTCTTCGAGCGTGACCTGCCCCACTCCAAATTTTTCACCCTGTGCCTGATCTATGCCAACGACAAGAACACCATCGACATGGCGTCGGTGCCCCAGATTCTCAAGGACTACCACTACCACATCTACGCGGACAATCTCCCGGATGTTCGGGTGCCCACAGCCCAGTTTGCCGCCCACGAGAAGCTAGGCATCGATCCCGAGAAGGGCGCTGTCGTTGTCACCCGTCCGGACGGGCATGTCGCGTGTTCCATCCAGCTCGTCGAGGGAAGCGGTACCGTCGACGCGCTGAACGCCTACTTTGGAGCGTTTGCGACGAAACCTCTTGGACAGGATCAGCAGAGCCGTCTGTAATATGAGCGCCCGTGGTCAATTTTTTTTTCTCTGCTTTAGCGTATGTATTCTAGTATATCGAATTAATAAGAAAATTTTTAAGAAGAGAAAAGAAGTAGACTGTACTACTGTAGTAATAGACGTACCTAGTAGGGGGAAATCTGATTCGCTGATAGCATCATGATATTTCCGTCCCTCCAAGATCCACCCCGCACCAGCAAAGCTCTCTTCAAACACTCGTTCCGTTTCCAAGGGTACTCGCGCCTAGCTATTGATCATTGAAAAATGCTTTCTCTGGTTCTCTCTGCCGAGCTCGAGGGGTAAGTATAAAACTGCATTTGACTACGGTATCGTAGTGGTGTTCCTAGTGTTCCCCCTCTTCCCCTCTTTTCATCCAAACTTCTTTCTGACTACTAAAGAGTGACAGCCCTGCAGCCCAAAGATACCCCTGACGAACCATACTACTATACTTTCAAGGTGCAATGCACTTCGTGCCGAGAGATCCACCCTAACTGGGTCAGCTTCACTCGTTTTGTAAGCTTAGAGGTGTTGACCGGTTAACTATAACTACTAATCATGGCTCAGGAACAACATGAAATCAGCGGGAGTCGAGGCGAGGCTAACCTGGTGATGAAATGCAAGAATTGTGGGGTATTTACATTTACGCCTCACTACGGGTCACATCATTTGCAATGACTGATTCGTCTGTATGATGTTTAGAGACCTGGGTCTGCTTCCATCCTGGCCGGCCCGAACGCATACCAGGTTGATCAGGACAAACGGAAGGGTCAGAAGATCATCGATATGGACTGCCGGGGTCTGGAGTTTACGGATTTCAAGCCTGACGTACGTTCTTTTTTTTTTACTTTGTTGGTTCAACTAAAGCTAATCTGTCAGGGGGAATGGGAGGCCAAAGGAGTCGAGTCGTCGACAGCATTCACGGCCATCGACTTGGTAGAGGGGGAATGGTACGACTATGATGAAAAGGCCGGCGAGGAGGTTTCTATCAAGGAGCTCAAGTGGGAGATTGGCAGGGCTTGAGTAATACTCTCTATGTATCATTATTGCCTGATGGAAAATACAGAATGATCAACATGAATAAATATACTGAAGAGAAGAGATACTTAGTTAAATAGTTAACTCTCAACTAACTACTCGTATATGTATGGAGGACAGGCGGTGACATTCTGCCAGAGCTCAGCTTCACATTTTCGCCCGACGAGTTTCGGAGTCCGCCAGCACGTCCAGTCGTCCACCGTATCTAATCCAATCCACTCCTGCGCCCGCTCCCTCACGCCCAGCACGCAGCCAGAGCATCTTTCGCAAGGGTGAATCAAATCTACCGGCTGGTCGGTCACGGTATCTGCTTGGCGAACCCCTTTCCCAATCCCTCCATTCCGGATCCTCGATTCCTCCATCCGGGGTTCACCACGCGCGCGACAGACCCTGTTCAAACAACATCATGAGCGTTAGTTGTTTTTTTTTTCTTTGTTTCGGATAAGAGATGGCCGGAATGTAGTGCTAACCGGTTGATTAGTTCCAACCCGTTAACCCTCGGCCGTTCCTGCAGGCCAGGTGCGCATTTATTCCCCGGTCGTCGACTGCTTAGGCCTGTCGTCGGTTTATTACTCGTTAATAGAATCATACTGACTAGCTCTTAGAGTCGGTTCAGAGCTGATCATCCGCCTGAAATGGGGCCAGACCGAGTACAAGGGTAAGCTGGAGAGCATTGACTCGTACATGAACGTGCTGCTTCGGGACACGGAAGAGTTCATTGATGGAAAGAATACGGGGACACTGGGGCTGGTCTTAATCAGGTATTTCTTCACTTATTCCCCTTCTCTCTTTCTCTCCTCTTCTTCATATCGAGTGCTAACCACTGCTACTTCCAGGTGTAACAATATCCTCTGGATGGGCACAGCAGACGATGTGGAAATGACAGATATGGCATTGAAATAGACGAATAAATGGTTACCGAACTACTGGCGTTTTAATACCGGGCGCCGTTATCCCTTTCCTACGCGATATAAAGAAACAGTTGTGCGCGTGGAGGGATGAAGAGAAACAGATGGACGAGAAGATTCATTGCCGTGTTTGTATGGCACCCAGATATCCAGATATGATGATCATGGCCTCGCCTCTACTGTTGGGTTCGCACGAGGCTGTTGGCGTGGATTCGACAACCTGCAAGCACGATTTGAGAGGGAATGCTTGCACTGATTGTCTGCTCTACCTACGACTGTACAAGACTACCCAAAGGTTTAACAAATATTTCGCAAATTGCAAGACTAATAGTTGCACAAGCTGGGCCTAATGTAGACTGAGATCATAATAGTGGGGGGGGGTTTCGTGTATCTGATGCGATTCCTTCTGCCTGATCTTCTGCAAAGTTCATATGGCTTCTGTCGAGATATAAATATCTCTTCATTAAAAGAGTACGACTGTGTAGTACGTACACTGTACAACACTATATAACACCTTTGAACCAATTGCGTGGCTGTGCTAGCTATCTACAAGTAACGAGTCAGCATATGATTGTGGCGAATACATATCGCATCGTACGCGTATACTCTTCTAATAACGTCAGAAGAGTCCACTATTCATATAATAAAGATTTAATCCATGATGATCCTTGAGACGCCTCCACAGCAAGACCCAATAGTCCCTTAGTCACTGCGTATGTGCTTAGAATTATATCAACCTACCTACTCCTCCATCCACTCCCGTACTGCCTAAATCCTCGTCTCCTTCGACGTCAATGGCGCGAACCCTCACCCATGCGCCACATTCAACGGACGAACCATCTCCTATGGCAAACATCAGCAGATCACTGCTGCATGGACATACTATTGCACAGTAGTGTGCACACCATGTTGCCTCCCTCGCCTTCTCCACGAATTCTGTCCTGCTGGCCCCGCCATGCTTCCTCCCCCCCCCCCCCCCCCCCCCCTTTGTCCGGAGCGCTAAATGAAACTCTCGAAAAAATGGTACCTACTACATAGTACCTACTATATATATGCGGGGTTTCCTTTGTCTAAATTTTGAGACGTTTGCTCTATTGAGTTTTCCTGTTTCATATATGCGTCTAACCAACGCTGCCTCACCTCCATGGACATAACTATGACCTGATCTCCTGTCTATCTTTCCCAAGACCTTCTGACTCAATACACTCGCTCGTTGACACTACGAAGTTTCCTACCCAAGATACCATATACCCAGCAATGCGAGACATGCCTTCACGATTCGTCGAGATCCTCGACTCCTCCGACGGTGCGGTGAGAATATCCGACGCCGACGTCCGGCTCGAAGACATCCTGGCCGGGTACCAGGAAGCCCCTACAACGCCGACGGGCCGGGCGCGGTCCTCAACACAGTCGTCCAGCAAAGCCAGCTTTAGTTTTCTGGATAGGGACCGCGGCACCGAGCGCGCTGAGCGCGATGGACCGCCGACGTCTACCTCTCCGGCGCAGCAGCGGTGGAAGCGGCTCGGTGGGATTCTCCACGCACGGCGCAGCTCGACATAGTTGCTTTTTTTGTCAGCCTGATCGAACCTTTTTTTTTTTTTGACAAACGCCCCCATTTTCTCTCGATAGACTGGTTTTTCAGACCTGGAAAGACTCATCCCCTCCCGCCGAAACCGCCGAGAATCGAAGTTCATGCATTACTACATATCTGGACCGACAAAGGCGTGCCACGTTACAGTCAGTACATGGGATCCGAGACATGCATGGAAATGAATGGTTCATATCGCCGAGATGCCGGGATCCGTCTCGGAGGGTGATATGATATTACTATTATGATGGTATGATGGGAACGACATTTAAATGGATATACATAGGGGTATACTACATACGGATACGGATAGGATATGGATATACGGAGTACGACATACAGTTATGATATTGTTACCGCGATACCCGGGCTAGCGGAAGGATCTACATTCACATGACTCCTAGGATGGAGACAATTCTATAAAATTGGCAATAATTGAGTGTACAGCTGTACGGAGTAAAGATCTCCTTGCAGAAGTTTAGAAATTGGAATGTCATTCTATACTCTGTACTCTACATACTCTATTCTACATACATCTGTCTAATGTCAGTAATTACTATAACTCAAACCTAGAGACAAGATAGTTATACTATGCAGTACTACAGACATAATACTATTAACCACCAAGGTCTCTATAACATCTTTTCCCTGTCATTTTTCCTCCGAATGACCAGTTGGCGAGTCTAGACTCGGTCAGTCATGGCCATTCTCCCACACCGCCACCTTACTAGTTGGTACCAGGTTATACGGAGTACTCCGGAGAAGCAACGATGGACTATGGACTATTTACTATTTACTTAGGTAACTCACTGCCTAGAATAATATGCTTGTTGAGGAGCTAGTTAACACTAGTACCTATATGTAGTCAGCTGATCTGATCTGAAATATGGAATAATCGTGTACGGAGTATGGAGTACTCTGTTACACCTGCATAGCTGAGATTCTGTGTAACTACCTAGGTACCTAGGCAGTATGTAGTAGCAGGTTATTGTTCTATGCAGTAATATTACCAGTCTAATATAAGTATAAAGTACTTTATACTATTAACTAGATAACTTACGTGTTAAATAGATAATTGATAGGAAGAGGTACTATGGAGTATGAGCTCATACCCCATATTTATTGAAAAATACTATTTATAGTTAGCTCATTACACAATACAAAAAAACCTGATCTGTATTACTGATAAGGACTAAGTTTATCCTGTTATCTCACTCTTTTTATAATTCCAGCACACCGCATCATGGCCCTGTCTATCTTTTTCCTGCTCCAAACCTTTCCTCCCTGGTAATTCCATCCTTTTTTCTCTCTTTCTATCTTTTATTTTATCTGTTAATTGATCATAATGGCCCCTCTCAAGTTAAAACGCACAACTCTGTCGCAGATTCTGGCGGCAGGTAAGGCGCAGGTCAAGGTTCCGACCTACCAGCGCGGTGGCGCTGTCAAGGAGGGGATCGTCCATGTCGGCGTCGGCGGCTTCCACCGAGCCCATCTGGCTGTCTACGTCGACCAGTTGATGGAGAAACACGGGGTCAGGGACTATGCAATCTGCGGTGTTGGCTTGCAGCCCTTTGATGCTGTCATGCGCGACGCCCTGGGGTCGCAGGACCACATGTACACCGTCATTGAGCGGTCGGCCAAGGGAAGCTTTGCCCACGTTGTGGGCAGCATCAACTCCTACCTCTTTGCCCCCGATGACCGCGAGGCTGTCATTGCCAAAATGGCGCACCCGGATACGCACATTGTGTCGCTGACCATCACGGAGAGCGGGTACTACTACAACGAGAACACACACGAGCTGCAAAGCGAGCACCCGGACATCCAGTTCGATCTCGACCCGGCCAACGAGCAGACCCCGCGCACCACGTTCGGCTTCCTCTACGCCGCCCTGGCTCGACGCCGGCAGCAGGGCCTCAAGCCCTTCACCGTCATGTCCTGCGACAACATGCAGAAGAACGGCTCGATCACCCGCCACATGCTCGAGTCGTTTGCGCGCCTGCGCAGCCCGGAGGTCGCCGCGTGGATCACCGAGCAGGGGGCCTTCCCCAACGCCATGGTCGACCGTATCACCCCTCAGACATCCGCCACCGACAAGGAGGCCCTGGCAGACAACTTTGACATCGAGGACGCGTGGCCGGTCGTCACAGAGCCCTTCATGCAGTGGGTCATCGAGGACCAGTTCTCCGACGGCCGCCCGCCCTTTGAAAAAGTCGGGGTCCAGGTTGTCAAGAACGTGCACGCCGTCGAGCAGTTCGAGAAGCACAAGCTGCGCCTGCTCAACGGCAGCCACTCGGCCCTGGGCTACCCGGGCCAGCTGGCAGGCTTCAAGTACGTGCATGAGGTGATGGAGAACCCCCTCTTCCGCAAGTTTGTGTGGCAGATGATGCAGGAGGAGGTGAAGCCGCTGCTGCCGGAGATCCCGGGCGTCGACATCGACGAGTACTGCAACACGCTCATCGAGCGCTTCTCCAATCCCACCATCATGGACCAGCTGCCCCGCATCTGCCTCAACGCCTCGGGCAAGATCCCCCAGTTCATCATGCCGTCCATTGCCGAGGCGATCTGGGTGTCGGGCCCCTTCCGCCGTCTGTGCTTCGTCGCTGCCGCCTGGTTCCATTACATCAACGGCGTCGACGACGCAGGCAAGCCCTTCCAGGTCGACGACCCTATGCGTGAGGAACTCCAGGCCAAGGCTCGCGCGGGGGGTACCAACCCGGCCGAGATCCTCAGCATCAAGACCCTCTTCGGCGATGACCTGCGCAAAGACAAGCGCTTTCTCCAGGAGATCACCGCCGCCATGGAGCAGATTGCCCAGGACGGTATCCTCAAGACCCTCCCGAAGTACATTGACTAAAGTTTTTTCAAGCTGCTGGTTTAGCCGGGGTGGGGAAAAAGCGAGCAATTTTTTTTTTCTTTTATAAATACATAGAGATAGATGAGGTAGAAAAAAAATCTCTTATTTAATGTTACTGCATTTTATTCATCCCTGGTTACGTAGTTATTGTATTCCAACTTAGAGCGGGCTAATAATAATCCTGGGCGGTAACGCGTTGTTTTCACCTACACTTACAGAGTACACTTAAAACACTACAGACACTACAGACAGAATTAACATTATACTCCGTACTACATATACTGAGTACACTCCTTTAATCATTTCACTATGGCCTTCCCAGGGCGCGCCAGCCCCTCAGTCTTCGAGCAGCAGAGGGAAGAGCTCGTCCGGGAGATCGCCGTGGTAAGCTCATCAGTGGACATTTCAACATACAAATAAGAAAAAAAAAGAAAATAACTTGTCAAGGGCATGGAACAAGTCCTTCAGAATATCAACCGGTTGAATCGGAATCTGGAAAGCATCATCGCGGTAAAGACTAGATTATCTAATATTGAAAACCAAGCTCTTACTGATCTCCTAGGTTGGGAATGAGTTCGGGTCCGTCGAGGCGCTGTGGTCTCATTTTGAGAATTTCATGGCCAAACCGGACGAAGGAGGTGTGCAGGAGAGTACTACAGCTCCAGAGGACCAAGGAGACGACATCAAGAGGGAGGAGGAGGAGGAGGAGGAGGAGGAGGAAGGGGAGACAGCTGAACAATAAGGACATACATAACATGACATGACATATCTAGGGTTTAACGTATAACGAATTAGAAGAGATTACTCTTATCATGAAAATCTACGAGTGTAACCATTCGTGTTTCACTATTGCATTGCTCCAAACTCCTCCCATGCATGCAAGATGCTGGCTAATAGACCAATCGTAATAGACATCAGAAGACAAGCTGGACATGGGCATTCTTGGATCAGGGGAATAACATTCAAGGGACTGACCGCCGGAAGACGTAAAAAAGGGTGGGTAAGAAAAAGAAAGAAACAAAAAACACATCGCTGGATATCACACATGATTCATTCCAGCTGGCATCAACATCAACATGTCAAGTACAAGAGAGAACATCCGAGCAACCAGGCTCAGGGAAAACCCAGGCTAAAAAAAAAAACAGAAAAAGAAGACGAGAGGCTAGCATTCTACAAAATCTTGCAACTGCGCTTCTTGACCTTCTTCCCGCCAGCGAAGCCGCCGCCGCCGCCGCCTGCTGCGCTTTTCGAGGTTGTGCTTTGTCGGTTGGTATTCCAGCCGTCTTGCTCCACAGAGACGACGGTGTTAACGGCAAGCTCAAACACCTCGTCGACGCCAATCATCTCCTTGCTGCTGCATTCGACGTACGAGGCGCCCATGCGCTGCGCGACGGCACCGCCCTGCTCGGGCGTGACAGGCGTCAGACCCTGTGTCTTAAGGAGCTCGACGCATGTTCGTTTTGAGCGCAGATCAGATTTGAGGCCGACGAGGATGATTGGCGTTGTTGGACAGAAATGCAGCACTTCGGGGTACCACTGAAAGCGTTAGATATAACACCTTTTACCGCTTCATGAACTCAAGCGAGGCCATACCTTGTCCGTCACATTGTCTAGCGAAGCGGGGCAGTCGATAGCAAAACACACAAAAAGTAGATCGGTCTCGGGATAGGAGAGGGGTCGCAGTCGGTCATATTCTTCCTGTCCAGCAGTGTCCCAGAGGGCCAGTTCGACCGTCTTCCCCGAGGCACGGTGGGTAGTCTGCGTAATGTAGTTTTCGAACACCGTGGGCACATATTTCTTAGAAATTAGTTCTCTCCTTCAAGACATAACGAAGTATACTGAATCTCTGTCTCACCTCTGGAAAGTATCCCTGCGAGTAACTGATCAAAAGACAGGTCTTGCCGCAGCCACCGTCTCCAACGACCACAAACTTCTTCGAATACGCTGGCGGCTGTGTGACATGTGTAGCCTCCGACATCCTTCCACTCGAGACACTCGTATTAGTACTAACGGTGCCGTTGCTGACTCGGACGCTTTGGCTGCGGACGCGACTGTGTTGGGGGGTCATCGACGGGGGCGGCGTAGCGAGCGACGGCCGTCGTGAGACTCCATAGGCCTGGTCCTCGTACATCTGAGCGGACATGCTGTGCGGAGGCGAAACAAGGGAGACGGGAAAAAATGTGGACAGCGGCTTGTGGTTGACGGTTCGGTCGGTCTCGACGGCGCGTTTCCGTTGTCTGTCAATTTCTTCTTCTGGTTGTTTTTTTTCTTGGTGCTCACGCTAGGGAGGTGACAGGTAGAGAGAGGAAAGAGCAGCACAACGTGGGAGATGAAAAGAAGAAAAGAGACGAGGTGATCTGGCCCAGCTGGGAAGAGCATAAGCCCTGGTCTTCCGATCCAGCAGCCGATCGACGACGATTCGGGCAGTGGATACTTGCCTCCGTACAAGTGGGGGGGGGGGAGGAAAGAGGCGTGTTTACGAGAGCTGAGGCTGCCATGGCAACGGCGGAAGTCGATGACGCCAGGAACTCCGCTATAGACAGGATGAACAGGACAGGATGAATTTTCCGACGAAGCAACGAGAAGCAGTGAGGGGCAGCGGGATATTTTTAGTTGCTCTCCACTGCTCAGATGCTTTCTACTTGTCTTTCTGGGTCCATTGATGTCTGTTCTTGTCTCCTTACAGGATGTGAAGCCGTCAAAGCCGAGAGTCCGAGACAGGTACGGAGTACACCAGGCCTACGACCAACTCTACCAAGTCTTCATTCTAAATGCAACACTCCACAGTGGGTATGTTATTCATGATTTCTGGACCCCTGCCGCCATGGATACAGTCGTATTGACAGGCTGAGTGCAGGTGTGTTGTGGCGATAAACAAACCGGTCGCGGTGGGTGTTGCATCTTGCCTGTATGCCTGCATCCAATGATGGAATGCTCTGCCTCCACCACCTGCTGAATCTGACGTGCAGCTGCTGTTGAACATACTCTGGAGGCTCGGGACTGGCTGCTTGGTCTTTTGTTGTGCAGGAGGAGTTTGGCGTACCTGACCAGCCTAGGCAGCTAGTACGAGGTCTGAGGACGACCTAGTTGTAGAGTATCCCTGTTGATTGCGACAACAATCTGGAATAAGCAAGTCCATTCGAGTCAGAACAAGATCTGGCTATCTGTCAGTGTTCATTTGCAATTAATCAATGACAAATCAAGTTGGAATGGTTGTCAAAAGCGAACAAATAATAGGTAATGAATGAGGTGGTTGAGTCGGAGGGACTCTTATCGTAGGGGAAATAATTATCGCGTTGCCAGCCGCCAGTCGCCAGTTGCCAGTTGCCAGTTGCCAGTTGGCCAGTTGACCACCAACTGGTCAATCTGTGGGCCACGGGCAATTCCCCCCCGTCAGGGTTCGGACCCGGGAACGTTTGTATGCACAAAAGTGGTCCAGATGAGCCCGGTGAGTATATAGAAGACATGTAGCCGAGCTTTCTTGTGGAAATTCCTTTCGGTTTCTGAGTTTTTGGAATGACAAAATAGTTAACTATTGGAATTCACCCTCGCATGGTACTGAGCAACCTACTCAGCCATGTCATCTAGATATATATGTTAGGTAGTCATCAACACCACCGGCTGACGGCGCCTCCTCAACTACCGCCACGGCTGCGACTTTCATCCTGTTTCACGAGTCACAACGCGCTGTTGCTTGATGACAACGAAATGCCGGATCTTCCATCTTTCTCAAACGCTAGATATGAAGGCCATCCGAGGCGCCTTCCCGAGAAGAACTCTAGGAGGCTTGCTTTCCCGCCGCTGTAACGCCCACGATACATTCATGGCAGCTTCTTTTTCTACCCGCATTTCCAAAATGAATGAGACCAAGGGCATCGCAGATTCAAAGCATGACCTCGAGGCGCTCAATCGGTTTACCTCAGGTCGTTGGCTTTGGAACGAGCGACAGCAACTTGCCTGTCGCTCTGTCAAGTTCGATCTCTCAACGCTTTTGCGACTAGCTGCCTCTGTGATCGGAGCGAGATCATGCACCCAAGTGTTAAAGGTCTCAGAGGGCCAATATAACAAAGTATTCCAGCTTACTATGGATGATGGACGCGAGATTATTGCGAAACTTCCAAATCCCAATGCAGGCAGACCACACTTCACGACAGCTAGCGAGGTTGCAACTATGGACTTTGTATGGCCTACTTTCCTTCTACTGCGACCCTTTTTTTTTCTTTGCGCGTCGGTACTAACTTTGCTAGTTGAAAAATGTTCTGAACCTCCCTGTTCCGAGAGTTTACGCCTGGAGTTCTCGGGCATCAGAGAACCCTCTCGGAGCAGAGTATATCCTCATGGAGAAGCAGGCTGGCGTGGTACTAACCGATGTTTGGGACACCATCAAAGGAAAACAGAAAGTCCAAATTCTGGACCAGGTTGTTGATATTGAAAGGCGTCTGGCGGCTACAAAATTTTCCAAGTTCGGATCGTTATACTATAAAGATGATCTTCCTAAAAGTTCGGATACTACTTCATTCCTATACTTGATTCAACTGGGAGCGAAGTTCGGAGCAAAAGGTTTGGCATTGGACCGACTAACCACCGTTCTTTCTTTGACTTCGGGAGAGGCGACTTAGATATTGAACGAGGTCCATGTAAGTTCATCCCCCGACTCGTATGATATTATTATCCTGTGCTTATTCATGCGCAACCCTTAGGGCCAACAATCACAGAATATATGACTGCTATTGCGCGGAGGGAAATTGCAGCCGCAAAGTCAGGTCTCCGGTACCCCTTGATGCCCGAAGGCCTGTTCTATGGACCTCGACAATACCAGCCTAGCCTCTCCAAAAAGCTCTCCTCGTTGGGAAACTATCTTAAAATGGCACCTCATGTTCTCCCAGAGAACAAAGCCACTCATGCCTCGGTCTTATGGCATGGCGATCTCCATTCGCAGAATATATTTGTCGACCCGGAAGACCCAGCTCGTATTGTGGGAATCATTGACTGGCAGTCCGTCAGTGCGTGTCCGCTTTTTATGCAGGTTGGACGCCCAGCGTTTCTCGACTACAATGGCCCGGTTCCTGAAGAGTTGGGGAAGGTCTCTTTACCACCCAATTTTGACTCAATGGATCCAGATGAACAGCGGAAGGCAAAGGCACTCCATACAGCACAGACACTACATAATCTCTATCTAGTTAGGTGTCTTCAGGTTAACAAAACGGTCTTCCAAGCGATACAGGGCCAGAGTACCCTCCGACATCAGGTTAGTGTGGTTCCGGGATTAGTCTTGATGGACTACGAGCCGCTCCTTAACAGCCTGTTGAGAGATGTCGAGAAGCAATGGGAAAATGGCGGCTTTCCTGGAATGCCCTTCCCATTACAGTTCTCAGGCGAAGAAATCCAGCAGCAGGAGCAGGATAGTGAGCTATGGGCCCAAGGCGTTGAGCTCATGGATGCATTTGTTAGCGACACTGGCTGCTTTAAACATTGGGATGGTAGGGTTAGTGATGTAGATTATGAAAAGTCTCGGAGAGAGCTCGATGAAGGGGTGAAGCGGTTCTTGGAACGTGAAGCCAGAAATGATGAAGAATATCGGGAGTGGCTTAAAGCCCTACCGTTTGTCGATTGAGTATGCTCTTATTGTTGCGTCTCGCTGTATCTAGGCAGAGTATATCCTTCGCTTCCACAGTACAGATATACTCGGTACTTGACCCATCGGAAAAAGAATTACTGAACAAGACTAATACTGCATAAATTTAAGAATTATACTGGAATATGCCCCAAGATGCCACCAGAACTGCGTGGTCCCAATCCTCATCTTGTACACGCATGACTAAGCGCATCGTGAAGCTCAGACCTCCGCTCAACGATCGTGTCCGCTCCGAAGCAATTCTGGCTCTACTCGCAGCCCGCGTGTCCAATTCCTCGTGGACGCGGTGAGGAAACCCGATCTCTAGCTGTCCGAGACCCCTATGTCTGAGGTACTGTGATACGTTGTTATAACCCAAGTACGGCACGCATCGGTTGTGGAGAAAGGGAAAAACAGAAGCAGGCGTCAGCTTGTATAAGGACAGGCAGCCGAACTCGAGGATAGGTGTCGTCGCCGATTCACACCGCACAGTCAGTTGAAATGGGTCAGGAGAAGAAGGACCGGCCCGATGCTGGCTTGAGAAGTCTCAATCACTGTACGCGGGGTCAAAAAAACTTCATTCTTCGTCCACTTCTAATGTGTATCTAACTGCTTGTTTCTTTCTTTTTTTTTTTCCAACGGAATAATAGATCGCAATGCGTTACCGACATGGCGTTACTGGCCACGAGAGAAATTGCTTCCCCTGGTCCGCTACGAAACGCCGTACCTCGCGTGGTTTCAAGACAAGATCCGGACGCCCACGTTGGATTCGTACTTTGCCTTCACGGCGAACCTCGGCACCCATACCTTCTTCATGGTGTTCTTGCCGATTCTCTTCTGGTGTGGATATACGAGTCTAGGTCGTGGGTACGTTCTTACACAGGGGGAAGGGGAAGGGAATTACGACCAGTTGACTGATGTGGATTGCGAAAACAAATAGAATGGTGCATATTTTGGCTTTCGGCGTCTTCTTCAGTGGGTTCATCAAAGATCTGCTATGCCTGCCACGACCCCTGTCCCCTCCTCTGCAACGAATCACTATGTCTGGCTCGGCCGCGTTGGAGTATGGGTTCCCATCCACGCATTCGACAAACGCAGTCTCGGTGGCTGTGTACGCGGTCGCTCTTCTCAACTCGCCGGATTGCACCGTCAGCCCGCATCTCAATATCTTTCTCCAAGCTATCACATACCTGTATGTGGTGTCCATTGTTATCGGGCGCTTGTATTGCGGAATGCATGGGTTCTTCGACGTCATTATCGGCTGTTTGCTCGGCGCTTTGATCGGAATCATGCAGTTCGTTTACGGAGAAAGGTTTGACGAATATCTCGTCTCGGGCAATGGCAAGGAGGTTCTCATCGTGGTCGTGATCATCCTGACTCTGGTTCGTATTCACCCGGAGCCAGCAGACGACTGTCCTTGCTTTGACGACAGTGTGGCCTTTGCGGGCGTCTTGATCGGCGCCGAGGTGGCCTACTGGGACTTTGCACGCTCCAGCATCTCGTGGACAGAGCCGTCTCCCGCCACCGTTCCGTACCGGTTAGAAAGCCTGGGATGGATCAAGACCATTCTGCGCACGGTGCTAGGAGTCACCTGTATTGTTGTCTGGAGAGAGGTCATGAAGCCATCGCTGCTTCGGGTGCTTCCGCCCATTTTTCGAGGTCTGGAGCGAGTCGGTCTTTCGCTTCCTCGCCGGTTCTTCACCAGAGCTTCGTCAGTGCCTTTTTCTTTTCTCTCTCTTTTTTTTCACTAGAGAGAGTATACGACCAAGTTGAAACTTACAAGCTGAATAGGCAATACAAAACCGTTCCCACGCATCTCAAGGACCACGATGTGTTCCCAAATATATCCGAAATCCCATCGATCCTCACCAATATCCGCCATCCAAGACGTCGAGCAGTGTCGATCGGCCCCCAGTCCGAGGCGGACGCATACGAAACGCTCGCCTATCGCGAGAAGCGCAGACGCGAGAGTCTTTCCTCCCCGCATGGCGTCCGCGGGTCCCCTGCCACTGCCGACCACGATTCGAAGACCGGCCTGGACGGACGAGCCCCGACGACGAACCCCCGAACCCCCTGTCGACTGGACGAGTACGAGCACATGATGGGCACCGGCACTCCCAACTACAGCCCCATCCCGATGGCGGTGGATGTCGACAAGAACGCTCGTTTATCGCCTGTAGTGCCCCTCGACTACTCCATCGACGAACCGAACGAGACAGAGATGTTCTCCCGGATCAAGAAGCCCCGCGTCCGATATGACGTAGAGGTAGTGACCAAGCTGATTGTCTATTCCGGTATGATCCTGATCCCGCTTTTTATTTTATTTTATTTTATTTTATTTTATTTCTGCTCCACCGACGTGTGTACCCTGACTGACCTAAAACTTGCTGTGTTTAGGAATCGCCTGGATCGCTATAGAAGGTAGCCCCCTCCTTTTCGACGTGGTCGGGCTCGGCCTTCGTCAGTGAATTGTTCCCGGGTGTTCAGCTGGCTGAACCGAATGAATGAGCTAAACTGTAGCTACGGATTTCTTTGGTCATGTATATAGAAGCGTGGTGCTTGAGATTCTACCTCTCTTGCCCACGCCAGAAGTTGCATCTCTTAGCTGCGACTCAACATTTAATAGGTATCTAACGTTGTCATGCCTACCATTTAGTTTTTCATTTCTGCCTGAGGCTTGCAGGAGGTATCGGGTGCAAGTGTTGGAACAGGGGTCTCCTATTGGTGCTTCGAGGGACTGGTGACTCTCATTAGGTACGTATCAGGTACTTCAGGTAGGTAGTAGGAGGTACCTAGGTACCAGGTAGTTAGTACCTATAAGTAACTATCTAGTAAGTGAGGCCCAGAGCTGATAGCTGTAGTCGTCTGGCGTGAAACAAGACGGTACACGTTAGAAACGAGATACTCTGTACTCTGAAGAAGCTCTATAAAGCTCACACGCGTCTGATAGACTGTACCTAATGTATCATCTACTCTGTTTCTCTTATCGATACTTATCGGTCCCTGGCGGGGCGGAGATTCCAGCCATGGACGCGGGTCCACGTGACCCACTAGCGCGCGGGAACGCGACTGGGCTTGGAGTGAGATCTTTTGAGCTCCCAAACCGCCGCGAACTTGCTGTAAGCGGAAGCTCTCCAGACCTCACTTCCACCTCGGCCGGTGTCATTTCACTGCGCGCCCCCGCTCCTCTCTCACTTCAACATCCCGCTCCAACTCTCAGTTCCTGTCTACGCATTCTATGGCTGGTAAGTTCTTCGCTTGTCCTCTAGTCCTCCCCGCTGCGTCGTTTTATTTCTCGCACTCTCGTCCCTCGTTTTCCTATCCTCCTTCCCCTCCAAACGCGTTTTCTCGTACTCTTCTCGCTTCTAGCGGCCCTCGATTTTTTTGTCCTCGTGAATCGCGCTTTTTCAAAAGCTTTTAGCTGCTTCAAGCAACTTGCTCAACTGTTTTTCATCTCTTGTCTCTCTCTACGAACTCTCTCTAATCTTCACGATGAACCAGAACCCTTTCGATAGTGCTCCTGGAGCCTTCGGTGCGAACCTCAATGACGAGCAGCCCGATCTTATGATAATTGACTCTCCCGATCTCCCTCCTGGAACTCCTATGGAAATTTGCCTTCCTGAACCTCAGACCGCCGCCTCATATTTTCCTGCCAATACAACCACTGGAACCAGTGCAGCTTCACAACTTCCCTTTCAGTCGCTGTCTCTTGGCCCGTCTTCCTTTGCTACTGCTGCTCCCACCACTGGCACACGTGCGCCTTACCACAACTTACCCTCCCAGCGGCCTCTGCCTCTCGCTGGTCCGGTTTTTTCTGAATCGGTGTTTTCTTTTGCTGCTCCTCCTACCACTACCGATCTCTCCTCTCGTATTCAGATCCCTCAGCCGGCGCTCCCCTCCGTTCGCGAAAACTTCCCGGTACTTCACGCCCGCTACGACGATTCGTTTGACCGTATCTATGGCTGGGACCCTTCTGCTCCCATGCCCGGTTACCCTGCGCTGACCGATCCTCAATCCTGCGGTCCCCTCCCTCGCCCGGCCAACCCTCATTCGCTTCTAGAGAACTCCCGCATCATGCACCCCGCCGAACGTCCCAAACCGATGGCGATTCCTTTGAATGGTCCCAAAGCGGACCCGCGCAAACGCACCTCCTCGTCTCTCGTGGGCATTCGCAAGACTTCCTTTTCTATCCTTCCTGGTAGCTCTATATTCCGTCGCAACAATCGTGCCTCCTCTCTCCAGAACGCCGTGACCAAGTCGCAGGTGTCATCCCGTATGGCGGAATTCTGTTCAGCGATCGCGGCTGCTCGTGAACAAGAAGTGCCGCAGTCGCCTTACTCGGCCGCCGTGAAGCGTAATCTGGAAGCCTTCCGGATTGGGTACCTGCCTTCTCGAAAGCAGGTCCCTTCCAAACCCTCCGCCTCTGCTTCTCTGATCGCTGAGAGCAAGCCTCGGCTCGACAAGCCCGACGGCCCTTCTCACAAGGTTCCTTCGCCGGACAAGGACTCAGATCTCATTGCATCTCTGCAGGCCGCCAACCTGCGGAGACTGCGTGAATCTGCAGAGAAACCGTCTGTTACCTCCAAGGTGTGCGACCAGGCCACCACCACCACCACCACCACCACCAGTGCGTCTCTCCAGGACGCCGAACGTTCGGATCCGCGATCTCCCCGAAGCCTTGGCGCACGTGACCTGGAGACGTCCGTGCCGCACCGGCTGGGATCCCCCGTCGCTTTTCCGGTCTCCGTCCCCGGCAACTCGTCTCCTCGCAAGAGATCGATCTTCGAGGCAGACGCAGACGCGCCAAAGGGTCGCTTCGACATGATCCGCGACGAGCATCTTGACGCCTATTCTGGGCTATCGTCAATGCCTGGCAGTTGGCCAGAGGCCCCAGAAAGCGTCCCTTCCGATGCACAGCCTGAGGCGGATGGACACGTTGGCCAGCCAGGTTTCTGGCACTGGTGCAAAAAATTCTTCGTCGGCCCTCGGGGTGTGGGCACCGCCTTCACGGGCGCTGCTCGCACCGCCGTCGAAGTCACCGGGTCGGTCAAGCGCCGTGTCCTCGCCTTTTTCGAACCGCGAGCCAGAGCGCAACCTCCCCAACCTACGGCGGCGGGGTCTCGGCCTCCCCACCGTCGTAGGTCGCGAGGGTCCACAGAAGGACAGCGAACTCGCGAGCGTCATCGCCGATCGTCTCGGGCTGGTCACGCCAGACCCCGATCGGACGCTCTGCCAGTCCCTGCTCCCTCCGTGCACACGCCTACGCTCGAAACTACCTCCCCCTCCCATCAGCTCCTTTCTCCTCTCTTTCCAGTCAACGTGCCGATCGATGCCGGTCTCTTGGCTCCGGCCGAGCAGATCAAGAGCAGACCTCGCAAGAAGCGCACGCACGTTTCGGACCATGACGACGCATTGCTGCACAAGCCACGTCGCCATGGGGGCGTGAAGCCCATGTCCACCCGTCGGACTCGCCCGAAGGGAGTCCGGCGCACCGAAGCGTCGTCCAAGAGGGTCCTCAAGGACAAGACCCTCCGAGAGGTCGAAGAGCTGGCGAATCTTCCGATTGAGCTCGCCCCGCACCTTCAAGGGGAGAAGAAGGTCGGCGCCGAAAAGACAGCGGAGATTCGCGATGAACTCAAGCAGGAACACGAGGAACCTGTTGACGTGCAGACCGTGGTTTCGGCTCCGTCTGAGCTTGCTTCCACTTCCCTGTGGTATCCTGGCCAAGCCCCAGAATTCCCTCTTGGCCCTGCCATGTCGGCTGTCAGTCTCTTCCGCCCAGGCGGCGATCGGATCCCCCCTGGTCGCATTGAATCCGTCTTCGCCCCCGCGTGGCGTAAGATGGAGGCCGCGCGCCTGAAGGAAGAAGCTCCGGTCTCGCGGCGGGTCATTCCCGAAGGGCCCGCAGTTCGCCCCTTGTCCCCAGCGTGGGAAGACCGAATCGCCCGCGCAGTGACTGGTCAAAACAGAAGCATCGCCAAGGCCCCGTCCGGGGCGCCTTTGATGAAGAAGGATCTGTTGACATGTTACACACCTCTCTCCTGGCTTAACGATGAAGTCATCAATGCGTACCTCGCTTACCTCGTTGAGTACCTCCGTCGCAACGCCGGCAACCTTGAGCCGGGCCAGAAACCGCTGTTCCACGCCTTCAACACGTTCTTTTTTGCCAACCTGCGTGACAAGGGTTACGAGTCGGTACGGCGCTGGGCGTCTCGTGCCAAGATCGGCGGCGAGGCCCTCTTGGAGGTCGACACGGTGTTCATCCCAGTCCACGACAGCCACCATTGGACGCTCATCGTGGTCAGACCAGCCGAGCGGACCATCGAAAACTTCGACTCCCTGGGAAGCCTCTCTTCTCGGCACGTGGGGTTGGTGAAAACCTGGCTCCGCGGGGAACTCGGGCCCCGGTATGTCGACGAGGACTGGGACATTCTGCCCTCCGTCTCCCCGCAGCAGGACAACGGTTGCGACTGCGGCGCCTTCCTCCTGTCGACGGCGAAAGCGGTTGCGGTCGGTGTTGAGCCCACGGCGTACGGGCCGTCCGACATCCCGACGCTCCGCAAGAAGATCGTCGCAGAGTTGATCAATGGTGGGCTGGTAGGCGAGTTCGTGCCTGATGGTTGTCTGTGAGAGAATGAGAGCCACCATTTGATTCTCGAAGGAACCGAGAGAATCTTCTGTTTATCTACGAGGTCTCTGTTCAAGCCTCCCGCAAGAGAGATGAACTGTATTCTGTTTCGCGCTGCGTCAGTCGCCCAGCACCGATCCCCTCCAGACCGGCGTACTGATGTTCGATTTCTGTCTTCTGATATTCATTTTTGTTTGATCGGCGTCGAGTTCGAAGAATGGGGCATGACACCGCATGGATGGAGTTATTGTTTTTTGTTTTTTTTTTTTTTTTTTTCTTTGTTTATGGCACTCGGGATAAATTACAGCGAGGGTGAAACGTCTATGATATGATTTTTCTGCATGGGGACGGTGCACAGGTTTTTTTCTTTCTTTCTCTTTTTTATCTGCGCTTGGCTGTCTGCCGTCGTGTTGTCTGTTGTGTTGTCATTGATACCCGTCTCAGTTGAAGCCTATGCTCCTGAGCAGTTTACGGAGTTTTCCTGGATCTTGCATTCCCATGGACAGAAGAGGACGACGAGAAGAAAAGACGACAAAAAGAAAGGAGATGGAAAGGCCCCCAGTGTACTACGCAAATTTCAGCGTATTTATTGCTACACTCATTAAAGATACGTACTCTCTCTTTCTCTATCTCGCCGCTCAGCTTTCAACATGTAGCCCACTGGACAAGGCTATGACTTGAACGCCGCACCCCGAGGACCCCCTCTCTTCCCTAAACCATCAATCTTACATGGATTGCGACACATTTTCCCCTTTGCCACGCTGCTGTTCTCTGCTGGACTCTCTTCTTGTCCATCGCGCCTTAAACCCACGGCGTGGAAGATAGATCCTCTTCCCGCGTGTTTCGGCGGCAAGGTTTGCCGATCGTCCGGGATATGGTCTTTCTGAGTAGATACGTTATATGCAAGTTCGATCCATTCGATGGCCATGTGCACGCTTGTTCCGTGGACCATATCCCCCGACCAGCTGCCTCCGTCACTCCACAGATTCAGTACCACCATGCTCGGCTTCTCGGGGACACGGTACGTCTTGGTGTCTTGAAGCTGCTCGTCAACGAACCAGCGGGAGGTCGTCTGCGTCCAGTCGAGTCGATGAGTCGCCCACGAAGTCCATGGCACGGGAACATCCATGATAGTACTGGCGCCAGGGATCATCGTGTCTGTGACGGGGTCATAGTCTGGCTGGTTTGCATAATGAACGCGACTATGTGGATCGGACGTCAGGATCTCGATGTCGGATTCACATTTGGAGGAATGATATGTGAAGATACCGGCACACACGCCGCCCGGCGGTGACGAGGCCTTTGGCACTGCTTGATTAGATGATGGACGGATGTTTCTTTGACTTGTGGCGGTAAGTACATTCCCCCTTTCGGAAGGGAGAATGCTTGACGGCTCATCATCAGACAGGATCTTGAAATGGACTCGGATACTGGCTCGGAACACGTTTTGCAGCCGACTCTCTATCTCTGCAGTGGAGGTAAAGTTCTCAAACCGAGTAGTGCGCAAGACGAGATAGGTTGAGTTGGGGTTATCACGACCGGGGCTGGGGTTTCGGGCAATGAAGACATTGTCGTTTGAGTGCACCATATGCACGGGGGCCAAGTCGGAGGGGTTCCTTTTCCATTTCTGGATCTTCCAATCTTCTGCGAATGGAGTCTCGGACAGAAGAATCGTTTTCCCCTTGAAGCCGTCCGCTGATCCGCCAATGGCATCGTCACCTTGGTCAGCTCTTGCTGGGAGCAGCCCGGACTCCTCGTTTGCCAGTTTCTGATCGAATGACACGGCCCGAAAATCCCAGAATTGGTAATTCTGAAAGTACCCTGGTTCCGGTCCTGACACGACATAACAATCGCACTCGGGTTGTACAGGTTGCACTGGTTTAGAGGGATACTTGGGGCGCCGAAACCGACATGCGTGAGAGCCTTGGAGGGCGATACCGGCGATAAAGCAGCACCGAGCGAGCAAGGATAGAAACTGAGGCTTCATTTTTCTCCTGTCTTAAAAGGTGATATAGGATCAAGTAGGTCATCAAGCGGTAATGATAACTGTTCGAGGCTGTACTAATAGGCGAAAGCAGGGTTCGCATATCGCAACGATTTGGAGATCTCTCGTCTCCATTCTTCCCGCGCTTTCCATATTCTTGGAAGTAGGTGTCTCCCCAAAAAGGAAGCGGCAATACTGGATGATAGGAAATGAAGCAGGAGCAGGAGGAAAATGGTTTATCTACCCAGTCTCGACGGCTGCTTGTTTCGATGTTGATGTTGAGGGAAACGCACCGGAGCAGGTTGGCTGGGCTGGTTCGCAGCGTGGAAGCATCTTGTCGTCCTCTTCATAGTCTTCATCTTCATAATGGAATACAGGGAACAATATAACCCTTGCCCTTGAGTTTGTAAAAGACTATGGAGATGAAACAGTATAAGATTACCTAAGATTGTCGAAAATGGATTTCTTTCCAGTATTTACATTACAGCAAACTGAATACAAATACAATTGAAACACAAGCAAGGCTGAAAAGGATCTGGTGCAGCTTTGGGCATCCACCAGCTTCCCATCGCCCGTGCCTTGTCTATTTCTGCTATCCAATGAAACATCCCCGGATGCGCTGGAGTTCAAAGGGCGGCGGGACAAAGGGAGGGCGATTGGCTGAGAGATGTCAGCTGGCTTGCAGGTAGGGCCCGCCAAGGATTGTGGCGTTTCCGTATGGTATTGTAATTGACAATACCGGTGCATCTGGAGGCATCTGGCCTTCTTTGCTTCCAAGTTGCAAAGGAGATTGGATTATTTCTATTGATTTTAAATCAAGAATAGCCTCATTAAACATTAGAAATCACCAGTATCGAGACACATCACATCCAAAGTGCTGTGTGGTGGCGTTGTAAGGCGACCGGGGGGTTTGCGTCAGTCGTGTCATGCTGCATTTGTTAGCGGTGTACGCCGCATTTCTGCCCTTTGTGTGGTAATACTCCGTTGTCCCCCGAAAAGCCTGCCCTACCCCCGAAAACCGTTCTGTCCCCTTCCCAGAGCCTTCCTACTGACTCTCCACCATCACCGTCGCCATGGACCTCATACGCGCATGAACAGTTGAACCCTATCGATTCTCATCAGCACAACCCGCCACATGCACCTTATACCGTACCGGAACCGATTTACTGCAAAATGACCACCACGCTTGAACGGAGTCTGTCCCGGACTTCGAGTCTGTCCATGTCCATGTCTAGCCCTCGTCTCTCAGTGAGGAGAGAAGTCACGCCGCCTGTTGCCTCTGATCCCGCCTTATCGCATATCTACGACCGCATCAACCTCCTTGACTCGCGTTTTCTCGAGCTCCGTTCGTCTGTCCTGACAAAGGATGGGTATGCCGACCGCCGGAACCGTGAAGACGACCACATTCGCCGCGAATTCGATGCCAATCGTGCCATCTCCACCCGGATCGACTTGAATGTTGTGGCTTTGAGGACGGATGTCGACCAGCTCAAGTCGGGAGTCTTTCAACTCAAGTCTAGCATCGGCCAGTCCGGAACAGAGACGGGTTTCCTGCGCAGTGACGTCGATCGGCTCCAAAAGAACGTCGATCAGGTCCATGAGGATATCGAGCAGCTGTCCACCGACGTTTGTGGGTGTCGTGTCGAAATAAGCAAGCTTCATGCTGCCATCAGTCAACTCCGTACCGATCTTCTCACCCTGCAGCATGAGACCTCTCGACACTTCAACAATGTTTTTAACCGTTTCTCGTTGATGGAATCTCGGATGAAGCACATGGAACGTGTCCGATTCAACTCGCTCGCCCACACCGTGCATGCTCCGATCACTCCTGTCCCCGTCGTCGAGGAAGACGGTGCTCTGCAATGGCCTGAATATTTCCCGCGCACCGTATGGCGCTTCTGGTGTCTTAAGAAGAGAAGTCGACGTAAGTTGCATTTGTGGTCGACGTGAAAGATAAATATCCTAACTAGTTGACAACACAGTTCATCGACTTGTTGAACTCGCAGAATTCTACCAACTTGGTGGATACCAATATTGGTGTCGAATGCATCAGGAAGATGGTCCGTTCGGCAGCGATACCGATTCCAGTGATTCCAGCGATCTTCCCTCCAATCTGAATCGGGCAGAAGCGGTCAGAATGTACCCAGAGGCTGCCCACCAGGCCCTTGCCGCAACCCTCGGCCTGGTTTACTATAAGATTCGGAATGAAGTGGGAGAAGCTCCCAATACTCATGTCCGACCTCCGAAACGGCCACAAGAAGAAGCCGTCTCTGTCTCGTCCAGTTCCAAACAGAAGCCTGTCAAAATGCCTCGCCGCCCTACCATGTCGCCTACGATGCTGCACAAGCTCATCACCGGTCCGTCCCTAGAGTCCAAGTCCCTGGCCTCTGAGGAATCGGACAAGCTTGGCTGGAATCCCCACTCCGATGCCTCGGATGATGCAATGAGCAAACTTCGAGGTATCGTTTCGGATGAGATTGGCACCCTGCTCCGTGCCTTGGAGCGGGGCCATCTCAAGCTAAAGCCCAGCCGCTCTGAACAAATGTCTCCGGTCGAGTCCAAAGCAAGCTTTTCCAATAAGAAACCTCCCGCAGAGGCTGCTCCGGAAGACGATGCTCGATCTGTTCCCGATACGGTTGCGACCGAACTCATCACCTTGCCCAGCGGCAAAGGTGAGCCTCAAACACCGGAAACCACCTCCGAGGTGGCAAGTCCTCCGCAGTTGTGAGATTACCCATGACATGACACTATACCCCGTCTCAGTTGACGGTAACGTATATTTTTACACTCAAGTCCTCGGTTGATGCATGTTCCAACCGATATGATATATAACATTTATTACGCGGCGTTGTGTTTTGGTTACTTCGTTGTCTTCATTTACCCAGATAAGATACCCATTTGATTATTGCATAGCAGGATTGGAATTTCAGCTCTAGGTCATATACAATCATACCTGAAATAAGTTTTGAATTGTGTCTTTAGTTCATTGTGCGGATATGATTACTATTGACTAGTACTTCTGACAGCTTCGCTATTCTTCCGATCGGATTGACTTCTCGTACACGACGGTCTCCCATCCATCTAAGATGCATCTCTTTCGCGTCGCCGAGGCTCCTGTACCGGATAAGTCAATTCGCAACGAAGCTTGCTATATACTCGTGACCGTAAAAGCCAGTCTGCATTATCTATCTGCGTGGTATTGACGGTAGATGAGGTTGATTAACCACTCCTTAATGATGTAAACGCGGATGCTTCCAGCAGAGACCAGACTAACCTGTTTTCTAAACAGGTAGTAATGATAATGTCCCCTCCATTTCAGACTGATTCATGACAGTGACTACCTACCGATCGGGTAACGTCGATCGAATAATGGCCTCCCGAGCACAATTGTACGTGTTTGCTATGATGGTAGATTTCAAACAACAGTCGGAGCATCCTCCCCCAAGTCTCTCTGAAGGACTTCCAAGACTTTCTCCTCATCCACGGTCTCCAGATCCACACCTGCATCCTCGGCCTCATTCTCGGATTTCTCAGGCACCGAGTCTGGATCTTCCTCGCCCGGTTTGTGTGCGTGTAGATATTCTTCTTCGAGTAGGAAGCGGGCCGGGTCCTCGCTTTCGGTACGTAATGTCTCAGGGGATTCGGATAATGCGTATATAGTAGGGAATTCAAGGACAGTCCTGTTGCGCAGGACAGTTGTGAAGATCTGGTGCGGTTGTAGGGGCACCAGGACGGGCTGTTTGGTTGAAGTTTGTGGTCGATGCAAGTAGAAGTAGACGTCCCGGTGAGAAATAGGCGGATGGGAAGCAGTAGATGTAGGAGGGGCCTCGGAAAGGCTGCCGTCGCATGTAGAATGAGTTTGATTTTCAACCGTCGTACTTTGGGCCGGTGCAGCTTCGGGGTTGGGTTCGGCTTGCGATTGTTCACTTGGTGGTTCTTCGTCTTTTGTCCCTTTTATTACAGGGTTGACACGAGCATACGCTTCGGCGATAGTACATCCTTCTAGGGAAGTGTTGAGCTTCTTCTCCCCTGTCGGAAAAACCCATTCGACGGTCCAATTCAGGCATTTTTGTCTGAAGTTCCGCAAAATCAGCTTTGTCATATAAAGAAATAGACACACCGAAAAAAAGAGAATTGGAAACCCACTTGGTAAACCACCTCGAGGCGTTCATTTTGCTTCTCGACATCCCCTTTGGCGCCCTCACCACGGTGACCCCAGCACTCTCCGCCCCCCGGAGGAAAGGGACCTCGCCCTTCGCGAGGCGCGGTTCATTTGTGCGCTTCCTCTTCCCACCTATTGTACCTTCTGCATGATCTTCTAGTGTTGGGATCCCCCGGTTCTCGACATCGCGCTCTGCCCGTTCAAGACGTCTTTCGATCCCCGTGATGAAGTTGAAATCGCGGTCAAACGCCGATTCGGTGGCGAGCTCGTTCCGACGAAGGTACGCTGCTGGATCACGTACACCGGAGCATTGAGACCAGAGCTTGTGTCTGCGAGAGCAGGCTAGCGAACAGGTCTGAGTCGAGCAACGAGGACAGCGGTATTTAGGCGTGTTGGTGTGGCTATTTCACTTCCGTCTTAGCAAGGAGATATAGATCTCTGTGGTGGTGGAATCTTACCAAATAGTGCAGAGTGAGCTAAGGACTGCGTCGGTTTCCGAACTTTCAGCCATTTCTGCTGCGAGAGAGGATGAAAATGTAGTAATCGCGTTGGCAAGAGGAGCTGTTCTGGGGAAAATATTGGAGGATCTTTTTATCGATAAGGGGAGTTGCTTATGCCTTAAAGGTAAGGCATACATAATATTCTATGGAGTACTTTTGACTATGTGACGGGTTCCATAGTTATAGGCCTCCATATGATGGATAAAATATTGTGATCTTTTAAGCTCGGGTTGTCAAACTGGTGCTTACAAGATCTTGATATACTATTACAGCACTATTTTTTAAAAATTTTATTGGATATAAGAATTTCTTAGTGACAACAAGCCAACGGCATGGGTTCGAGGACTGTATGACGGTGCAGCACATCTAGAGAAATATCACCTCGGTCGAAAGGATATGAACATGTCTATTACTTCTTCATTTCGATGCCTTGGGCCAGCTGCAGTACCAGTTGGACCATCGGTTGCTAGATGGAATTGGGTACAGAGTACCATAATCTGCGCCCACACGTGTTATTAGTGACGGTGTCCTTGATATGACATAATATAAGTAGTACTTCACGTACTAAGACTATTTAATAAATACTATACGTAATCAGAGCCAATAGTACCTAGGTAACTATATTCCTATACTATTCCTACGTTGTGCAGCAGACCAGATATGCTGAGTAAATAAAAATTAGTGTATGAAGCTAACTACATTAGGCTTAGAACATCAGGTGATGCTGCAAATAAAATGGATCATCCTGATTGGCAGCCTAGAGAGCATCCTTTTCTGTGACAGACTATTAGCTGAGCCAGATAGTAATAGCTAGGATCAGCTCTGAAAAGTCCTTTATATCGGTCGCCCGATTCATTCGCCACGGCCCGTATTTGTTGATTTTCAAGAACTTGTCGTTTTTGCAGGACCTTTTCAAGCCCAACAAATACTCCTCGTACTCGTCGTCACAGATGGCATGAAGAATGTACATCTCCTTGCCGTCGCCCGCAATCAAAACCAAACTGGGGTAAAAATTGGTACTTGAGATGATATTCTAGGGGTTTGCTATGACCACAAGGGAAAAGAGACTCACCCATTCTTGGGGAGGCCTTTGGGGGTAGGCGTCAGAAGAGCAGAGACAATCTCATACGTCTCCTGCCAGGAAACGTTTGGCTCATGCTCACATCGGTCCCTGGACTTGGCCTCAATAAGGACCTGTGTGTGGCCAGCCGAAGAAACCAGAAACCCGTCAACCTGGCAACTAAGGCTAGGTTTCCCTGCCTCAGCCCCCTTTCTAAACTTGGCCGTCAAGGTAGCCCGACGTGGAGACCAGTATGATTTGACAGCTGGGTGGCCGAAGCACACGGCAGTCAAAAATGAGAGGAGGGCCGAGTTGACGAGCTCTTCGTTCGGCCCGTCCAACGTCGGCTTCTTCGCATCTTTTTGGGCTCCTGTCTCCCTGTCAAGCAGTTTCACGAGATGGAACTGCTGGGTGTAAGGAACCCCAAACACCCCCATGTCCCGAGTGCCCGGGATTTCGCTATTTTTAATGGCTTCCAGATAGGCCTTGAAGGCCGCTTGTTCTTGCAGCCATTCTCGAGCCTCTGCAACTTGTTCTTCGATCTCGAGGTCCTTGACTGCTGAGTTTCAAAATGAGCCTACTCTATCTTTCTGGGAGTAGACCGGCCGTCTTTTCTCCATGACAACTCTCAGTTGCTGTGCTGTATCAGGAGGCCTTCTTAGACATTTGCTGCAACAGCGATAAACTCTCTAGCTATCTACACACTAGCCAATTAATATGCAATGAATATGGTAAGTAGAGCTTATTTAATCTATAATTTCAGCAGGTCTATATTATATCCAAGCAGAAAAATAATCTGCATAGGTGGAAACCATTCAGAGTACTACTATAAGACATCTAGATAGTATATACCACAAACATTCAGGGCTTGTTAAGGGAATTAATAGTGTTCAAGGACTAGGGTATATCAATCTCGAATATTCCATCATAAGATGATGAATCAACTTATTCAACAGGATGTTTTACAGTGTACAGTAAGTATTTCCTGCTTATTCTAATGGCCCGTTTAGGATATGACATGGATCAAAATACACGCTAAACCTTATATAGTATGACGGCGGGTGCTAGTCTACTACTAGGTACCTTATTGCTGTCGCCAACCCCATTAGGTTTAGCGTGTCATCACCTATGTAGTAGTCATCATTAACATTGTAATCAGAAAGAGTCTCTCCTTCCCTCTTCTTCCCTCTCGGAACTTCTTTGCATTTTCATCTTCCTCTATTATGGAGTCTTCCGGTCAGAACAAGCAACGTGCGCACTTGAGAGTCGTCTACGACCAGGCAGTGTCCACTCTTATCAAGACCCTGAATTCCCAGCCAAAGGAGGCATATTCCCAGGACGAGCTCACTCGTATGGGGGTATCGCTGGCTGAGTTTAACCCTGAAGATCCAAAGTTTCTCGACTCTAAGGCCAGTCTTTTTAAGCCTCTGTCCGTAGAGGAGCTGGCAAAGTACACCCTTGATGAATCTGAACTAGCCGGGCCAGATACTGAGACCTGTTACTTTGATTTTGATGGACTTTATGATCATCCAACAATTTCCAAGGACCCCCCTTATTCCTACATATTAGCAGAAAGAGCAGATCATATCTTCCAATATTTAAATATTCTCTACATTTTCATAAAGGCAAAGAAGGACGGTGATCTCATTTGGTTTAATGAGGAGTTTGGATGGTTAGATATCAGGTTTGCATAGAGTGATGGCTGTCTATCTATTAGATGTTTCTTATTCTAACAAACTTTTCTGATAGAGATGGAAATTCTTTTCTTAATGGTCCACAAGGGCTCCTGCTTGGCCTGCGCAAGAAGGTTCCACCATGGGATACATTATGTAAACGCGAGTGGCAGGATGATGCTGAAGACCCGACAACCCTTCGTCCACATATCATGCTCATCGTCTGCACTGGAGCAGAAACAAGTAATGATGAATTGCTCTATGGTGAGCTGGGGCCCATTGCCCAGACAATCCAAAACCGTCTTAATCAGACGGAGTTTGAGAACACCTCACTCTTCCCGGTATATCACCAGTCCAGTTTTTCTAGATTTTCAGATTGCTAATTAATAGGTGCTGGTCCTTTCACTGTTCGGGCCTCGCCACGGCCGTATCCTACAGGCCAAGTACAACAAGTCTGGTGTCTTGAAAGTCCACGCCTCGCCTATCTACAGCTTTCGGTTTAAGGCTACATCCCCGTTTGACCTCTTCCTTCGCTACCAGGCCTGTGAAGCGTGCCATGGCCCCGAATATGAGTTTGATAGTGATGAAGAGGATGTACCTATTCAGGCCTCCGCGTATGCCTCCCCAAGTCTCGGAGCTGATAAGGAAAATGCCCCCCCAAAGGAAGACGATGCTCCATCTCCCGAGCAGCTTTAGCTTGTATTGTCTGTGTTGACAAAATGTCTCTTAAGGCCCGATCCACGAAGAAGCCTCTCATTCCGTTTACGACCAAGACAGAGAGAATAACCATATATTCTAGTGTTATCATTGTCTGCAGACCACCGTTGACGGGTGGCCCTTCCACAAGCCTGCAAGTTGGATACGTACACAGCAATACACTCCACCAGCACTGGACACAACTTCTGTCTCCTCCTACGCGAAGTAAGGTTAACATGCTTTTGAAGTTTGCTTTGGGTTCGCCTCCTTCAGCTGTCGATCTGCTCATCCATGTTATTACAAGTCAATTAATAGCGTAGTAATTCCTCATTTTAAACAAGTTGAGTTTCTAGTTTAAAACGCTCAACATTCTACCAAATACGTACTGTATATCTAACTGATAACTAGTTACTATCTACCGTACTACATATTCTATACCGAGGGATGTCGTCCACATTGATCATGCAGGATCTCTGGTGATAAATGTCGAAATATTGATAAGCATAGGAAATATCTAGAATAATCTTCCAATGAAGGCTATTTCCAAAGCCTAAGAATGCACTGACTGCATGAGAGAATAATGTTGCAAGATTGCTGATAAATGATATCACTCCAGCAATCGGATTTATAATCAGCTCGCATTCGGCCATGAAAACACCAAAGTTAACTGTTTTCTATAAAAGAAGGAAGAGTTGCTTCTTACATACCCCCTTCGACGCTCCCCGATTATTCCTGACCTTCATCGTCGACCCGTATTCACAATGGCTACTAAAGCGTTTGCAATCATCGCCGGCGTAGGCCCCGGCACGGTATTTTTTTATCAACAAGCGGGGTAAATCTGGGATATCTATTCTAACTGCACATAGGGAGCATCGGTAGCAAGAAGATTCGCCAAATCATACTCGGTCGTGCTTCTTAGCCGAAATCCCGCCAACTTTGAACCCGTTGTCCAGGAGATCAACTCGAGCGGCGGGCATGCCGTCGGGATCAGTACCGATCTGTCCGACTCGACGAGTGTGAAGAATGCCTTTGAGAAGATTTCCCAGCAGTTTGCAGACTCGGCACTTGCAGCTGCGGTCTTCAATCCTGCCGGTGGTTTTGTGAAGAAGCCGTTCCTAGAGCTCACAGAGGAAGAGTTCGCCGGCGGGTTGGATGGCCAAGCGTACGTTACTATACCGACATATTCCCCCCCTCATGGCGACGTATAGATTAGCTGATTTGGAGGTTCTTGTTATAGGAAAGGTGGATTTAATCTGGCGAAGAATGCGTTGCCTCTTTTGCTACAGGCAAAAGGACTCGGCTACCCTCCTACTCTAATCTTCACCGGAGCAACTGCCAGCCTGAAAGGATCTGCAACCTTTGCAGCATTTGCATCTGGGAAATTTGCCCTGCGAGCGCTGGCGCAATCGTTGGCTCGAGAATTCGGGCCTCAGGGTGTCCATGTCTCTCATGTTATCATCGACGGGGTTATTGATATTCCTCGAACAAAGGGGTATCAGTTTGAGCATCCGGACGCAAAGCTCAGCCCAGAAGCGGTATTTAGTTTGTAGAGAAGGAAGAGAGGAAACAACTTGCTAACATATCTGACAGATTGCGGATCAATACTGGCACATACATACCCAACCACGGACTACATTCGCCTTTGAAATCGACTTGCGGCCCTATGTCGAGAAGTGGTAGAAGATTTGACGTTGAAGGGCAATTTATTTTCTTTCATGTTGCTATCCTGCATAAAAAGCACTCTTCTGGAGATAGTTCGAATGCCTTCGAGAAAGGTTCCATCTGCAGCAGAAACGGGTATATCTAGATGATAAGATGAGAGGATACGGTTGGTATTGCTGATGTACTTATATCCTGTTATGCTGAAGTAGATATTCCTATATACTATACCGGCGAACTTCCACAGGTCCTGTCTCAATCATCGATGTTATATGCGCAATCAAAGCTCATCTGTACCGTCGGCAGCCTCACTGTATCCCGCGATGTTCAGTCTCCGCTTGAGAGTTTCATTCTCCGCGCGGAGCCGTTCGATCTCCACCTCGTACTCTTCCATCGCTTCTTCACTTGCCGAGCTCAGTTCCTCAATGATCTTGAACACACGCCACAGACGCAGAACAACGACGATGGAGCCCAGCTCCTCAGCCACGCCGTGGAGAGAAACATCGATGATGAAAGCAACGAGAATCACCAGGGAATCGAAAATGTGGAACTTGGAGGCGAAGTAGCTGTGACGAGTTAGGCTATGAACGTTGTTGCAGGGATATAATGAGCAAAAAAAAAAAAAAAAAAAAACCAACCTCTTTCCAAAACTGAGAGCAGCAACGATCAATTCAAGCATGAAGAGAGACGAAAACACCAGGCTAATAATGTCAAGCACGTCCTGCGCCTCTCCCCAGCCCGGAGACACCTTGCTGTGGCCTTCCTTGAGCCCGCAGACATGCAGCTCGATCAGAAAATCCGCAAAGATACAAGCCACATCGACGGAGACCAGCAGTAGCACAAAGTAATGGCCCCATCGTGAAGAAAGCAGGTCGCGCATAGCGCTTCGCCAGCCCGCGACGCGCGACTGAGCACCCCGGCGAGAACGGAGAAACCCCGTCGCCCGTCGCTCGCCGAGGAGGGGATGCAACACAGATGTGTCTGAAGCCATGCTGATACTCTTCAGTATAAACCAAGATCTGTATCTCTCTATGCTATATGAAGTACTCCGTGTAAGCGTAAGGAGTGGTGTTTGTTGCCGCTAAGCACTGCGGGGGGGGATCGATCGCTTTATCTAGTGCTTCCCAGCCTTCTCCTCTTCTCCTGCATCCATTGTGGTTCGCCCAGCGGCAGCATATTCTGCTCGATCGAAACTCTGATTTCAAAAGAAAGGAAAAATTGAATCCAAATGATAGGATGGGCTGTCGGTGAGCATGCAGCAGAGTACGTATGCCCCCCTCCCCTCCCAAAGAGGCAGGCCTCTGGCTCCCAAAGCAGGTGACCTCGGCGGAGATCGCTTCCGATGACTCAGCAGGCCTACGTCAGTGTGGCGGCCTCAGGCACCATATGTATCGCATCACCTCTCCAACTTTCGCCGTGTCCCGCACCGTCGAGTTCAGTTGAATCATCAACAATCACGGCGCCAGCTCACTCAAAATGTCTCTTAACGATGACCAGAACCCACCTCCGTACTATGATCCAGCTAACTCCTCTGAGACGCGAGATAAAGAGGCCCTGCAGCGCCTGTACGGCCTGACGTTGCGCCCGGAGCTCGTCGTCAAGCCCGACCCGATCACGATGTACCTGGGGTTTGGCGGCCATCGGCTGTGGTCGAGCATCTTCATTGCCTCATTGAACAACCGGATGACGAACATTTCGACTATTGTCCAGCGCCCCGTGTCGCAGGAGGAGTTGGACGCCGTCACGGAACATGTCAGTCGGTCGGTGTATGGGCAGCGGATCGGACTGCCCCTCGGGCTGGCTATGGGCTCTCTGCACACGTACGCCAATCTGGCGGCGCTCAAGCAGACGGGGGCCAAGTGGCCCTCGTTCTCGGGGGTGATGTCATTTGCAAACATGCGCCTGCGCACGGAGCCGCGCACATTGCTATTCAGCTACGGTTTCAGGCTGCTCTTCTGGACGACAGTTGGGTGGACGGGTACCGGTGCTTACGCAACGCTGCGCGAGACGCAGGCAACGATTGTCGATCCGCGGATGAGAGGGTTTGTCGACGAGCTTAGACACATGAAGCCCGAGGAGCTTCGCCGACGCAAATTGGAGGCTGCCCAGAATCGGACGCGCCGCGCGCGCCAGCCCAGTGACGTACAGGAGGAGGACCACACCCACGGCGTGTTGGCTGAGAGCCACGAGGAACACAACAACAGAGACTACTCCTATCCTTACTCCGCCGACACCGATGACAAGGTCTCATCTCGTCCGTCGCCAGACCAGCCTCGTTCCATGCCTGACCGAAGCAACACCCGCCTCTGGGGTAACGAGGCCACCGCGCCAGCCCCATCGCTGTCCTCCTCCTCCTCCCGCGACGCGATGGATTTCTTCGACGACGCAAGCCCTACAAACCCAGAGTACAGAGACGATGGTCCCGGTACCTCCTACGGGGGTAGTGCCTGGGACCGAATCCGCCAGCAGAACATGGCAACGTCTGGCCGAGCTGAACATTTCCGATCGCCTCAAGACTGGCAGCAACAAGAGCCGCAGCAGCCTGAGAGCCCGCGGGATAAGCAACGCGAACGCGAACAGGCCCAGGCGGATTTCGACCGGGTGCTCGAGGCAGAGAGGAACATCGGTGACCCATCGGGCAGAGGGGGGTCAAATAGAGGCTGGGGGAGCTAAAAAAAATTGGCACCGATTCATTGGAGAGAAAAAATTCAACATCTATCCAGTGTATCCAATGTATCCATTCAATGTATCAATAGTACTGCAATATATCAGCTGGTATGGGGCACTTTTCCACCAACTCTCTGTAATACAGTCTTCTACCAAGATTTACATTTAAGCAAGTTTGTATCGATCAAGTCTCAATCCAGTTATTAGAACAGTTCATTCTGATATTAAATACATGCATTCCCCCGAGCGGCCCTCAAAAAAGAAAGAAGAAAGAAACATAAGCGTAAAGACAACCCGAATAGTAAGTTAGACATTCAAGAGAAAAAAAAGTGTCAAAACTGAAAACAGGACGCGGTCGATTCTCGACCAACTCTGCAATAATTATCTTCACAATTACTGTACCTAGTTAGTAAATATGAACCATGCCACTGAAGTGAATACCACTTACCGAAATCTCGGCCATCATATCCTCGCCACCAGCTGCAGGCTGGGCGGCCGCTCCGGTGGTAGGCGCAGCACTCTCGGCGGCACCGGTGTTCTCATTGGCAAAGTAATCAACCATCTCGGCGTCTAGCTCCTCCGCGGTCTTGGGCTTGGGGCGATTGGGGTTACGGGCACGACGGCCACGAGCCGGGCGTCCCTTACCGGCACTGGCAGCCTTTGTGGCAGTGGCTGGCTTAGGTTGAGACTTGGATTGGCTATTTCAGATTAGTGGCAAGAACATTTTCAACACTATACGAAGAAAGAGAGCTTACACAACACGCTCCGTAAGTGGCTTGGGGGCGGGAACCGCGGGCGCATGAGAAGCGTCGACAACAACCTCAATCTGGAAAGGGAGTCAGTTACACTCCCTGAATCAGGGAAATTAGATAGTTTTATACCTTCATCGGGCGGTTGTCAACAAGAAGTCCGTTGAGCTCCTTGGCAGCTTTGGCGGCGGTGTCCGGTTTGCTGAAAACGATCGAGGCAATTCCCCGGCTTGTGCCGTTCTGGTTGTAAGTAAGCATAACCCGCTTGACGGGACCAGCAGACTTGGCGAAGTATTCCTATGACGGACGCGACGATGATCAGTAAACTTGGCAGGCAAACTCATTGTATGTCAACCCGAAAGAAGAAAGACAGTCGCGGCAAGAGAGACGAGATAGTGTGCACGGTTCAATCGATGGTTCAAGAGCATCAGCGAGCACACAGACGGTAGCGAGTAGACACCACACCCAGCCCTCGTTATCACGACACCATGGCCCCCCAGATTCCACGACTAGGCCCAAATTTTTCCGACGCAGCTGACAGGGTCAATGTCCTCAAAATGTCGTGAAATATATTTCCCTCAATTGATGCCGACAACCTTCTTAACTGTCGCACACTCGTCTTGATTGAATCATCCAACTAAGGATGTTGAAGAATACCAGCTGGTTTTTCACAGCTTACGATTGGTGACCACCCAACACCATTCTTCAAGTCCCATCGCAAAAAAGATGCGACAGGGCACGTGCTGGGTCCTTGACTCATATGAAATGGCTCAGAGGAGCATTCCACAGCGCCAGGCCGCCAAGGAGGATACTTGAAATTTCCATCCTAGTAGCGATATTTCCCGGCACGTTGACAAGACATTGCATGCGACCGAAAAGGAAGGAAAAGGAACAGCCACTAAAAGAAAGTGGGTTCACTGCTGGTCCACTGATGCGCTCGCTGATGCCCTCTTTGAATTTCATTTGCGGAAACGATCAAGGCTCGATCAAGGAGACCGAAAAGAAAAATCCGGATGGCAAATTCCGCCACCCTCTGCACAGTCCGCAGCATGATCTTTGGCAAAACTGGATTTCGCTCAGAGGAGCGATTCCACTAGAAAGATACACGCATAGTGCAAGACTAGCGACAGCGCTCAACCCCGCTCACTTCATGTATTGCCAGCATATTACCGCAGCAGAAGGAGATATCGAGGGAGCATGCTGTCTGTGCAGGAAGAGAAACAACGAACGACCCACGTGTGCAGGAGGAACGACGTGGGCGGGCCGAAAGGCGAGTAGAAACCACGTGCGCCGCGAAGGTCTCAAAAACAGACACGGCGATGGAAACCCAAGGCGAAGGCCTCTCGATCAACATACCTTGATATTGGCCTCATTCACGTCGGAAGGCTAGAGAGAAAGATTAGTTTCTGCTGGCCCTCGATCGACGCCAAGAACAAGATAATGCAACTTACAAGACCGCTCACGATGATTTTGCTCTCAGTAGAAACAGCCGAGACGCCGGCTTGAGCGCCCTTTCCACCGGGTTTGGCAGCTCTGGTGGTCTTCTTGACACCGCCGACAGGGACGGCAGCCGCGGGGGCTTTGGTGGTTGAAGGGCGGCGACCGCCACGGCGAGCGCGCTGGCGACGGCCCTTGAGGAGCTCGTCGAGAGGCTTGTCCAGCTTGGAAGACATGTTGATTTGGATGAAGGAGACAGAGGAAACGGGTCGATATGATAAATTCTGGTGGTCCGGTGGTTCGGAGACGCGCTTGTCAGCAGCGTTTGCAGTCAGTCAGCGCCTGGGAGGTTTTCGGCCTGGCAGACGCGTTTCGTCGGAGGTATCAATATCGAAAAGCAGAAGCCGCAATGGAAAATAATACCCTGCTTAGAAGAGGAAATAGCAGACTCAGAGATAGTAGCAGATACGATGAGGAGGGGTGGTGATGAAGTGGGAGGATGCGTCAGATAGGGAGAGCGCGAGTTTGGAAGGGGAAAGCGATCTTTTGACGGGACACTTCGGAGTCTCACCTCACAGCCCAACACTAGGCTGCATCAGGACACCAACTTATCTGGGCCAATCAGCAACCAGTACCCAGTGAATGTCTTCTTGATAGGTACGTAGAATAGGACAGAATGGCTTATTATTGAGTATTTGTTTACAAGAACTATAAAAGAATAGAGGCTATTGTTTAAACAATGGAAACCATGGTTTACAAATAAAGTGAATCCCATTGAGAAAACCTCTGCTAATGCTATTGAATATAAAGGCAAAAAAATATCATCATCCACAGGCCCCGCCTGAGTAAAAGCATGCTCCGAGTTCGCCATGTGTAACTCCAATATAGGGGGAAAAAGCCTCTCCAAAGGGGTAAGTCCGGTTAGATGGTAGGCTCAGCTTTTCAGAGCCTCCAGACGACCACGCATCTGCTTAAGTGTTGCCTCTTGGTCCTCAAACTCCTCTTCGGCCATGGGTTCTTCTTCGAGCGGCTTCTCTGGCTTGACAGCCTCCACCTGGGATAGTTTCCCACGGAGAATATCCTGCAAGACCTTGTCTACCTCGGCGTCGACCTCTTCTTCCTCGTCTTCCAGAATCTCGTTGTCTGGGATCGCGTCGCTGACCATCTCCTCGATGATCCCCGCCCGCACTAGTTCCATCGAGAGCTGGTGCATGGTTGCCGACAGTTCTGGTAGCCGGACCAGTGTGTTCACATCCTTCATGATCCCTGTCGATTTCTTCAGACTCCCTTGGATCTTGCGTACCGAAAAGGCCTCATTGACCTGCATCTGGACACTCTGCAGCTGTGCGCGGCTTGTGTTCAAACGGGAGGACTGCTTGCGAATGCGAACTAGCTCGCGTGCAAACGTTCGGGTTTCAGCGTTGGCCTGTTTGGCCTGCGAGGGGTTGCGCTCCGCCCGCCGTGAAGCGTTGATGATCAACTGTCGTGTCTTACTGTCCAGTGTTTTCAACTGGGATATATCTCGGTCCAATTGACGGGTATTGGCGCGAATCAAGGCATTGCACTTCCTCATCTAAAACACCATCAGAAAAGGACCAGTCAGCCAGGGGTAAAACAGCAAGATTGTTATGGCAGAACCATACCTGTGTCTGAGGGTCCGGGCCAAAAAAAACGGCTCGAAGAGACTCCATGACGGCTGTTTCTTCAAAGTAGTAGATAGTATCTGGTTTCGTATCTCGTCTATCCAAATGTAGAATTTTACTGCGTATAATACCGTCGTAGCTTGTGATTGGGACTGGCGACTGTGATCAAAAGGTAAAAGTTCACTGTCCTCGCATGACTCCCGGTGGTGTACAACAAATTGCGACGAAAACAATGCTCCTGAAACTGATAGCCCCTCTTCAAAATATGAAGTATCAGAAAAGAATACACAGTAGCTCAGAACCCACGGAGACTGCAAGGTTATCTGGTGGTGGAGAGGCGCTTATCCATGTGCTGCAAGCCCAGCCAGGAAGTGAGTGGTATGAGGGGTGACGTCGGATCGTCTCTGCCTCAGGCCGTAAACAAACCGCAAACAGAGCAAACAGAAGCCTTAACCTTCCAGTACTTTCTAGCACGAGGGCCAGTCGCTTACTACTCGTTACGACTTTATTGCAGCTCAGCCTTGCAAGCTCCATCACTCCTCTACACAGTTTGCTTTTCTTGATATCGCCGTCGCTATCTCGTGGTTCCAGACTGTAATATTTCAGTTCTCGCCTACCGGAATTTGATTATACTACTCCCAGACATCCACAATGACTGATACTCAGCTCACCCCCGAGGGTATGTTTGGCTGCGTCCCTCCTTCCCCGCACCGTGGGCTTTGATGCGTTTGAGCTAGACCTTTGGGCAACGAGACGTCCAAAGCGTTGATCCTTGCGATACTCCACCTCGCTGTTTGAATTTGTTCGCATGTTGGCGAATCTCAATCGATCGACATCGGTCGGTTTTGAAGGTTACCAGGTAACATGAGTCGCTGACGCGCCGAATATAGTAACATGGGCCCAGCGCTCCTCCACCACCGATGCCGCCCGCAACTACCTCTACGTCAACCTGAACACACCGGATGTCCCCAAGAGCTCTGCTGACCTCTCCATCACATCGTCAAATGTGACGTTCACCGGGACAACCACCAAGTCTGTCAAGTACCACGTCTCGCTCGACCTGTTCGACGAGATCGATCCCGAGAACAGCAAGGTGAACCACACTGACCGGGGGGTTGAACTGATTCTGCGCAAGAAGGAGCTCAAGGAGGAATACTGGCCTCGTCTGCTGAAGACTGCCAAGAAGGCTCACTTCATCAAGACGGACTTCGACAAGGTACGGTGTTTGTAGCAAAAAAAAAAAAAAAAAAAAAACAATTAGCCGGTATGCTGACTCCACTAGTGGGTTGATGAGGATGAGCAGGATGAGGCTGTTGAGGATGACTACGCAAACAACTTCGGCGGATTCGGCGGTGAGGAGGGTGGTCTCGGTAACATCGACTTCTCCAAGCTGGGAGGCTTTGACGGTGCCCCCGGGCTTGGCGCCGAGGGTGGTGAGGAAGAAGATGTGAGATAATCTCTTTTTTTCTTGTTCTCATTGTGTCAGATTACTGACAGAGTCTCTAGGACGAGGATATGCCCGAGTTGGAGTCGGCTGAAGACAGCCCCCAGGGATCGAAGAAGATCGAGGAGGTCGCCTAGATTGACGGTGTGAACAAAACATGAACAAGGAAGCGATCCGGCTACCGCAGGTGTCGCCAATATTTCAGTGCACTGGGGAGTTGCTGGGGGGTGATCTGCAAACCCTTTTTTTAGGGTGCAGTTTATTTTGATTGCTAGCCTCATTTATCACAGTGTTGAAAATTATCAAGAGACCCAGTTACGTATTTTTCCATCTAGTACATAACACAGGCTACGATATATCAAGCGACGCAGAAGACGGTTGAATACAAGGTTTATCGTGGAATCGAGCAACACAACTTCTCATTTATTTTCGAAGACTACTTGACCAAATTGTGAGCTCAACTTGGCGGTATCTTTTCTAGTAGTTACCTAGGTATATACATGGAGGGAAGAACAAACAATCAAAATCTCTAACTACTCAACAACTCGAGTCAGTATACCGAACCTGTCTTGATCGTATAGAGAACTGCAGGATGCTTACAGAAATCATGCTGTTTCAACTTTGGAACAATCGCGACAGTACATCTCCTTGCATTCCTACAAGTAGCTTCTTAGCATCGGTTGTAATGCTATTCCCCGCCGGGATACTGCTTACCTTGTCAGTGGGCCAGACGTGCACACCTTTTATGACTAGGAGAACTTGAACTCCTCTCCTATTCACAGAGCACAATATCGCTTTCCTAACCCTACGGAGGAGATCCATAAATGCCTTGAATGGAAGAACCAGAAGATCACTGGTGACCCTGTTTAAATGATATTGATGACCAAAGAAACACCCATCAAAGATCCTCAAGAGAATGCACGATTAGGTACGCCCATGTTGAATCCGGAAGATCCATGGCACCAGGAGACGAGGGAATGGGAGGGGAGCGAGATTAAGACATATACCAAGGCGAATAGATTGGGCAAGTTGAGGATATTGTGGCATTGTGGTCATTATCATGATCCAGTATAATGAAACACGCTGACAGGTCTAAACACAGCAAATGAGGAGGGATGAGGAGAGGAAGAAGTTTCTCGGCCATTTTCGTCATTTTTATACACAAGGCAAATACGACCTGCTGGCAAGGTGAAGAAGCCCCCTGAGTCAATGTGTGGAAGGGAGTTGTTGTTCCTATCTAGGATCGAAGTGAAGAGAAAAGGCAAGCACAGTGCCTAGTATCCTCTTCCACTAAAAAATAGTGAATATACCAATACGAGTGAGATCGCCACTGGATCAATACTCGTACAAGGCCCTCGCAAGTATCTTCGGCACAGTAGTAGAATAATAGAAGCAGCTATACTAGAGTAATTGTATATGGTACTGGTAACTGAAGGCATTAAGTAGAATCTTCAATAGTAACTAGCATTTATAATAATATCTCATAAACTACCTAGTAGGTACGGTAGTTGGTTATAAGAACTCCAGGACTTTATAGGCCTCGCGTGGGCTTCATAGCGCTCTCTATGCCTTTAAGGGCGATTGTTAGCTCCCGCAGCCAATCCTCCGGGGGTTAGTCAACTTATTCGTTCGTTTAACAAGAATTCAGTACAGGTCACGTGACTAGTTTATCCCACCTGAACCAATCTGCGCTGTATGGAGGGACGAGTTGCTTCCACCGTCATCTTCCTGGCACAGTCCAGTCCGGCAGGACCCACGATCATTTTGAGTGTTCTGTTATTGCAGAGGCGACCTGCTGTTAAGATTTCAAAAGTTTCATTCAGCGTCTGCTTATTTCTATTGTCTTTTAATCCCACGCCGGGTTCCCGACCGCCACTGTGAGAAATTTATTTGATTGTTAGAACGTCACAGCAACAGTCAAGATGCCTCCCAAAAAGCCGGCGGAGCCGAAGAAGAAGAAGGCCTCGGTCGAAGACAAGGTTTGTCGCTGATTGCCAATTTCCGTCGCATTGAAAGAGGAGCTGACTTGGATTTTTTTTTTCTTTTCAGACCTTTGGCATGAAAAATGTACGTTGGAGACACACCACACTTGGAAAGAGGCGAGAGTCTTCCACTGGACAGTTGGACTGATATGCAACAGAAAAAAGGTGGCAAGGCAGCCAAGCAGATCGCCCAGCTACAAGCACAAGCGCAATCGAACAAACCTCTTGACGAGAAGCGCAAAGCAGCGGAAAAGGCCAAACGAGAGGCCGAGAAGAAGGCAGCAGAAGACGCCAAACGAGAAACAGCCGAGCTGTTCAAGCCCGTGCAAGTCCAGAAAGTGCCGTTTGGCGTGGACCCCAAGACGGTCGTGTGTGTCTTCTACAAGCAGGGCAACTGTGAGAAGGGCAAGAAGTGCAAGTTCAGCCATGACCTGAGCGTCGAGCGCAAGGCGGCCAAGAGGGATCTGTACACCGATTCGCGAGACGCCAAGGCTGCGGAGGAGGAGGAGAAGAAGAAGGATACCATGGAGGAATGGGACGAAGAGAAGCTGCGCAACGTCGTGCTGAGCAAGCATGGAAACCCGCGAACCACAACCGACAAGGTCTGCAAGTACTTTATCGAGGCTGTCGAAAATCAGAAGTACGGTTGGTTCTGGGTCTGTCCGAACGGGGGCGACAAGTGCATGTACAAACACAGCTTGCCACCTGGGTACGTATCAAAAAAACAACAACATGGTATATTCTTTTCTACTAACAATATCATAGCTTTGTTCTAAAGACGAAAGAGCAAAGGGCCGCCGAAAAGGCTCTGATGGACAAGTCACCGTTGAACACGCTGACGCTCGAAGACTGGCTGGATTCCGAACGACACAAGCTCTCCGGCACTCTGACGCCGGTGACACCCGAGACCTTTGCCAAGTGGAAGAAGGAGCGGCTCGACAAGAAGGCTGCGGAAGAACAGGCCCGCAAGGCTAAGGAGGCGACTGGCCGGATGCTCTTCGAGAGCGGCAACTGGCGTGCAGAAGACAGCGAGGCCGACTCCGACTCCGACGACGAGGAGGACAACGACACATGGAACCTCCAAGCGCTGCGACGTGAGACGGAACGGCTTCGTGAGGCGAAAGAAGAGGAGCGGATGGCACTGGCGTACGGTGGTGCCATTCCAAGAGCACCGGCGGCCGATGAGACCGCCGCGCTGGAAGGCGAAGGCTGAGCTTTCTTTTTCCTGGTTTTTCCATGCGCCGGGTGTTTTTGAGGAAAATTGTTCCGGGGAAGGGGTGGGGGGCGCGCTTTGCGGAGGAGGAGGAAGAAGAGGGAGGAAAGTCCCCTCTTTTCCCAACGGGGTCTGGTGGGAGTCTGGGGCAAAACCCCTGAAGTTGCTCTTCACAGTATCTTCATCTGCCCTTTTCCGGGTGGGGTGGGTGGTCTTTTCCTTCCCTCCCCTTTCTCTAACCGAGACTGGCTGGATGTAAGGTATTCGCCGCAGGCTTCGCTGCACCGTCCCAGGGAGCTCTATGCCGTGTATGGCATGTAAACACGGATCAGGTAGATCGGTGGTTAACGAGTAGAATTGATGATTAGATGTCAAGAATAAGATGAAGGATTACGAGGTCAAAACAGATTTGTGTATACTACCTAGTAGATAAATTATGGCTATAGCTATAACCTTCAGTATAAACTAAAGCCTTGAAATTTACAACGACGCCTGCCTCTCCCTTAACAAGCCTCTCTCAAGCATCAACAGGACAACATCCTCCGCAACCCCTCTCGAGAGTTCATACCCCCTCCCCCCAGCGCCGTAGGCATGGACGACGGTCTTTCCGGGAGCCAGGTCCTCGATTTCGATACGCATCCCGCCCTCTCTAGCGGGGCGGCGCCCGACAATGTCGCGGATGAGGTCGAACCGGCCGCCGCTCTCGGGCGTAAAGGGGAACCATTTCGCTGCGTTATCGAGCAGGGTCTTCCGCGTCTCCGGGCGCGGAGTCGGGGTCCAGTCGTGCGGCTGTTTCGTGCCCCCGATAATGGTGCCTCCGTCTAGTGGGCGCGGGATACAGAATGACCAGGTGCCGTCTGCGTTCTGGCGGGTGATCGTTGCAGAGCAGGGGTTTCGAACAAGACATGTTTGGCCTGAGCTACATATTAGTACTAGTCATACAGTAGGCTTAATAGAGAGGAAGAAAATAAAGAGAGGAAGAAAAGGACAAGAGGGTACCCCGGATTGGAAATGACTTGGGATCACCAAAGCCCATCCCCGAACAATTGACTGCTGTCTTGACATTCGGGGCTACCTGGAACGCCTCCATGATATCCGCCAGGGTGTATTCTCTCACGACGCCGCCTCGGAGAATGAACCGGCGCAGCATCCACGCACAGTAAACAGGCGAGTTGACCACGAAGGACTTGTAGCGGGCGCCCCATTTCACACCCTCAGGCAGTTCGGGAGGGTCAAGCAGTTGGAACTCGTCGAGATGGCCGTATGAATTCGCGACGAGGGTGTCGTCGAGGTACTCGTCTGGCGGGGATTCAAGGTGCTCGATGCCCTCGAGAGCCTGCACGCCGGAAGCGGGGTCGGACGCCGCCAGCGCCTTGAAGAAGGTATATGTCCGGCGTGCCTGGCATTCTTCTCGTACCAGCTGTGGCGAGGAGCCTGGTACAGGCCGGTAATGGGCACCTGCCCAGGGAGAGGCGTAGTTGATGGAGGTGTGGTGGGGGAAGTGAGTGGCGATCAGGAGGATGGACTGGGAGGGGCGAAGGTGTTCTTGGATGTACAGGGCATTGGAGAGGCCAGTGACTCCTGCTCTAGACATTAATTAATAACCAATTCGATTTATATGCATATCAGATGAGAATATATAGAATATACTCTATACTCACCCAATAATTACAATGGTCTCGTTGCTGGTAGCCATGATCAATTGTTGAAGATCAGATAGGAACAGTTTGCTATCAAACTAGAAACAACCTGACTATATACTATCTTTTTCTCGTGATGACTCACCGACTGCCTCGTGTCTATATAGTATATGAATTCTTGACAATTCAAGCATTGTCTCGATTGGTGTAGAGAACGCCTCCTCGTAACGGGGCAAGGCCTTGAATGCTGCTCAGCCATGCTGAACGCAGTGAAGTACACAGCCTTCAAGATAAGTAAATGGAGATAATATAAATATGGCTTACTAGACATATAATGATGTTCATAGATATATTCATATGAGAGATCAGTTGCTTCGTATTCTATTTTATATATGCTCTCATATTAGTAAGTAGTTGCAGTGTAGAACAACATTAAAGACTGGAATTGCCTGAGATACTCGAGAAAAGTAATCACATTAATAAGCATTAGAGACAGAACTAAGAGCAAGAAAAAAACTGCATCTGCGTGTATCGGTCGAATCAGTGTATTGATGAATGTGCTCGCATATGGATGGAGGTCTATGAAAGGCTAAGCAGACACGAACTGCAGTGTACACCATATCTCGATGTTTCATTAGGGTTGACATGGCTGTGCTGGGGGTGGATCCCTTAGAAGTAGGCTTGTGGCTGGGCATATCAATGGACAGAGGCCTTTGAGTTGGTCAGAGTCCATTAATGACACTTAAGTTAGTAGTGGCTGCATAGCCACCATGACATATTGCCTTGTGACCGAGGCAATAAATCACCCTTGGCTTTCTTTTCTTCAGAGGATTTCAGTGTCAAGATAGAATGAAATCGCCTCAACTGGGACTCTGGAGAAGGAAGAACTCGACCTTATCGTATCTTCTAGACTTTCTTCTTTCATCGCAGATACGGAGTCCCGAAGTCGATAAATCATAGCCACTTCTTGTCAAAGGTTAGTTCTAGCAGGAGGAATAGTAAGAGTGGTGTATACATACATGATTTTGACGGTGCAGTTCTCCATATAGACCCCAGGACTATACGTAGTATATGAATGTAGTAGTAGCGCTCAGTTTCAATATCCCTGCTCCTTCAAAAAGACTTTCTTGGATCCGGTGGCTTTCAGTATGTACCTACCCTCTACGACGAGATCCTCGTCGAGGCGGTTCTCGTCAACGCAAGATGTGTATATCCATGTGATCTCTCCATAAAGCATTGTCTTAAAGCATTGTATTTGCGGCCCTGATCATACTCAGAGACGCCACAATGCCGACAAACAGAGTCGACTACTGAAGCTCGAGACGTGGAATATATGACCTGGCTATTCGGACATGTCAATGATTGGAGTGGAGCCTGAGGAGTGTTCATCTGCTCGGGTTAGCATGTGTCGAAAACAGGTAGAACATCAACGCTGACGAGTACTGACCTGATCGAAAGCGTGAACCCTTTCCATGACACCCACAACGTACGATGGCGATTGTGCGAGAGGAAGGAGCGGTCTGTTGGCCCTTGGGTACCTAGTCTCCTCACATGACTGCTTTGGTCTGTGGTGCCTCAGGTATCTGTTTTTGTACTCCCGATAGACACCTCACTACTCAGGCATGCTCCGTCGAGTCACACAAGTACTCCATGATTGCGAAATCAACCAGACTAAAACTGACAGGTACCGGTAAAAAGCATTGCATGATTCCAAGACACCAGCCATCGAATTTATTTGCTTTGTTCCTGGTCAACTCGGACGCGATCCCCGCAATCCGATAAGAACTGTCTGTATCACTATCACGCTATCACATCACATTGCATCATTGCTGCTTTCGGTGCATTGCAGCAAAATGTCGAGTTTGCCTGAGAAGCTATGGAATCTAAACGTGTACATGGTGTTTATAGACAGGAACCGAGTTTTATAAGCCTAGGTATTATTCTATAGGTACTTACTAACCCAGGTATCTATAGAATACTAAGGTACCTGGTACTCCCATCGGTGGCACCTCGGAGTATACCTTACTTCACCATATTTGGTCTAGTCCAACTCCAGGCTTAGCGCCGTGGCCGTGCCAAAGCAGCCAATCAGCAGCTGAAGCTCGAGTCCGCCCAGCGCTGACACCCAGCGGAAGAGCTGTGATTGGCCAGGACCGGGTGACGGGAGATGCAGCGTGAAGAAACTCGAGTGACCACTACAGATACACAGGCCAATCACAGGCTGCACTCCCATTTTCCAGGCGCCGACCAGGTCGCAATGCCCGCGTGCCTGCAGCAGATACTGCTCCTGATTGGCTGCCGGAAGAAATGAATGCCCTGCCGACCAGGGCCAATGGCTGGGATCAGGCCGGGAAAGACGGCCCTGCTCTTTTCTACCCGCCGGCCGCTGATGATCCAATCCGGCCGGCCGTTTCTTTCCCCTCATGGAAGGAGCCCCCCAGGCCGGTTCAGGGAGCTTACCGCTGACCTGCGCCCCCCCTCCTCCTCCTCCTGAGGTTCCGGTGCTTTTTATTCTCCTGCCTTGAGTGTGGTACTAGAGGGTGTCTGTCTCCCGCTTCACCGACATCTTCATGCCGGTAGGAGTCTTCTCTCTGTACGGTACTGCTATCTCGACCTAGAGGTACGGGTGAGCGGCTGCTGTCAAGTTGGATCAAGTAGGTAGGTAGCTAGCTGGTCAAACACAGGCACATTCTGACTGACGTGATGTACAGAGACTCTCAAAACAATGGCCCCCCAGCCGGAAAATATGGAGGCGAGACTTGAGCCTTGTGCCTCGACAGCCTCGTTCTTTCTCTACACCCAGGGCTCGGTCATTCTATGCCTCCACCATGATACCCTCGCCATTGAACGTCGCTTTGAACGGCACCAGGAGAAAATCGCCTTCATTGCGGTTGATAATGTGACCGAAAGAGGCTCGGGGAGGCTTGTTATCAGCTATGATGTTGGCCAGACCGCTATAGTGTGGGATCTGTTCACCGGCACGGAGGTGGCGTGCTTCACCACGCTAGAACCTTTGACTGTCGCCGCATGGATGCGGAATGGTAATATCGCCTTCGGTAAGCCAAGTCAAGTGCCATAGCTCTCGTCAATATAACCCACTCATCAGTTCTAGGTAACTGCAAGGGCGATATTATCCTGTTTGAACCGGCAAGTTCGGAGCATATGTCGGTTCGCACCACGGATGATCCCATCACTGCACTGGCGCCAGGATCTGATTGCCGCACATACGCTATTGGGTTAGTACTCGTTGAAAAAAAGCCATTAGATTCCATCAGAATGGATTGTGGGTGCTAACGGGGTTTTCAAAGATATCAGAGTGGATCAATCCTCCTTGCAACGCTGCAACCCACGTTCACCGTCTTACACACCATTACATCTTATAAAGCCCCCTCACCAATTATATCCCTGACATGGCATGCATCCTCATCCAAGCAAAAGTCCGACATGCTCGCCACGCAGGCTTTGAATGGAGATCTGCGGGTATGGAGCGTGGCTAAACCACCCAGCCAGGAACCTCCAAGGGCCATTCGCATCCTGAAACGATCCGATTTGACCAATGACTCGCCAAAATGGATCTCATGGTCCAAGAACGGCAAAATTATTCAATATCTAAATAAGTGAGTGAATGGGAGACACATGAAGATGTTTCACATGGCTAAATTACCCCAGAGAAACATGGTCCTGGGACGTCCGCACAAAGCACGTCTCTTATGAACCCATCCCTACCGTCGAAGGCATCACAGGCATCGCCTGTTACGGTCCAGGCGCTACGTTATTTACCCTTGGCCCGCAGTACACTGTGCAACAGTACGATTTGGAAAATCCGGCTCTAGTTGCCAATGTCCAGCATCTTCCTCCAGGACTTCAGGCACAACCATCACCAGTTCCAGAATTGCACGTCTCAGAACCAACGGTTCCCGAACCGGCAGCTCTTGAACCTACAGCTCTCGAATCGACGGTTCTGGAACCAAAGGCCTTCGAACCGAAGGCTCTGGAACAAAAATCATTGAAGCCGTCTCCAGACCTTCCAGAACCAAGTCCTTCGGGCAGACAGTCCCCCGCCTTTTCGCACATGTCGGAGGCAGCCCGTCATCAGCTTCCGTTGCGCAGTCCATACTCGGTCAAAAGTCACGTTAATTCCCTCATCCACAACTCCAAGGCGTCTGTTCGATCCCGAAACAACCCGTACTCCCCTATCTCTCGGTCTGGGCAGAGCGGTACTACCTTCTCCACCCTCTCCCGTAACGATAGAAACACGATTCAACAAACAACTACCTCCATCGCCTATGCATCCTCTATATCAGGATCCTCATCATCCATGAAGAGCCCCTATGGCCCGTCTCGGTTGCGGAATGAGGTTCATTTCTCTCCCGTTGTAGATCATCATCAGGAGATAGACCTTTTTCCTTACACGCGCGCTCGGCTTATCGATGTCCCTTATAGGCAACATTGGCCCATGGATGAAACGAATCTCACGCCGGACAACCTGCGGCAACAGATGCTGGGCGTAGTCTTTGGGTGGGACGGCGACATTGAGGATTTGATCAGAAATGAATGTAGGAATCTCTCACACACTCTCTCTCTTTCTCTATTATATGCTGATAGTTTTTTTTTAGTGAGCCACCACCCCAAGGGCAGTCAGAGTGCCATCCTCCTGGCGTGCTGGCTGGGAGAATCGGATACAAATCAGATGGTCAGCATGCTTGGCCCCGGGCCTGTGACGGTTTCGGACTGGATGCTTCTTGCTCTCAGCCAGATGACCGGTCAAACTCAGGCCAACAAAGTTGGACAGGCATTTGTCCAAAAGCTGCTGGAGGCCGGCAATGTACATGTCTCAGCTACGGTCCTGCTAGGTCTGGGAGATCGAAACGACGCTATTGAGGTCTATGTCTCGCAGAACTACTTCCTCGAGGCTATCCTGCTGACGTGCCTGGTGACGCCCACGGACTGGTTGCGACAGTCCCACCTGGTGCGCCGATGGGGTGAGCATGTTGTGTCAGACTCTCAGCAGCAGTTAGCAATCCGCTGCTTCATGTGTACTGGGGTCGAGCCGTCGGAGCCATGGACCTCTCCGTCGGCCCAGCAGGCGACCACTTCATTCGCAGATCTGATAGGTGGGGTATCTCCTCTGGCGTCTCCGGAACCACCATTTCCTCCTGTGCAACTGTTGACTGTACCGTCCTCTGAGCGGGATGTGGTTGGTCCTTCGATGAAGGGACCCTCGCTGAAATTGATCACCTCATTTGGATCCCAAAATCGAAACCAGTTTCGGTTTCCCGGTCTCAAGTCCGAGGACCGCACGCCCACCAACCTGCCCTGGGTGACACCCATTGCGGAGTCGGTTGTTGGAGATTTTGGCATGTCTCCAGCCGACTTGGGGGCATACCGGGCGACAGGGGGGAGGTCGGGTACAAGTACGCCAGTCTTCATGCGACGACGCCTGGCCTCAATTGGTGAGACCCCAGTCGACGTGAGCCCTCCCCCCTTTCCCCAATTGGCCGACAAGAAAAAGGTCCAAGAGAGTGAAGACTTGAAGCAGCAGAGCAAAGGAGAACCATTGACCCTGTTGACATCTGCGCGATATGAGCCGGGGAAAGAAGCGGGCTACCGACCCAGTCCTCAGACAGCTGTCCAAGCTACTTCCAACAAATTTTCTTCCATCAAGGGACTGCCCAGCCCGACAGCTGGCATTTTTGATGCGCTCAAGAACCGACCGTCTAGTCGAAACTCCTCCAGTGACCGCAAACCGGAAGGGCTGCATATTCGTTTGCCCGGATCTAATCGTTCTTCAAGCTCGAGCATCAACCTGAAACCGTCCGCGGAAAAAGGAGAAGAGATCGAAGTCTATGTGGATGGGCGGAGTCCAGCATCATCAGCACTGAATACAGGATCCACACTGAATAGCGGCTATCGATCAAACAAGAGCCCAATGGTGGTCAGCGGCCGGAGCACTGATCAATATATCAGCAGTCTCGACGAAGCATACTACCATCAAAAGAAATATCAGGAACATCGCCGGCTCCGGTCCCGGGGGCGGTACAACGCTGAAGATGCGGCTAGACGAACTCACAGTCAGGAGTCCCGTAATCGCAGGCACCACCAACCCCCACCTTCTGCTAAATACTCTTCATGCTCCTCGGCACAAATGTCCCCAGTGGATTCGGTAGGGGGCCAGACCAAGACAGATCGTTCCATCAAGTCCCGCGCACGGAGCAGAAGCAGCAAGGGTAAGGGTCGTAGCTCTCGGACCCGCACTCCATCTACTCGTCGATACCGTTCTACCAGTCGAGCCCCTGACCATCTTGAGGTAGAAACCCTAGAGCGGGGGCGGAGTCGAAATCGGGACGGCTCCAATGCGCGATCCCCATCCTCGCCACTGCCCCTGTCCGCTCTGCGGCAAGAGGCTACTATCCTCCCTCCTACAGAGCAGCTAGGCAGCGCGTTTCGGTTGGTGGCTAGCGATCGGGAACGACTACGGTCTCGCCCACGGAGCCGCAGTCACCGTCCAGACAAGAGAACAGGCCGGTCTCCCGGTGGCAGCAGAGCCAGCTCCCGGAGCCGTCGGGTTCGGGAACTAGACGAGCCCTCGGAGCCCGAACGGAACGGAACAGCGAAGCCGGATGGCATCAATAACAATAGCGACGAGCCTACGGAGAAGCCCTTAGCCTCGTCTGACGATGAGGCCCACCATGTGGCCGCGGCGGCCACAGCTGCCCCCATCAAGCTTTTGAATATAGCGGGTCAGCGACGGAAGGAGCTGGCAGCCGCAGAACTGGAAGCACGTCGGCTTTCACTAACGCGAAACCCGTCAGCGCCGAATATCCCATTCCCTGGGCAACTGCAATCGTCTTCCGGGAAAAGTGCTGCGGATCTGCCCACTCTGGTTGGGTCAGCAAAGGGCCGGCTGCCGCTGAGGAAGAGCTCGCCCGAGTACCTGAGTGGTTCGGAATCTTCACACTCCCCTCGTTCGACCAACGGGGCTGCTGTTGGTCTCCCCGCTACGCCTCGAGCGATGCGGACTGCAAAAAATGAGGAGGAGGCGCCCTCATTTCCTCCAACGATGCCGATGTCGGCAACCTTTGAATCCACGCTGGCGGCCAACACCATTCCTCCAGACCGGATCCCCCGCTCCATGTCTGTTCCAATGATTGAAGTCCAGGCATCGCCGAGAAAACCCTTGGAACTTCCGCCGTACCACCCGCATTACAACCCAAATTTCCCTCGGAGCCGGTCTGCTAGCCGGGGCGCAGGTGACAGCCGGCCCCATGTCACTTCTACCACCGTGACGGTTGGCATTGGGGAACGGATGAGCGGCGAAATCAGCCCGCCTCTCCTGCCCGAGCTGCAGCATTTGAAGATGCCGCCGCCACCGCCGGCCCTGCACTCAGCGGCCGATTCTCGTGCTTTTATGGGTGATGGCATCTTGCCTCCCGGCTCTGAAGCGGGTATGATTGAGATGACCATGGACAACGAGCACATGGCGTCTGGGTTCCCACGGGCGATAACGGCCAGCCCCGCGATGGTCATCGACGGGAGGCGCACATCATTTGAGAATAATAACACCCACCGGCGTGGGAAGAGCATCAACGAGACGCTCAGCTATAAGTTTCGCACCTTGACAGACCGCATGCGTACGAACACCAACACGGGCGCCCGCCCACAGGGGACCAAGTCTCCGGAGCCTGAGCAGATGTCGTTTGAGAGTGTTCCCCAGATGATCGAGAGTAGGTATTAAGCCTACACTTTTTTTTCTCTTCTCTTCATTTTGATGTGTCTTTGCTTTCATGAGTATTTGATCACACCCAATATCTAACCTATATACCCGCCCCCTTGTTTTATTTTCTGTGTCTATTTTGTTTATCTAAACTGTATATTCCAGCGCCAAGCCAGCGACCATGTTTCCCTTTGTTTCCTTGACTTTTATTTCTACAAATTGCATTGTAACTACTATGTAATATGAACCAGTATAAGTTTCTGTATGAGAAGGTACCTAGTATTAGTATTCAATTCTTCACTAGCATGATCTCACTCAATTGATAGAATAATTAATAATGTGTTGATGTAATTATATAATAAATTCTTCTTATATTGATCTAGATAAACTTATCCTTGTAGTCACTCTGTATAGATAATAAGACTTTCCACTCGCTGTACAACTTCATACTCAATTATAAGAAACGAAAATCTCTCATCCAAGAGCAGTCAAGTACTATAATTATAGCTCGAACAACCTAGTAGTTTACTACATGCTGTATGATAATAAAAAAGTATAGATATATAATTGATCCATTGCTCACACCGCTATTTTTCCTCATGCAATATCGAACCTAGAGGAGTTGTTGACTACCAAGGCAACCAGGTATTAAAATGGGTACCTTCGTTTCCGAAAGACCTACTACTGCCTATTCTAGAATTCCCACCGATACCTGGAACCATGTTCCAGTCAAATAAAACTCAGTTGAACGAGCAGTGATCGGCAGAAACCTTCCAGCTGGCTGGATGGGGTGGTTGGTTGTTGGGCCGATAGTGCTGTCGATCTGTACATGCTAGAAATTTTGGATAGCCTCAACTAACTATAAGTTGGTACAGTACATAGCTAACTGACGAACTGATTATATTGCTGTAATCTGTATCTGTATTATCTTGAGAAAAGGCAGGAGCTGTCCCCTTACAGGATGACATGACAACTAGTTAGTAATTACTTCTTCATTAATTTATATCTATGTGACGTTCCAAATACACCTAATTCTCCCACCCTAACCCTCCAGCTGCTCTCGTGCCGTCACTACTGCCACACGCAGCCTCGAGCGTAGAAAGGTTTCCAGCCCGGCATACATGGCCATCCCTGGGTCCGGTTTTGCGCCGGCCAGACCGATGCAGTACTTGGCGGCGAACAAATCGAGAAACTTGTTCACCTTGACCAGCTCTGTCAACACCAGCTGGGCCACCATCCGGTCGCAGTGCTCTGCGTTCAGCGTGTAGGCACCGATGTTGATCGATGGGATTGATACCCATTCCGCTAGACTGCACGCCGGCGATGCGGGCGTAGATGACAACGACGAAGACGAGGATGAAGATGAAGACGATAGAAGTGATGTTGCTACTGCTGCTGCGGCGGCGGCGGCGGCGGCAGTTGATGATGGTAGCGGGCAAGATGGAAATGGTGAATCGGAGCCACGACTGCTTCTGCTGCAACATCTACTGATGCTGCTGCGGCGTTGCAAGGCGAAAGAGTTGCCGTCCAGACTAGCTTGGTACCAGGCAAGCATACGGCAGGCGATGGTTGTCAGTGAGAGGATAATATCAGCCTGCCCCGCACAGGAGCAGCAGTTCACAATGGTGAATAGTGTGTCCATCGCCGCACTGTTCTCCTGTAGCACCGTGTCGAGGCTGCGCGGCATCGCCACCGTGGCGCCCGGGGTGGGGGGTGGGCTGGCCGAGATCCGCAGTGAGCAGGCTGATGGTGGTAGTTCCAGACGCTGCAGTGTCGACGTGGCCAGATGGGCACAGTGATCAGGCAGCCAGAAGGGCGGCAGCGGGTCGGTGAATTCCGGCTGGAACTCCAGTCGTGGCCAGCACGGAGACGACGTCGAGAGAGTTGCTGCAGTTGCTGCCGTTGATGAATCTGTCATCGAGGGTGCCGCCGCTGATGGTGGAGGAGGCCCTGCCGTAACGGAAAAGGTGAGTGCGTCCGGCTCTCGCCAGGGCATCATGCCCTCGACCATTGATAGACCGTCCACTTCTGAGGTAAACAAGAGAGCATCTTGTTGCTGTAGCGGTAGCGGCGGCGGCGGCGGCGGTCGTAGTGACGGTGGTGGTGGTGGCGGCGGTGATAGCTTCTTGGGCATCCGCGTCTCAAAAGTTATGGCAGAGTAGGGCCGTTTGCGAGGTCGTTGGGACGGGCTGTAGATGCACGAGACGCCCTGGTAGATACAGCGTTGACATCGTGGATGGTCTTTGCTGCAGCGCACCTTGGACCGTGAGCAGTTGTCGCAGCTGGCGCGGATGTTGTCGGCGGGCTTGGAAGTACTCTCCATAACTGTTGGCCTGAAAGCGGAGAGAAAGTGTCCGGTCATTGAAATTATATCATTGATGGGGATACACAGCAGACGAAGAGAGACCCAGGGACGGCTAGATAGACAGACGAGTATAACTAGGTCTAGACAGACGCAGATTGAATGCAGATATCACGATATAACTGCAGCAGCGTGGTTGGATATGTCACACGCAAGGGAGCAACTGCACAGCCAGCTGCCTTTGCAATGGCCCAAGGGACATGTAGATCCTCACACACATCTTTGCATTGTTATGGCAATAAGCAAGAGGGATGTAAAAAATCAGAACACCTCCCATCCCCCAGCATTACTCGATCAGAGGTTGCAGTCTGGCTACCAAACTGTCGACTGTCCCATCCCACATCGTTCCAGGCTGGCCATCGAGGGCCTCCTGCCTACCAGGGGGAATCAGGACCGTCTCAACAGCATGTATTACTCCGTCCATGACAACGATATCCGGCCTGCTGGCCGTCACCGCGTTATTGATACGGATTGCCGGTTGCGAGTCGTGTTTCTCGATCGTGACCGACAGATTGAACCCACCGGGGGCCAGTGTCGGAAGCCAAGTCACATCAGTCTCCGTCAGATCAATCTGCTGCTTCTGCGTGTGGTGGAAGTAGACGTCTGAAAACAGGGTGTGGTTAGCCACCACATGATACTCCATTAATGCCTTGAGATACGCCTCGCCGCCAGGTCCGAAGAGAAACCGGTTAACCTGGTGCCCCAGCTTCTTAAAGGCCGCGTTTGTCGGCGCAAAGACCGTCTGACCGACGTGTGTCGACGTATCGTTGACTACTACGGCCACCTCTGAGACAGTTAAACCCTTGCAGAAGGTGCGAAACTCGGGCGAGGAACGCAAAACATGCGATGTCGACTCGGGTAGCGTCAACACACGGTCCACATAATGCAGTCGTCCGTTGACGGCTGCTTGTTCCGGACCGAGAATGGTCGACAGATAATTGAGCATTACTGATGATTCCACCCGCTGTGTACTGATCCGCTGTTTGAAGAGCCAGAAGATATCCGCATTGAGCACCGTGCCCACAGTGCCCTTTCTTTGCAGGGCCTCGCGTGACAGTTCGCCCGGGGCGATGTGGTAGGAGGCTAACATGATATAGAAGAACCACGGCGAGTCCCAGTGGAAGAACTCTCGGGCAAAGGCCTCGTCCGTGGGTGCAAACACCGTCAACGAGAGGTTTGGCGTGTTGAGGGGAGCCACCAGCTGGGGGAAGTCTCCCACAATGGCCGCGCAACGCGAGAGACGCGGCTTGCTCAAGAGCACCTCCCACAACGTCCCATTGTGCTGCTCAACCCCGTCCATCTCATGGTCAAATACCGAAAGCAGAGGCGCCGCCTGGTGCCATCGAGTCAGGTAGAACTGTACAGCGAGCGAGACGGAGGCAATAAGAGCTGTGACTCGCGTTGCACGGAACAGCGTGCGTTTGAATTTGCCCATAGCCGTTGATGGAAGAGTTTCGACGACAGGAACATGGAGAAATACCTCTGATGGAGGAAATCTGAAGAGAAAACAGAAGATAGAAGAGGAGAAGAAAAGGGGGTGATAAGAAGAACAAAGAAACGGAAGGTTCTCGTCGGTCCCAATTGGGTTGGCCAACGTGACGTTCTGACTTCCTGATCCGGACGACTCGGTCTGTATTATTACCGTCACAATACTGGATTTTATACCTCAGATACTGTCTTTTCTTTGTTCTCTCCTCCCTCTTCCTCCTCCTCTCTCTCCTTTTCTCTCACACAAGATTGTGTTCTTTTATTTCCTGTTGCTGGCTGTCAGTCGCTATGGGGTGGTATCTATTGCTGCTGCTTGTCACGAGACCAGCTCTGGCCAAGCTCGTCCGCGAGGAACTGACGCTGACCTGGGAGCTGGGCGCTCCCAATGGCCAGGTGCGCGAGATGATCTTCACGAATGGGGTGTTTCCTGCGCCGAATTTCTTCTGGGAGGAAGATGACGACATTGAGGTATGATGGCTGATCGTGGTTGAGAAGCTTTTTGCTATCATTTTGGCAATGCTGATTGATATCTTCCAGGTAGTCGTCCATAACCGGATGCCCTTCAACAACAGCGTCCATTGGCACGGAATGCTGTAGGCTCTCCATGTCTTTCTCCCAGCCCGGGGCTTTGATATCTGATCCATCGTTCGAGATAGGATGCAGGGGACCCCGTGGTCCGATGGAGCACCTGGTCTAACGCAGAAGCCCATTGAGCCCGACGAGAGTTTCGTGTATCGATTCAAGGCCTTCCCGGCAGGGACTCACTGGTACCACTCGCACTCACGCATGAATCTGTTAGACGGGCTATATGGGGGGATCTTCATCCGGTATGATCGATCAGACGATGGTTCACATCAAACCAGAGAAAGCTGATATCAGATAGACCCAAAGAAGACGCATCAGCCCCTTGGTCCCTTATCAGCAATGATTCTCGAAACATTGAAGCCATGGCGGCAGCTGCCGCCACCCCGGAGCTGGTCATGATCTCGGACTGGTCCAAGTTCAAGTCGTGGGAGTATATGGCCGCCCAAGAAGACTCTAACTATGTCATCTTCTGCGTTGATAGCATTCTCATCAATGGCAAGGGCAGCGTGCACTGCCCGGGAGAGGAGTATGTAGTTGACCAGACCAGCAACTACATGAAATGGGCATTGTACCCATCACATGTTAATGATAAGGGGTAGGTACTAGATTCTTAAGTCATCAAAAACTGTAAAGCTAGGAAGAGAGAATAAAAACTGACAGTTGTCAGGTGCTTCCCCTTCATTAAAGCCACTGAAGGCCCGTTCTTGGAGTCCGGACACCCGGAAACCATCCCGCACACGTTGCAGAAGGGTTGTGTGCCCTCAGCCGGCGAGGAGGTCATCATCGAGGCCGATCCTCAGGCGGAATGGGTCAGCCTCAACTTGATCTGTGCCTCCACCTTCAAGGCCATCATCGTCTCCATCGACGAGCACCCGATGTGGGTATATGAGGCGGACGGTCAATACATCCAACCGCAGCGCGTCGACACGCTGACCCTCTACACCGGCGAGCGGTATGCGGTATTGGTCAAGCTCGACCGTGCGCCGCGCGACTACACCATCCGCGTGGCGGACAGCGGGATCACACAGATCATCGCCACGTCTGCCACGCTGCGGTACCGCGGGCCCCAGCGCTGGTCGCCGTGGCCCAGCCGCGGCGTCCTCACCTACGGCGGCCAGAACACGACCCCCGTCGCGACCCTCGACCGGAAACACCTGCGGCCGTTCCCCCCGCACGCGCCCGCCGCACACTCGGACGCCATGCACCTCCTTCGCACGCACCGCTGGTACGCCCCCTGGAAGTACACCCTCTCCGGGGGCGGCATGTATGCCGAGGACCGCAGTGCGACAGCGCCCCTCCTGTACGATCCGCACTCCGCCGACGCACAGAACGAAAGCCTCATCATCCGCACCAAAAACGGCAGCTGGGTCGACCTGGTTGTCCAGGTAGGCTCGCACCCAGCCCAGCCGCAGGAATTCCCTCACCTGCTGCACAAGCATACGGGGAAAGTGTGGCAGATCGGGTCTGGCAACGGGATCTGGCAGTACGCGACGACAGACGAGGCCATTGCCGCCGAGCCGGCCTCGTTCAACCTCGTCGACCCGCCGTACCGCGACACCTTCATCACCTGGTACGACGGGCCCTCGTGGATCGCCCTGCGGTACCAGGTCACCAACCCGGGCCCCTGGCTGTTCCACTGCCACATCGAGATCCATCTCAGCGGGGGGATGGCCGTCGCCATCCTCGACGGCGTGGACGTCTGGCCTGAAGTCCCACCAGAGTACGCGCCGGACCAGCGAGGCTTCCTCCCAGGCGAGGAGGGTGTAGAGATCGCTCCATCACCCCATCAACCCGTCGAGGCCACGTCTACACACGATGACTCAACCGTCAAGACGCAGGAGAATATTGCATATTGGAACGGGATGCTGCGCAAAGTGATTGGGTTCTTGGAGAGCTTGGTGAGCGTACCTAGTACCTGATGTACCTACAGAGTAGGTAGTTTTTTGATACGTAGCTGTAATTAATTTGGGCTTTTGTGCTGCACATGCCTCACCGCCAGACAAGATACCAAGGTAGTAAGTATGTAGTGGAAATGAATAGATTTCTATAATATGTACTACAAAAACAAAAAAGGGTGATAAACTGGCGGTCTGCACACGCTGCTGGCTTATCTCTTCTTCTCATTCAAAAATCGCACGCAACTAACCTAGACCTCCATGGATGATCACCGCGGACCCTTGAAGGTGACGAGTGCATCGCATCTTGCAGGGGTAGAGAGACAGGACAGGGTTTGGCGGGCAGCAGCGACAACGGTAGAAGGAGAGCATTGCTTTATTAATTAGACCCCTATTGGACGGGCTTGCAGTTTCGGTCTATTCACCGTATTTCAACTCTTCATAGTAAAATGCCTGGTGTTCTGCAGGGTCGCTGGCCACCATGGACAACTGGACCGGCCAGGCCGTCTTGCCGTCGGTTTGAGCACCATCGAAAAATATCCCTCCGTTTGCGCTACACAGAGGTAGCCGCCCTGAAGCCGCGTCATCCTGGATCTTGGTCAAGTCGGTCGTTTGGGAGACGTGAAAATATGGGCGTGTGCGGTGAGAGGGGACCTTATGGCGTTCATTCTGTGACCGAGTCTCAAGTAGTAATTCTGACTGCGTCACAGCGAACCCTGCAAGATCATCATGGATGGCTTGCTGTTTCCTTTCTAGAAAGGGCCCGTATTGTGTCAAATGTATGACCAATGTTAATTGGGATTTGAACAGTCGCGCCAAAAGAGGTAGAATGATTTTTCAGCCTATAGGCAAAGGCCAATGAAGCTAGTCCATTGAATACACTGTATACACATGCCAAATCCCTGGGTGGTTCAGTTATCTAGGGCAACTTCCAAAACAGACATCACGCTGCCCGCTGGCTGTACCACATTCATCAGCGACAGCCGCTTGTCCGCTTTCCGCAGCAGAGCCATCCAGTCGTCCATATCTCGCTCCAGTGCATTGAACCCCTGCAACATGGCCATGTCGCGGAGACGTAGTAGGCGCTCCTGTGTCGCTGGTAAGGAGCCTGGCGGTGGCAGCACCGTGTCCATGATCAGGATGCGCGACACTCCCGGCGTCATCGCAACCGCCAGATTGCGCAGAATCGTTGTGGCCTCCTCGTATGGCCAGTCATGCAGGATCGCCCGCAGGAGGTACACCTGCGCACCGTTCACGGGTTGTCGCTGGAAGAAGTCATGGGCCAGGAACTTGACGCGTTCGACTAGCGTGGGCTCCGTCTCACAGAGCGTGGCTTCTCCCATCTCCGCATTGGCGGGCAGGTCCTCGACGATGAAGCTCAACTCGGGGAACTCGTGCGCCAAAGTAATGGCGGCGTTGCCTGTCGACCCGCCAACGTCGACCACAGTCGCCTGGCCGAGACTCGCCCAGTCAAACCCGTTCACCAGGTGGCGGATAGCTGTACCCTCACCGCTGGTCACGTTCTTCATATACCTGGCAAACTGCTTCTCCTTCTCCGGCTGCGTCGCAAGGTAGTCAAAGAAGGGGAGATCCGTGTCAAAGGCGATGTTGTGTGCCGTTTCGTTCTTCTTGACGCTGCCGGGCCAACGTTCGCAGGCTTCCACCAGCCGAGACGCGGAGGGGATCGAGCTCTCACACATGAACACGGCCCAGTCATGGAAGTTAGGGTGCGTCGCTAGCATAGCGGACGTCGCCGTGTGCGCGATCTCCCCAGCCTCTGGTTCATAGAACACGTTGCTGGTCATGGCCATGCGGGCCACGGTCTTCAATTGCTTCACTGAAACATTGGCCTTGGCAGCGAGCGCCTGGTAGGAGATAGATCCCTCCACAGGCACCATTGCAAAGATCCCGAAGTGCGTTAGCCAGTGGAGACTGGCGGCTTCTTGGATCTAGTCATGTAAGCAGAGCCCTGATAACTGATGTTGATATATATAATACTCACAGCAATGTTCAGGTTGATGATGTATTCACTAGGTCCGACCGCGAGCTGAAATGTCTTGAACGCAGCCTCGATCAAGGCCTGGCGGGCGGCTTTGACGTGCGCCGGTGCAGACGCAGGAAGAACCACGATCGGGGCATCACGTTCAAAGGATGGGGTCGGTAGATTCTCAGATTGCAGAAAGGCTGTCAGAGTCGCAGCATTGACTGACACTTGGTCCGCGAGAATTTCGACCTGGCTCTTGGGGTGATTCTGACTGGTCAATCGAAGTTTACGATTGGGGGGAATGACTTTGGAGGACAAAGGAGCTACTACATGAGTGAAGCAAAGGGAGGGAAGTCTCCTGATCCACATGAAAGCTGAAGACTGCATATTTCCTAGTGATGGTGCGTATATTTTGGAGGGTGGCAGCAATAACCTCTGGAAATGGGCTATTACACCGAAAATCAGGTCAAGCCCGACTTAAAATCCAATGTCGGCCGTATCTGCCATCTGGGGAGCCCGAGTAAGACGACGGAAGCATCCTCGTATTGCAATAAAGAACCCTTTCAAGGTCAGGATTTGCGATGGCTATGATAGCCGTTCGTGTCTGGCTCGGATAAACACTCGATCAAGAAAGCTTCTTGCGCTATCTTTGAGTTCCTTCCGAATCATGTCTTTCATGGCAGCAGAGGTGGCCAGTAGTAGCGGTTCAACTGTAGGGCCAGCCTTATCATTTCAAGCATTCGGCTTGAGCTATTTTGTACAACTTTGCTCTCGAACCGGTAAGCTTTTTGAGGAAAAGCAAGATCTCCAGTATCTGCGATTTCTCTGGACCCGATCGTCGTGGCGGAGATTGTACCGGATCTAGACTTCGTATCTGAATCAGAACAAAGAAAGACAGTGAACCTTATTGATGACCAACCTCGGCTAATAGAAGGAACTTGATTTTCCGCTTCCCCCCGGTCGATGAGGTTTTAGCCTTTTAGCCATTATGAAAGAGTACGGGGTGATGGTTGGTACTCAGCAAGTCGATTCCGAAATATATAGTTGAACAGGTGCTTTTAATTCTCGATATCACATCTTTCCCAAGCTACTTTGCGCAGGTAGATAATTGATATAAACGTGTAGATATGAGCATATGCACCGTGTAATCGAAGCGTTAGGCCGACAGGCTTATTTAATAGTACTAAACATGTCAAAGGTTGCGATTTCCCAGGACATCTGCCACCAAATCGATAACAAAGATGTCATCCAGCGCCACAATCTCATTCGAGGTCTTGTCATTCGCCACAGACAAGAGCAAAAGCAAGGGTCTTTGAGCTGCAGGCTGGCTCTGTGGCTGCAGTAACGCCACAGCTGGTAAGCACGGGCGATCCGTGTGGCTGCCAAGGGATGAATATGCTGTTCATGGCAAGCCTCAATGCCCCCCCAGGACAGCCTCCCCTCCCCGCATGAGTGTTATGGTAAGTAGATTGGCGGAAATGAAGCCGATCGCAAGCATTGCAGCGCGGAAGCTCGAGATGCAGGACGGACGCCTCCTGGATCCACCAGCTGCACTGAATCGATGTTCAGCAGCTGGCCAGCAGATACTCCGTATTTCTGCAAAGCCGCCACTGTGAGTTGGCCCGCGCTTTGACTGACAAAAGGTCAAGTCATGTTGCACGCAGGTTGGGAATGATTGAATCGATCTGTTGGGGTATTGGGCATGGAGACGATGGGGCAATTTCCTTGCTGTCTGAGACTCAGCTGTACAGGTTACTCCGTAGTACGAGTACGGAGTACAGAGTACTCCATATGCAGTAGCTGGTGATGGATGTGATGAAAGAGTGATGCTTGTTTGTCGTTGTTGTCGTCGAGTGAAGTTCAAGTTGACACCTTCCAATTTTGGATGGGTGGATGCAAACAATACAAAATCACATGTCCTGTATGTACTCCGTACCTCCTCCGTATCTACTACTCCGCACATCAGTAGGTAGGTGTTTAGTTACCTTAGGTAGTTACCCAGTAACTGCCAGGTAACTGGCTGTCTTTCTTACCTTGTCGTTGCTGTCAAGCTCTCAGACCCCAACCCTAAGCTTTACTGCATCTGTATGACTGACCCCCCTACTCCGTACAGATCCTGCGAGCAAGAAACTCTCTTCTCCATCTTCATTCCAGGGACTGATTCAGAGAATGGAGGTCTGGGGAATACTTCCTCGAGGCCAGGAAGCTGAGTTACATTCCCAGTGCTCGATCGATCCTCCCTACCTCGATCCATACCGATCATGTTGAACTGATAGATCGATGCAGCGATCCAACAGCTAGTTGATGTCTTTGATCGGTGAAAATAGCAAGCAGAAGAGATGATATATCGGACCGCCCATGGACCAAGCAAAACATAATATCCGCATTATGTTTTTCTATCTGCTGACGAAGTACTACATACATCTCGAGCACGCATTCGTACTTTGGTATTGCTCAGCCTTGCAGCCTAATTTTACACGGTGGAGGGGACTACTCTGGAGTTTGTACTCCATATGATCAGTCATAAATAACTTCCTTCAGGCTCACTTTGATGATGTCAGGAGTCTACTCCCCGAGCCACAGACCCCGAAAGGTCTAGATAGGCCCAGCCCTTGCCGCAGACACCTCTCGAAAACCAGGTTTGTGGAATGCGTCCTTGCGGCGATCGTCGAGCATGGAGGCGTATGCATAGTACCTCGGAGGTAGATACTACATAGTTAGTGTGGTGGCGTGTACTTTAGTCCGGGGAAGGTCTCCGTGTCATTTGAATTCGGTGATTCTCGGTCGTAGCATCGTGAAGAACTGGCAGTCTGTAGCTTACCTCGTTTACTAGGTAATACTCCGTACGGAGTAAATCGTACCTCGAAATACGACTGGATGCGAGGCACGAAGTAGCCCGAAGCCTCAACTAGCTAGTCAGTTCGTAATTGATTAATATTAATAAGTTGAATCCCAGCCAGTGATCATACCGTACTTTGTACAGATTACACGTCAGTAGTTACAGAGTACGGAGTAGTGATTCATAGATTAGTCAAGTCATCTCATCACTCACCAGGCGGCAACACGACAACACATCAGACAGATGGAAATTCGATGAATAAAAAATCATTACTGACTAGTACCCAGGGCCATCTCCATCAGCAATTTATATTTACCCCAGACCCAGACATTGGTACTCTTAGTAATCCAATCCACCCGGCTGTGCCCGATCACGGGTATTCCCGCGCGGGGCTCCACGGTACCACTGTTACGGAGGGAACTTAGTATCCATAGCTACCAGCTAGCTACCTAGTACTTTACTCTGTATTCACTCTGAAGTCTGTACTGACTATCGTACGTGGTACTCCGTAGTCCGTACCTGTAGGACAGACGGAACACTACTGACGGAATGGCGGAACGGGTATACAACCCGCCTCGACACACAAACACAAACACAAACACAAACACAAACAGCGGGGGATTTATCTAGCGAGAGACAAACAACAGAGGAATGCTACTGTAGATACTGAAAGTATTAGAAATCGAAGGAGTAGAGAATATTCAATTCAGCTACCTAGGTAGTAATTGTGTTCACCGTTCACACTGCCGATTTAAATACTCTCATTGGTGGAATGTCTCTCACAGGCAACGGATTCCCACCGAGGGGGTGGACCTAGACAAACCCAGGATCTCGGTAAAGTGCGTTGGGACTACCTTTGAGAATGGTCCGTTTTCCATATTAGGCACTGATTCCCTCTGCCGTAACTTAGATATGGGAATGTTTTAGGACTGTCAAACTAAAAGGGTAGTACGTAGGTACGGAGTACCCCTTTCCTGGAAAATTTAAGGAGTGCTAGAGTACTCCGTACGGAGGATTCCGTATGGAGTAGTCAGTTAGGCAGGTAACTACTCGTAGTTGGGTACTTGTAGGATCGAAAGCATTAATAATAAGACAGGATCAGGAACGGAATCCAAAGAGATATTCCGAAAGAGCCCCGTCCGCTAGAGAGTTCTCGAACAACCCCCCTGGCCACGCCGGTGTTCCGCGGGTGTTCCTCGGTAAACTGATACTCCGTCCTGGCGGAGTAACTACGGAGTACCCTCGTTCGCTATCAGAGTACCTCCTGGGTGGATCACCGGTAGGAAAGGTACCTCGGAACAGAACAGCAGTGACCTTGGAATACTTTCCAGAGCTGCAGATTAGGAGTACTCCGTACACCGCTCCATCATATCAAATAGAGTATAATGTAATGTAGGTAGGTAGGTAGATAATGTATCTCATTCATTCACCGATAAGTTACTGCAATGCAATGCACACAGGGATCGCCGTGCATGACGAGTCCGCCCAACGGAGACGGACGGAGGGATAAACATTCGAGTCGAGTCATTCTAGGCCTGATCCACCGACACGAATCAGATCCTCTTGGGTAGACACGGAGGCTTCCCCGGCCTAGCGAGTGGATACGTTCCATTCGACTGGTATTGTAGTATAAGTAAAAATCTGTATGGAGTATTTAGTAAAATCTGCCATGTAGTATAAAATATAAAATATTAAATATAAAATATATCAAATACTACTGATAAATAAAATGATAGAGTATGAATAGTAGTTAATCGGAGTATACTAGGTACGGAGTACGGAGTACCTTCTTAGGTACTAAATAAGTTACCTTGAGGACTTTTACAAAGAAATGGAGATCAGTCAAATCGTCGGCCCAATTTCGGGACTGAAGTCGGATAAATGCAATAGTCTAGAGCTACAAAGAGGAAAACTGTAGGATTAAATAAATAGCAAAAAAAAAAAAAAAATAAAAGATAAAACTATCAAACAACTACTACATAGTAAAGTACGGAGTACTGTACTACGGAGTATACCTAAGTACAGATTCAAACAGAACCTATCTATCAAACAATAAAATAATAAATCAGAAATGGAATATAAAAAAAATAGATAAAATAAATAGAATAAATAAAATAAAATAAACTAAAAAATAAATAAATGAAAAAAATAAATAAAACACATTCGCCTGCAGCGGGTAAAGCGTTCCGCCAGATCATTTCCGGGGCTCCATCCCTGACTTATCCCTGACAGGGTGGGGCGGTCTGGACTGTCGGTATCTCACCGTCTATTCATTGTTCATATATTATTCTTGTCCTCTCTACTGTTCTTCTATCTATCTATCCGTATACCAATTCTCCAGCCTACCTATATTATCCCAAATACTCTCCAACTATCCTACACTAAAGAGTATCAGAATCACACTACCTTCACACTACACCTTCTACCATCTCGACAGCTTTTCGAGATCTACCACTATACTACCACACTACAACACTACACTACAACAAGAAATCCAGCACAATGCATCTCAGCTTCAGCTTCTCACCCTCCCTGCCACCGGTGCCGCCGCCGTCTCCGTCCGACCCTCTCACAGACATCACGCGCAAATCCTCCTTCTCCACCTCAACAGAACGCAACAACGCGTGCGCATTTCCCTCGTGGCCGAACCGGCCCTCGCTGCTCAGTCCCGAACCATCGGCGTCTTCCTATCTGTCCGACGAAGATCTCTTCTTCGACACCCCCTCCAACAGCTTCTCCATGCCCCCTTCGTCATCCTCCTCCTCCTCCTCCTCCGACTCCGCCATCGACGACCACTCCTTCCTACACGGAGAGAACCACAGAAGCCTCACCACCGAAGAACAAATCGCCCGCCTACGCGCCCTCGCCCAGGAAGAGGAAACCCAACGCGCCCGTTTTCTCGCCCAAGTCCAGGCCCACGCCCGGGCGCAGCAGGCCCTCAAGGTCGCCGCGGCCTTAGGCCACCAACAGCACATGCAACCGGCTCATGGCCCGCATCAGACGGTCGCTTTATCGGATAAGCGCAAGAAGCGCAAGCCTTCCTTCAAGAAGAGAAAATAGGAAATATCCTCTTATCTTCATATCTTCTTTTTTTTTCTTTCTATTTTATTCCTTCTTTTCTATTTCTCTCGATTTTTCTCCATTTTTTCTATTTTATTTTCTATTTTCTATTTTCCATTTCAAGTGCTGGCGCTTGCATCGCATACCATTTATTGTTTATCTGTCAGCCTTCAGCAAGCGTGTCTTTTATCATCTCTCAGCAAGCGAATCATTTGTTTCTCTCTTCCCTGTCCCTGTCACTGTCACATCAGGTCTCACCGCCACTGTGACTCATTTCGGTCTCTTGATTCTTCTTTTTTTCTTGATTCTTGTTTCTTGCTATCGAGCAGATAGTTTTAGCGGATACCCAGATCGATTCAGATCAAGATATAGATAATATTATTACACTACACTTTTATCAAATGACTCTGACAAATCCTACCTACTCACTATTGACTAAAACTGCCAGCGAAGGACTAAGGATGACACCCCTGCACAGATCCATCACCATACCCCCCACGGGCGCCTCGTATAGCAGTAGGCCCAACGTCATCTCCAATCGATTCTTCATCTCCAGTTGCTGCAGACTGAGACTGCTAGTACTAACCGAGGGGCCATTTTCGCAAGTGTTCTCGATCTGGGTGATCCCCTCAATCACCGCAGCCGCCATTTCCACCTGCTCCTCCTCGGTGTAGAGCTCAGGAGACCCCGCCAGCCGGGCGTTGTGCACCGTGCTCGCTACGTTGTACAGCAGCCCCGCCGCCGCGGCTCGCTGCGCCGCGTGCTCGCTGTCGAGTAAGCTGTTCGTCGCCAGCGCGAGACACCGCCCGCGGAGGATCCCGCCGGTACTATTGCTGGTGCTGAGCGTGCAGGCTGTTGCGGAGCCGTCGCAACTCAGAAACAGATTACATGCCAGCTGCAATGTGACGAGACGGAGATTGTACGGTGTTTCTTCGGGGCAGGCGTTTGATAGTATCGTGTCGAGCATTTCCCCGCTGTTCGTCGTCATGAACGCCAGCGCTCGTCGGTCGACCAGTAGCGTGCGCACCAGATCAACCAGCGCAAAGTGGCTGTCTACGGGGAGGGAGGCGAGCGCGGAAACCACAAACACACTGAACTGGTGGAGATCGGGTAGACTTGTATCCGCTGCTGCTTCTGCTGCTGCTTCTTTCGGAGAGAATCGGTCGTTGATAAAGTCCACCACGGCCGTGAGCGTCGGATCCGCTCGGTAGGGCTGCGGTAGCTTCTGCACAAGCTTAGCCAGCGGCGGGGGCTTCGGGAACAGAACGAAGCTCGTCACCGGCCCCTGAAATGTAGGGAGATCAAGCTTGCGGTGCGGGTGCGCTGCAGGCGCCGCCATGGCAAGTAGTAGGCTGACGTTGCCGCGTAGCTCGGCCGAACTCGCGCCCGTCCACTCGTCCACTTTCTCACCGTGCAGGAAGGTCATAAAGGTGGGTGTCGCGCGCACCCCGTACCGGCTTCCCACCTCGTACGCGGCCGATACGTCCACTTTGATCAGTGTTGCGCGTGTGCCGGCTTCCTCGGCCAGTTTGTCGTACGTCGGGTACACCATCCGACAAGGAGGACAGGTGGCGGATGTGAAGAAGATCACCACACACGCCGTGGTCTTGAGGATATTTGTGAGTTCGCGCAGGTTGGTGATGTTCAACACAACGCCAGTGGCTGCAGCTGTAGCTGCAGCAGTGGCGGCGGCAGCGGCAGAGGTAGTAGTGGCGGCGGGAGAAGGTCGAATACTACCAGGGTGAGGAGCAGGATGAGCACCCCCCTGGGTTACCCCCCGTAGCGCCATCTCAATCTGCGGTTTCATCATTTGCCCAAATGGCGTGTTGAGAAACGTCTGGGGCAGGTTGCGGATGTGCTCGGGGATACTCTTCCCAACAAGGAACATAGCCAGGTCCTGAGAGAAATTGTTGCAGTTGCGAAGGAATAGATCGTACGACTGTCCACTGCATTAGTACATTCCTTTGACCCTCTTTTTCAAGTAGAGGTTCCTACCTCCGGGGTGTAAATCTCCGCTAGAGACTGAATATACTCCTCCACCACCTCTACCGGGAGCTCGCTCTGTCCCAGCCGGAGCTTCTCCAACGGCTGCCCATGGTGCGTGCTACCGGGGACAGCAGTCTGGATCCCCTGTCCGAAATAGTACTCAATCCCATTGAAGACAATGGATGTATGGTAGATGGCGTCGATCTGGGTGCCTGTCAGGGCGAGGGAGTACTGCATGAAACTCAGTAAGAGAAGGGGGCTCGACTGAACCTGCTACCAAGCACATACCATCCGCGCGATGCCCTAGAGACATATTAGAGGCGTCGAGAAGTGAAGATTCAAGAAGGTACATACCCGTGAGAGGTCGTAGACGTAGAGTTCCACGTCCATGATGATCGACCCTTGTGTTTTGAGTGTCGAGATGGCAGTTCTGGGCAGAGTCTACTCTGATATAGCTAGTACCTAATCTCAGCAGAACATTCTAGTCTCGCAGGCTCCCGTGTTGCGTACTCAACTTGACTCCCTGGTAGATAGTAGGTATGACCTGGGGGAGAGTGTGTTGTAATAGCCTAAAGCTTTAGTCGTGTGTATAGTAGACAGTAGATGCTACTCATCCCCAGGTAACTGATAGTTAGTGTAACTATAGCGAATTACGGAGTATCGTAACTGTTTGTTGCTCGGTGACTTGAAGCTGACTCAGCAATGACATCTTCACGATCGCCGATAAGAGTATCTCAATCTCAACCAGCTCTTCCAGAGACGACAGACATAGCTCAGACAAAGTACAGGCTCGATGGTTCGTCTCTGACCCAATATCCTAAGATAGCAATTCAATCGAACAATACTAAGAATTTAGGGCCCCAAGCGGCGCTCTGCTGCGCCCGCGCCAGCTGCTACGCCCGCGAAACGCGCCCGCTCCAAACTCGCAAAGGAAAACGACCTAACCGCCGACGAGGAGGCGGAAATCAAAGAAGTCTTTTCGTTGTTTGCCTCGTCGCATCCGGAGTTTCCAGATGAAAAGCTTGGCGTCATCCCGGCTGAAGATGTTCGCAAAGCACTAGTGTAGTGTACCCCTCCTACCTTTTGTCTACCTAGGTACTTTTAACTACATGTTTTCCTTCTAACTACTCCAGTGCTCTCGCCCTCTCACCGAACTCATCGAATGAATTATCCTCCATCCTCTCGGCGGTTGACCCCACAAACACAGGGTATATACCGTATTCGCCCTTCCTCTCTGTCGCGGCCGCAAAACTACATGCCCGGGATGACGACGATGACGCCGCCCGTGCAGCAGAGGTAGACGAGGCGTTCCGCTTGTTCACACGGGGCAAGGACGGGCCTATTACGCTGTCGCATCTGAAGCGGATTGCGCGCGAATTAAAGGAGGATTCGGTCGGGGAGGAGCTGTTGCGGGATATGATTCTGGAGGCAAATGGGGGGGGAGGCGTTGCTGCCGGGGTTACGCTGGAGCAGTTTCGGGATGTCATGGGCAGGGCGGGGGTTTTCTAGGAAAGTTCTCTGTTGATGAATTATGTCTATTTTATGTGGTGTTACTGTGTTACTGTGCTACTTGAGGTATTTTTCTTTTCTACTGCTGTACAATAATAATAATGAACTACCAATACATTGATATGTTGATACAATCCTGGTGTACAAACCAAAGTACTTGAACCAGACAAAAGATTAGCTATACATGCTCGAACGCGGGATATATTCTCGGGGTATCATAGGGCAGTTGAACTGCAGGTAAGAATGGTCAGGGTTGGGGTGGATAGTTGTATATCAGGGGAGAGATAGCGGAGGCGGCGGCGAGACTATGTCTTCGATATCAACTGCCTTTTGGGGCCCACTAATTTCTCCGAGAGATGGCACTACCTGGCTCGGAGGGGAAATGCTTGTGGACTGCGAAGACGTGGACTCAGAATCGTCCTGTGTCAAGCCGTCCGTCGCGGTTGAGGCCAGGGACATATTGTCCTCGGGCGTTTCAAAGGCAGAGTTGCGGCCCGAGCCAGCGTCGCGCAGATCGGCGAGGTCCCGGCCGTCGAACCGGCGATGTTGTTCACCAAATGGCAGATTGGTCGCTTCGTAGAAGAGCATGAATACCCCTCCCTGCGTCATCACGCTGCGCTCGCTGACCATCTGCACGTCATCATCACTGAGACGGTACCAGCGTTCCGGTCGGTCTTTCTCGCCGTCGGCCTCATAGATCGAGTCTGGTACATGGACGGGGAACGTCTCGGTGGGGTACTTGCGGTAACAGATGTAGTGGCCGTTCTCATGGCGACCGTAATGGGTTACCACTGCCCGTAGCTCGTAGCACCGGCCCTGTACATTCACCGCACTACCCGGGTCTGGCAGCATCGATTCCTGCGGGTTGGTCGCCCACATCTCCGTCCTATCATCACCCGGGGAGCGACACTGGGTGCCTAGGCACCATTCGTCAAGATTTAAAAGCTTGGGGAACCGTACATCAGCGTAGTTCTTTCGCAGCATGCCCGTATTCTCGTCAAACACGCTGCGGTTGATATGGACCACGAGACATTGCGGGGCCCGTGCGATCACGGCCTGTCGTGATTTAGTCGAGCAGACCCGGCTTTTCGCCGGGATGTGGCATTTCTTGAATAGCGTCTTCTCTGAGAAATCTTCATCTGCTAACGCCTCTTCCACGGCCTGCAGGCGCGTTCTGGCAGATTCCTGGAGTGTGTGGGATAGCGACGATGACTCGGGCGTCGAGCGAATCTGTTGATCCTCCTCAACCTGCTTGAGCAGCTGCAGCAGCTGATTGCGGGTTCGCAGCAGGGTACATTTGGCGCATTCCACCCCTTCAATGGGTTCCAGCGACATGTAATGATCCAGGCACTCTCGAATATCGTACTCCCAGCTGCCTCCCAGAGGGACCGTCAGGCAATTGAAGGGTATCAGGGACAGTCCCTCCGTCCAACCGCAGTTCATACAGCCAACCCTCTGCGCCAGTAACCCTTCCAACGGGTTTCGAGGCGACGAAGGATTTCCAATACCATCTCTCAGCATCGGCGCCGCAGCGCTCGAGCGGAAAATATGTTCCTCAGGACCCGCCATCTTCAGGCCCTGGTTCTTTGTCTGTCCCTTGGTCGCCTGCTGCACTTCGCGGTCCACCTGATCGATAATCTTGGAGAAATACTCCTGTGCATCCTGCTGCTGCCAGCTGCTCATCGACTTGAGATCCGGCGGGATCCACAGTTTCTGGCTGTAGGCTGATGTGCTGTTCAGCTGTTCGATAATCCCCTTTAGCGCATGGTGTGTAGCGAACGAGCCTTTGCCCGCCAACGTCTCCAAGTTGTGGCAGAGGAAATCGGCCAACGTCCGCAGTGATGCCAGACCCTGTATCACACTGTTCTGATAGCACGAGTTATCCCAGTTCCCCAGCCCAGGGGGGTTGTGGTCCTTGGCACCGAGAAAGACGGTGCCGAGTCCCGACAGACTCCGCGCTCGGGGCAGGAAGGAGTAGAACGAGCTGCCGCTACCGCTGGCACCGCCGCCGCTGTTGAGGCCGAGGATCCGTTGCATAGCTTCGCTCTTCGCATGGAACGTCATCGGATGAGACGCCGGGGTGGCGGATTTCGAATCCAACGCAATCACCACCCGCGAGGGGGTCAGGAAAACCACCAGGCTCCACAGAGCCTGAGGGACAGAAAACGGCAGGAGACTAAAATATCCCAGGATTGAGTGAGCCAGGATAGCGCTGAGGAGGATATAGATCCAGGTTGACTGCTCGTACAGCTGCTGAATCACCAGTTCATGGTAGCTGCTGCTCTTGCTCTTTGCCGCGTAATCATGGAGCAGGAAACTGGGCCTCTCGGTACGAGCGTTCATGGCTGGTGGCAAGACGACGACAACCACCGCAGAAAGGCGACTGAAAGTGAACCATGAGAAGCACCGTGCTACATAGAGAAATCCAGCAAGTAGATACCCAGGCTGCGAGGAGATGGAGTAGAAGGAGGAAGCGCAGCTCCTGCTGGAGGTTTTTTTGGCGGTTTCCGCTTTCTGCGCTTGAAGCGTTTTCCGCCACCCGTAAAATGTTTATCGATAAAACAACAATTTCGCCTCAGCCTTTCATGTTCAGGACATTATTAAATCTACAAATACCTCTCGTACCCATACTCTGCATTGAATACAATAGTAATCAAAGTGATGTAGTATTCAGGGTCCTAATATACTACTCCTCTTGTCATTGTCATTTAAATCCAGAGAACAAGCGCTCACTATCTAGCATCCTACACTTGTCTAGCTGTACTCCGTCCATAATGTGAGGGAGAACCAATCTGGTCAGAAGGTACAATATGGTAGATCCTCGAGTATCGCCAGCAGAGCTCACAGTTCTAGACACTCTTTACTTACCAGATGATAGTACTTCAGCTGTATTAGTACCTAGTTATACTCTGTAGAGGTACTGTAGGTGTTCCGGCTTTATCAATCAAGTAGCCGTCAGACCCTGATTGGCCCGATAAAACCTCCACAGACCTTTCCGCAACTACCGTTGCTTTTATTTTTCTTATTTTTATTTTCATTTGTTTTTTATTACAAAAATCAGAGACAGTTACAATGGCGAAGGCGAAGGGTAAGGCGTCTATATTGAGCTATCAGCAGTCATAATACAGGAGACTCTCTGCTAACTTTTTTTTGCCAGTGAAATCGATACACTCTCGCGCCGCCCGCCGAGCGGCTTCCCCGAGTCTCGACCTTGACAAGTCGCTGACTTCCCTTCCTCGAGCGGAGGGGAAGGTGGTCGAAGCCCCCGCGGTGCTGACAGAACGTGCCAAGGCGGGCGTGTCGAAGAAGCAGTTGAAACCCAGGAACCTGTCGAGAGCGCAGAAGCTGAGGCAGCAGAAGAGCATGGATCGCGCGGAAGCCGTGATGGACCAGCTGGAAACCAAAGTGACCAAGAGCGTGAAGAGGGAGAAGACGGTCAAGGCACGACGGGTAGGCCTGCTATTCTATATCGTCGGGTAAAGGTATCGAATGGCTCTGACAATTTTGCAGGGCGACTGGGAAGATACGAACCGCAAAGCGTCCAAATTTGCCGCGCTGCAAACTCAGTCCACTGGAGACGATGGAGACGATGACGGCGACGCCATGGTCGACGATTCGACAAAGTCGCAGTCAAAGGTTACGGTGTTGACGCCGGCCTCGAACCCGAACCCGCAGCGTACAGCTCCCGTGATCAACGACCATGCAGATGTCGACAATTACGATGACATCACTTGATCAATCCTTTCCCGACGCTGCCATGATGAATGATGTTCTGTTTGATAAAAAAAAAGTTGATTGTTTGATTGATTGATTGATTAATTAACTACCCCCTCGGTCTCAAATGGTTGATCAACCGATCAATCTCGGCGACGGCGGGCCCGGAAGCTCGCGCGCGGAGCAGTTCTAGAGTATTCACGTCTTTGGCCTTGACGGCCTCTTCCCCGGCCTTGACGATCATTCCACATTTCACCCACATCTCGACGCGGTCCGCCACGGGCAGGTTGGTGCACTTGGGCACGAAGATGGAGGCGAGTTTGGTGTTGCCGGCGCCCAGAATTTCGTTGTAGAACGGCTGCCTCTTGTTAATGACCTTCTAATAGATTAAAAGGGTGAAAAAAAAGGCAATTTCTTACCTCCCACCCGATTGGAGACTTCTTGTTCTTTCCGATCTCTTCTAGTTCACCCCAGTCCCGCTTGGCTACCAGGGCTCTGAGTCGTAGCCACCAGTATGTTTTTTCAGGCATCTTAAATTCGCTCTGGATCTTTTGTGCCCGCTTGCCATACCCGGCCCTGACCAATCTGAAGACGGTCTCGTTCAAGCTGAGTCCAAGGAATTCGGACCGGTCGGCCAGGTCTTTGTCCAAGGCATCCTGGACTTTTAAAAGCTGGGATGCCTCTAAGACCAGCTTCTGCTGTAGTACCACTGTTGCGTCTTTCGAGTCGGCGAGAAGACGAGAGGCAAGCTGCAGTTTCTCAGTCTTGCGTTGCAGTTCGTCTTCATTCAGTGCCTCCGAGAACAGAACATTAGAGCCATCAATGGGACGGTCATCCTGGTAATACAGATCTTTCAGAAGCTCCATGTCCCCTTCTCTCGCCGATGATTCGATGAGCGCCGAGGCCATGGGCCGATTGTTGATCATCCGGAAGAAACTGGCAAGCGGGAGCTTGCCTTTCAGATGCAACAGCACGTAGTAAACTAGATCATCATCACCGCTGGCAATCGCTTTGTCTAGGGCAAGTTCGTCTTCTTCCATGTTCAGCAACAATGGCACTTGCTTCCCGCCTCGAGGTTCATGGTTCAAAAGGTGCGTTGCCAAATGGGTCCGCCCTTCGTCATATGCAGCTTGTGCGATGAGTTCGAACGAGATCCCTGGTTTCCCATCTAGCCTCTGCACAATGAGCTTGCAGACCGCATCGTCGTCGGCAGTGGAGACCTTGACTTTTTGGCTGGCCCAATGGACATAGATCTTATCAGCGGCAATCCGGAGGTACTCTGATATTCGAATGGCCAGCATGTATTCATGACGATTCACAAGTCGCTCAATTAGCCGCTCTGGCGTAAGTCGCATGTACTGATCATAAGACATCGGGAGTCCGATCTGATAATCGCGCACTGCCTTTAGGACTCGAAGCTTTTCCGTCATTTCAACGAATTCGTCGCTGTTGTACAGTTCCAGGACGGACTTCCCAAACGATGCCGCTTTCAACAAACGTTTTTGCCAGTAGATATCGAGCTCGTGGCCCGCAGCCTTGACGCACGTATCAACAGCTTCGGGTAGGCTCGAACGGATGCGTTGAATGTTCTCATCCGCCCTTGGTGATTTCTTCTCTAACTGGTCCACAGAATCCAGTAGCACCGACGCAGGTGAAGTGGACCCAAGCCTGAAGATCTCTTCGGTCACATCTGGGGATGGTTAGTTTCGAAAAGGGTTCAAGACATAGAAAACGGAAACACACCGGCCACGCTGTGCAAGAACTCATAAGAATCGTTGGTGATCAGGCGTACACCGTCAAACTCGGGAACTACATGGATTCTTCCGTCGTAGTAATATCTACATTTCAATAAGACGGTGCAAAGGATAAATCGATTTTCTGGGCAACTTGCCTGCAAGCAGCCCCGTTAGGGCCAACGAGATGGATTTCATCTTCCCAGGCTAAAATCACGGCATCATCGCCGCACCAATCGACACTCCTAGGCGGAGTTCGGGCCTTCGAGTTGTACTCGCTGACCTTGTTTTGAAAGTCGCTGCTGACAACCCATACTTTGCCCTCGCCGGTGAAGAGCGCGACAAACCGTCCGGTAGGAGAGACGACGATATGTTTAAAAGGCCCGTCCTGCAGCACCTTGTCTTCTGCATCCGTGGGATCAACCAGATACACAGTCTTGTCTACGGCGAGCAGCACCTCGACCGAGCGAGACAATGTATAGGCGGGAGGAATGAGCGACCAGGAAGAGACCTCCCCTTCGGGGCAAGGCGCCAACTGTTTTGGCCGCGGTTCATCATAATTAGACACAGCGACCAGCTGGTTGTTCGACAGCAGAGCGACAAATCCAGATGTCCAGAAACGACAGGCGCGCACGCCGTATTCCTCAGCACCCTATTTGGTTTAGAAGCATCAGCTAGAGGATCGCCAAGAGCAAAACCGAGGGTCAGAATGATAATACATTTCCCAACGAGAAAGACGTAAAGTCTCCATGGAGGCCAAAGTACCGTCTCACAGTACCATCCTCGGAGACGATCAACAGCTCCTCCTTATCGGACCAGCCGAGGCCTCGGATAGCGCCATACTCCCACTGTGAGAAAGAATCAGCATTGTAGTTTCCAATGTAAGATCAAGATACAATAACCACAGACATTAATCTGATTGATCAGTTTCCCTGACGAGGAATAGATGTCCACACTGGACTTCGTCGTTTGGGCGTCAAGATACCTGTACGGCCTGCTCTCATCACGATACAACGCTATCACACACCCATCATTAGTCTTTTTTGGACAGAAAGAAACACCTACACACACACAAAAGAGGAAACAGGCAGCATACCGATAGCACCGCCGTAGGGAGCCCCGGCAACAATGTAGTTCTCGAGCTCTACCTCCTCGCCAAAGACGGCATCGTAGACGCGGACCTTCCGGTAGAAGCGATCCCCGACTCGCTCCCAGTTGGCCAGCGGGTTTGAGGGCGCCATTTATGATCTGCTCATGCCGCACAACGCCAGTGATCCCCGTGTTCTGCGCGTGTGTGCTCTCCACAGTAGTTCCTGGTCACTTCTTTACCCACAACAGGTGTTGTTTGGGGGAAGCTCTTGGCGGGATGCGCAAGAGCGAGTCCGGGCGCTAAGCCGCTTTCCGACGTCACCTTGGAACGGCAGGAGGATACGATACCACTCTGTCTTTCTGAAGATCTTGAGGTATACCGGGGCTCATACGCTCTGTATACCCATGGAGTCTCGGGATGGACGATATAGGCCTTGAGGAGCTGGCGTTGGAGCTTTCAGATCTTGAGGTGGCCGTTCTGTTGTGCCTGGTGGCCAGGGAGCATTGTTTGATCGAGACCACCAGCGATAGTGTCCACGACGTGGCAAAAGAGCTGGCCTTGGTGAGTGATTCTAAATGAATAAGGTCTTTTGGTGTCTCTTGAGCCGAAATGAATTGACTGTGGTAGATCTGTTCAAATGTTTTCGGCCTGTCCTACGCCGTTCTGGACTGCTCTGCCGCCACGTCCTACGACGATTTCACTAGAGAAATACTTGCGCCAGATGCCCGCCGAAGCGCGTTTGGGCAGTCTGCGCTCTCTTTAATAACTGCGGAGCAGGTATGTGTGGTCAATCTTTCGGTCTGGAGCCTATTGCAAAGAACTAACGATGCCCAGGCGAGTAATTTCACATTGCACGGCACCTACGACCAAGGGGAAAATGCCAGGTCGCTGTTCCCCGGGTACTCCCTCGACCAGAGGAAGGTAGTCAACGTCGTGATTGCAAAGAATTTTAATTATGTCGATGAGGACATCCAAGCTCAAGCATTAGAGGTAGGCCTGGCCTTTCTGCCCCGACACATGTGCAGCTAACTGATATCTATTATCTATAGCTTATGCGATCAAGGCAGATTCTCACTGAGTCTGCCATCCTAGAAGCGACGGAGGAATTTGTTTTCATCCCGATCATAACAGAACCCCCGGGCAAGGTTGTTCTGAACCAGCATTTGGTTTGTCTCTTTACTTAGCAACTGCCTTCCAACGCCTTCCATTATTGACGTAAATTAGAACGACCATCTACTTATTTCGCATTTCCACGATCCCCAGGATGGATACATGCATCTTGAAGAAGACCAAGATTGGCTTTCGGACGCATCCATTGTGAAAAAGTCAGACCGGAAGCAGGCCGCTGAGTTTCGTATCAGCAGGGAGGTGAGAACATGGAGAGCAGACACCGCTGTCAAACCTTTGTCCATAACTGATGTTCGGCAGGTACTAGAAACCTTCCGGCAAGAAAGTGACCGCGTCACGGTCACCGCACAGGTCACTCGATACATACAGGACATTGTCGTCTTCCTACGCCTCAGTCGCGCCGTGGCGGGAGGAGTATCCTCCAGGGCGAACATGCATCTGTTGCAATTCTCAAAGTAGGTTTTTTTTCTTCTTCTGAAAGGCTTGACGCGGCTAAAATTCGCAGGCTTCTTGCTCCGCTCCACGGAGTTGACTACCTCACGCCCTCTCTCGTAGCCCTGGCGACGAAGAAGGTCTTCCGGCATCGCCTTGCCATTGCCCGCCCAGAAGATGACCGTAGTCTACAGTATGGAAGCGATTTGCAGGCTGTATCTCGCGTTCTGGAGGGTCTCGGCCCAGAAACGATACTGGATAATGTGCTATCTGAGATTGAAGTGCCTTTATGAGCACTGTACATATACATACCTACATACCTACATTTCTACACTCGAAACAGAATGTCCCTTGTAAGGATGTAGCTTATAGTTAGTCCTTGAGAGGCTAAGCCAGACTCTGGTCCAGTCTTGGGTAAGATAGAAGTACTACATCCTTCTTCTCAAAAACAGATCGGGAGGAGTATACTTATCCACTAGACCCGACACGGCAGTATCAGAAGAGGAGGCCTCCCTATTGATCCTCCGCCACTCGTCCAGAACCACATCCATCTCCATTTTCGCGTCGCCGACAATGGCGTCCATCTTGATATCGTTCCGGTCGTAGCCAAAGGGATCCTCCAGCTGGGATCCGATCCCCTCGATACCGTACAGGGTAAAGGTGACCAGGCAGACAATGGGGATAGTCCACCACTTCATGTCGTCGACCATTGCGAAGGGGAGGACGCAGCCGAACAGCGCGAGGACTTGTTTTTGATGGATTCTGAAGCAATTAGAACAGACGAAAGACTAGAGGAGAAGGAAAAGGGAGGAGTACAAATGAGCCACCGGCATCGGGGTGATCTTGATGGTCTCCATCTTGCCATAAGCGTCCGTCATGGTATTCAACTGGGCCTGCATCTGGCTGGCACCGGGGGCATTGAACCACCCCCTCTCGACGCCCCGCTTGATGAACCCATCCACAAAAAATGTCAACTGGTACGGCAGCCCGAGTCCTTGGTCTTCGTGACCCTCCAGTCCGGCGGGTAACAGGCCCGCGTAGTCCGGGTTATAAACTGCCACGCCGGTATCGACGACCTCATGACCCAAGACGCCTACTCCGATACTGACGCCCGCATTGGCGTTACCCGCCACAGCCCACGCAGCACCCCATTCCGCACGTAGATGGTTCTTGACTGCATAGGGGAACGCCACGAGGATCCGGATCGTCCGCTCGATATCATCCTTTTCAAGACCCGACAGGGGGCCAGATGTACTGTATCCGTTTGTCACGATTGTGCGGACCAGGTTCCGCACACAGGTCTGCAGCGTTGTCATCCCATTACGTCCGTCCCAGAAGCGGTTGTAGGAGGTTTGGTTGCGGAAGACGAGCATCAAACCGACGACAATCGACAACGAGGGTATCTAAGTAGTGAGTATTTAACTTCAAGGAATATGAATTTAATACTTACAATGCTGGTCGGCAAGCCCACTGTATCAAATACATATTCGTCTAGGTAAACCACCAACGCGGAGAAGAGAGCATGCAGCGCGACGGGGAGGAGGATCGCGCCGTGAATGGCGCCTTTGACGAAGCGGAAGACCAGAGGCCATCTAACGATAGTTAGAGAAGTACAGCATAGTCTAAATACCGCATAGTCTTCATATACTTACCGTCTGGGTTTGTGTCTGCTTGAAAGCAGGTGAGGATGCGTCCCGCGTCGCGTGTGGTGGCGGTCGTAGCTGGTGGTGTTTTGACGGCTAAGGGTGGGAGTATTGGGTTCGCTGAAGTTGAGACGCATTTCGGTAATATTGCAAAATCAATTTGAGGTATGTAATATGTAATATACACGGATGGTAGGTACTATATAGGTAGAGAGAAGAAGGGATTATGTACAATGGTGATTGTTGACGATGCTTGAGTTTCAAGTAGTCGATAGCGTGGCCGGGAATAGTTCGTTGATTGGACTATCAGAACCTGCAGGAGATGATCAATGATTTATCTAGGCAAAATCGATAGAACAGAGCTTGTAGAACCAAGAGGATTGTTATAAACATAAATTCAACAATTATTGCAGTCATCAAATCCATTAGTATGTACAAGACTAGACCAAAAAAGTAAGAGACGATCAAGGCTATGCCGGATCCAACACCTCCAAATGCCAACGCCACGAAGCTGAATCTTGCAATCAGATGCCGTCATCATGCTCTGACAAGCTCCGATGCTCTCTTCCAAATGCTCTTTCCGAATGCTCTCTCCATCCTTTGGTCCAGGGCCTCCAATGCCTAGTCCGAGATCACGGCCCGGCCGTCAAGCGCCAGAGGCCCGGAGTCGTTCCGCGGCGTCAGGGGGTTCTCATCCGAGGTCTCGGACCGGTTGGGCGTCTCGGAGCGCAGCTGCGTCTGTCGCGGCGGTGCGGCGGGTTGGACCGACTGGGTCATCAACTGCCATCCGGGGAGATGGGTGGTTGGGCCGGATCGAGCGTCGGCCTGGTCAATGTCCATCCGGTCGACCGTGGCTGCCAGTTCTCCTTCATCCGCCGAGTGGTGGTCGGTCCCGGAACCAGACTCCCCAGCGGATTCGTGCACGGCAGAGGTTTGGTAAGATTCCAGAGGTGGTACCTCTTCTATCGTCTCGGGTATGGGGATTGGCGCACTGTGCTCGCTCTGCCCTGGAACCTCTTGTTTGTGCTCTTCTACACCCTTTTGCTCCTCCATGGGCTCCTTTTCGTCGAACTCGGGGGTATCGTCGACCTCGGCGCTCAGGTCCGTGTATGCCCGGCAATTGGGACATTGAAACATGGGATAGTCGGGGGTGTGGATGAGCCGGCTGATACACTTGTAATGCCAAACATGAGCACAAGCAGCCATGAAAAGGCATTGGTATGGGCGCTGAACAGTTAGCATCGTATATACCGGTATAACACCGGAAAAAAAAAAAAAAACCTACTAGAACAGAACCCAAGCAGATGGAGCACTCGCGGCAGCCAGAGTAGTCGGATGTATCGCCTTTGCCGAGGTTCTGAATCAAGCTCTCGGTGTTTTTACTGCAATTAGTTTGTCAGTCAAGCCAGATCGGTATTGACACATAGAAAAAAAAATTTTTACGGGGGGGGGTATACTTGAATTCGTTGGCCTGCTGTTGCCAGGAGCGATTACACTCAATGCGGATGCGCACGCATCGGAAGATCATTTCCTCGCCGCCCTTGAAGTCGATACCTAGCTGGACGATATCACCGTCCTTGATGGGATACAAGCGCGATGCGACATTGGGCGGGCTCAGCCTCATGTGGTTCAGAAAAGTACCCGACGAGCTGCCAACATCTTTGACGTGCCACTGGCCGTTGAGATAGTGGAACTCGCAATGTTTCCGACTGACGACCTTGGACTTGAAGCCGACCGGGTCGCTCGACGGGTGCCGGGGGTTCGAGATGGGCACACCATCACGCTCGGAGTAACGGCCGACACGGATGACGCAGGCACTAGCTGGGAGCGTCCGCGAGATGGGCAGGAAGGGCAACGAGGGCCGCGAGTTCTGGTGCAAGTCCTGGTGGGGGTAGAGTCGGATGGTTGCATTCTGCTTTGAACCGGCAGCGGCATCGCCGGCAAGAAGGTCTGTGGCCCCCTCTTCTCTACTCAGCATACCGGGACTGTCTATTACGGGACTCGGATCGGCACCCCGACCGTTGGTGTTGGTATTGTTATTAATATTGGAGTTGTTGCCCGTGTCTGGGATTTGCAAAGGCCGGCTCAGCACGGCTGAGGCGCTTCGCAGCCGGGCCATGAGACTGGGAGCCGCGGGCTGGCTGTCGGACTCGTTGGAAGGAGTTGACGGGGTCGACTCAGAGGTCGGATCGGCAACAAAGCCAAAAGACCCCGTCTGGGGCGCAGAGGTATAGCGAGCCAGGACGGGCGATTCAGGCTCCGGGCATGGAGCCAACTCGCTGGCTTCCGGCTGAACGGTGGTGTGGGAGACGGGCGATAACCAGGAAACCCGAGTGGAAAAGCTATTGCGATAGGAACGGTGACCCGATGGCGCAGAGGAGGCCACCACGGGGGCAGAAGAGGGGGTCGAGGAGGTGGATGAGGAGGAGGAGAGGGCGTGGGTGTAGGCTCGCAGCTGGCTCAGGCGTCGCAGGCGCCCCGGGCGAGCAGAAGACGAATCGGGCGGGAGGGCGGCGGTGGAGGCGGACATGGACGGAGAGAGAGGGGAAAAGACAAGAGAGAGAGAGAGGAATATAAAGAGAAAAAATTATAGAGAATCGTCAATAGCGTGTCAGGACCAGGCTTCAGCACGCTGGATTGCACGAATGGCCGGTCTCGCGCCACGGATTGAATTTTGCTGGTCTCTCCTGAGGCGACGTTATGCGAGCGACATGGCGGGGAGAAAGGGATCGATCGATCAATGAATGGATGGGTGTACACCGGAGGAAGTGGATGAATGGATTCAATAAATGGAGAAGAGATTCCGACCCACTATCAGGCCATAAAGAGATCCGGCAGTCTCGGTACAGAGAGGCAGGATTCAATAGAGAGGTCTTTCGACAATGTGTCTTGTCTGTTGGAGGGATGAATAGGCGACTATTGCCACTCTTAAGCGACGACATTACGACTGCCATGACCGTGAACTAAAGTACCTTAATATTACTGCTGCTGGACATGCGGAGTAGAGATCGCCAGCGGGGAATTCAGGGATTACCAGTGCTTTGTATTATTTAAGATTGAGACAGGAAAATAAAATATTAGAAGCTTCTCGTCTCGAAGTACTAGCTAGTAGTTCCTCAGTAGTTAATGGAGTATTCTCTCTACTCCGTACCTAAGTATTTTCTCTCGGCTCTACTACAGGATATAGACCATAATAAGTACCACTACTACCAGTATAAAATGATAATTCATACGCACTGCCAGTTATTTAGCAAAGCTCCTCCTCAACACATGATGATTATTATTTATTCCATCGTCTTCCATAGATTGTCGCATGACGAAGTTGTCAAATGACCAAGATAGAAAGATAACATCATATTATTTAATCAATAGTGCTATATCATCATATTTCTGGAATTAAATAAAAGAAGCGAAACTGATAGAATCCCAAGAGAAAACGTATATCAAATTCCTTCATAGTAGTAATAATTATGCCTACTACTTACTACTTACGAGCTACTCTCTCCGTATTTTAGTTATGCAGTATGGAGCTTATCTCCTAAGCTTCTCTCTTCCAGCAGCTCCCCAGCCCCTTCTCTCACCCCTCACCACCACCACCACCACCACCACCACTCATCTCTCTCCATCCGATGATTCCCTGATCAGCCATCCTCTGCATCCCTCCCTCCCCTCTCCCTCCCTGGTCTGTTCGGCTCTTTGTCTCCCGTGTTTCTCTCGTCTCTCTTCCCTCCCCCGGGTGGTTTCCCTCCTATCACGCGCACGCCGTTGCCTTCCCCGAACTGCTACCAGAACCAGAGCCAGTGTCGATACTATATGTGGATCCCTCCATCCATCTTTGCTCCCCAATCGATCTCCTTCGTCTGCAGAATACATAGCGCCCGTTTAGCTCGGTAGTTGGTTGAGCTCCCTTGGCCAGCTGTCTCCAAGCTCTGCCCTCCACCGCCGTCGCCCTCGGGCCCTCTGTTCGCTTTTTTTCACCTCGTGTCTGCGGCGTCAAGCAGGACTGCTCTCGGGTCCTGTGGCCCGGCCAAATTCGCCAGGCATGAGTGGCATCGCCAACGCCTGTCTGTCCAGCCTCTCGGCCATCGACCGGTGGTGTCATATCACCGCCTGTTTGGGGCCCTTTGCCGGCCGCTCGCGCGATGGGATCTACGAAACCACACTTGCCGAGAACGAGCGCGAGGCCGTCTCGGATCTTTTGGGTTATCTAGAAAATGTAGGAGAATTCCCTTTTCTCTCTCCTCGTGTTGTCGCTTTACTAATTGATTTTCTCTCATCAGCGCGCCGAAACGGATTTCTTTTCCGGCGAGCCGCTCCGAGCCCTGAGTACGCTGGTCTACTCGGACAATGTCGACCTGCAGCGCAGTGCCAGCTTGACCTTTGCGGAGATCACTGAACGAGGTGCGTCGGACTGTGTTTGAGACTTAAATCCCCCGGCTAACTCGCCTAGATGTCCGCGAGGTTGACCGTGATACCCTCGACCCCATCCTCTCCCTTCTTCGAAGCTCCGACGTTGAGGTACAACGAGCTGCCAGTGCTGCCTTGGGGAATCTCGCAGTGAATGGTTTGTTGTTTTTTTTCTTTTTCTTTTTTAATTTCCCGGTTCCATTCGCTTTAGAACATACAACTAACTACTTAGCGGATAACAAAGTCCTGATCGTCGAGCTGGGAGGGCTGGCCCCTCTCATCCGACAGATGATGTCGCCCAATGTCGAGGTCCAGTGCAACGCGGTCGGATGCATCACCAATCTCGCAACACACGAGGAAAACAAGGCCAAGATTGCCCGATCAGGCGCCCTGGGCCCGCTGATCCGCCTCGCCAAATCCAAAGATATGCGTGTCCAGCGCAACGCCACGGGTGCCTTGCTCAACATGACACATTCAGGTATTGCAAATGAGTGTATCGCTCCTTGGGTCTTTTGGGTTTTTAGCTAATCAGTCAGATGACAACCGACAACAGCTTGTCAATGCCGGTGCCATCCCTGTCCTGGTGCAACTGCTCTCCTCTTCCGACGTCGATGTCCAATACTATTGCACGACCGCTCTCAGCAACATCGCCGTCGATGCTTCGAATCGAAAACGGCTCGCGCAAACCGAGTCGCGGCTGGTCCAGTCGCTCGTACACCTCATGGATTCCTCCACCCCCAAGGTGCAGTGCCAGGCCGCTCTTGCCCTACGCAATCTCGCCTCCGACGAAAAATACCAGCTGGAAATCGTTCGCGCCCGGGGCCTGCCCCCATTACTACGCCTCCTGCAATCCTCATACCTACCCCTCATCCTGTCGGCTGTCGCGTGTATCCGCAACATCTCCATCCACCCTCTCAACGAGTCCCCCATCATCGACGCCGGCTTCCTCAAACCCCTCGTCGACCTGCTGGGCTCGACGGACAATGAGGAGATCCAATGTCACGCCATTTCCACGCTGCGCAATCTTGCCGCGAGCTCCGACCGCAACAAGGAACTTGTCCTGCAAGCGGGCGCCGTTCAGAAGTGCAAAGACCTCGTGCTCCGCGTCCCGCTCAGTGTACAGTCTGAGATGACTGCCGCTATCGCCGTTTTGGCGCTCAGCGATGAGCTGAAACCTCATCTCCTCAACATCGGCGTCTTTGACGTCCTGATACCACTCACCGACTCCGAAAGCATCGAAGTTCAAGGCAACAGTGCGGCAGCGCTAGGCAATCTATCCTCCAAAGGTATGTTTTTGACGAGTACTTTCAGTTTGCGTATGCATACTAAGAAACTTCTAGTCGGCGACTATTCCATATTCGTGCGTGACTGGGCCGATCCGAACGGCGGCATCCATGGCTACCTCCGCCGATTTCTCGACAGCGGTGACCCGACGTTCCAGCACATCGCCATCTGGACCCTTCTACAACTTCTAGAATCCGAAGACCAACGACTGATCGGGTATATCTCGCAATCGGACGACATCGTTCAGACGGTCAAGGCCATCTCGGATAAGAGTATCGAGTCCGACGACGAGGATGGCGATGAGGGTGAGGGTGAGGTCATTGCGCTGGCGCGGCGATGCCTTGAATACCTGGGCAAGGGACCCAAGCCGACCCTTGTCGAAGGGTGAACTTACTTCTTCTTTCCCCTTGGTTCTGTTTTCGCTTCGCTTCTTTTTCCTTCACTTGTTGCCTCCTTGACTGTTTTTTTTTTTTTTTTTTCCCCCTTTCCTTCTCTTCTGTCGGCGTGATTGGACTGTTTGTGAGCGAGCATCTGGTGTGTAATATCATTTCCTTCTCGTATAATGCTACGTCTATGCTGTATGCTAGAGTATATTAATAGAGACAAGCCTATACTATATAAAGCAGCAGTGGTGTATTGAGGTATATTACTCCATATCCATAGTTCTGGTGATAGACAGATAGATAGGTTGGTTCATAGCGATAAGATAACAGAAAACTCCGCTAATTTTTGAACATCATTATTATTCCAGTCCAACTAACCAGTACCACCATCACGTCACAGATACCACAAACTCACACCTACTACTATTCACAAATCCACAATGACTCTCGCAATTCCTGGCCAGCGGCTTGGTCCGACCACAAGCTACACCTCGGGGCCCGGGACGCACATCCACGAGTCCTCCGTGTACGCCTCGATCACGGGCACCGTGCAGATTGAGAAATCGAAAACGACGCCCAAATCCACGGTCAGCGTTGCGCGGGGTCCGGTACCTTCGCCTTCGACCTCCGAGACCCCCGCGACGAAAAAATACAACACACTCCCGAGTGTAGATTCGACGGTTCTCGCGCGGGTGACCCGCGTGCAGAAACGACAAGTCACGGTCTCGATCCTGATCGTCGAGCCTCCAGCCTCATCGAAGACGTCAAACACAACCTCAAACTTATCAGACTCCGAACTGGCAGCGTTGTTATCCACGGCCACGAACCCAGAAAACCACAGTAACAGCGACGACCTGCGCTTTCCGGCCATCATCCGGCGGGAGGACGTGCGCGCCGTGGAGAAGGACCGCGTGGTGCTCGATGAGATGTTCCGGGTTGGCGACGTGGTGCGCGGGACGGTGATTTCCATGGGCGACCAGAGCTTCTATTACCTCTCGACTGCTAGGAATGATTTGGGGGTCGTCATGGCGCGGAGCGCGAGTGGCAATATGATGTTTCCTGTTAGTTGGAGGGAGATGAGGGATCCGGTTACTGGGTTGGCAGAGGAGAGGAAGGTTGCTAGACCGTTTTAAAAGATGCTAGATACTAGATACCCAAATAACTAAATAATCAAAAGTGAATTACAAATTGAATATCCCTGTTTATGCTATTAGAAGGCCAAGTATACAAGTATACTGTGTCTATCTCTTTAAAGTCTTCTGTTTCTCAGCATCAATCAGTTTCTTCCCCTTAACCACCAACCCCTTCCGTGCTCGCACGGCATCCATGTACCGCTTCGCCACGTTTTCGCGGTCCGCCAGCTCGCCTAGATCCTCGAGCTCTTCCTCCGTGGCAGGCACCCAGAAGGGGTCTTCGTCGAGGGCTTCGAACCCGGCGAAGATCAGCTGCGGCTGTGCGGCGCCCGACGTGCGTTTGCGCATCTCCTCGGCGAACCCGAACGATTCCGCCACGGGGAGCACCGCCAGAATCGTGAAGAAGGGGGTTCCCTCTTTCATCACTTCGGAGAGGATCCGGCCCCGTCGCCGCGTGATCACCCCGTATACGCGGCCTAGTACTTCGGCTGCTTTGATTAGCAAAAGAAAAACCCCATTAGCAGAGAGAACATCGAACGTACTTGATGCTTGGATCTCGCAGCTGTACATGGCGAGCATGATCCGTGGACTCCAATCCAGGAATCCCTGTGTGATCCCCTCGCGCACCGTCCGGATCGCCTCACCCGTTAGCCGGCCCATATCGGCCTCTTCCCCCTGGGTGTGCACCGCCAGGTCTTCTAGGAAGACAGCGATGCCCTGGATCGGCTCCTGGCACAACGGGCCCTGCCCAGTCGCCAGCTGGAAGGCGTACGCGATCTTGTCGCAGAAGTCGCGAACCGTTAAGGCGTGGCTGTCGGTCGGTTTGGGGTCGTCGGATAAGCTAAAACAGTTAGCAGGGAACATAAAAACATTAAATCAATAGGTCGGGGGGGGGGGGGGGGGGGGGGGGGGGGGGGGGGGGGGGGGGGAAGAGGAGGGCTACAATTTCTCGCAGGCGTTCCCGGCAGTCGCATCAATCAACATGTTGGGTCCCACGCGGCGTGGTCCAAAGGCGATAATCCGGTCCACGACACCCTGCCATGCTTCCTTTTCTTCCTGAATCTCGGCGAGGAGTGCGGTAAGATCCCTCTTGAACTCGGCCAGCGAGAGCACGCTGCCTTCCAGCGCATCATCTGTCGCATCCAACACATCGGTGCTGGTGGGCGTGCCGACGCTCGCTTCTTCGGTCTCGGAGCTCGGTTTCTCGCTCCTAGAGACCTTCTCCGACTGAAGCCGCTTGATGGTACCAATGTGCTTGCTAAGGAACTCAGTGATTGCAGCAGGCAAGGGCAAGACGCGCAGGCGGACCGTCAGCTGCTTCGAAGCCGACATAGCACTCACCCCGCCACGACCGAGCTCCGGATTCTTGGGGGCGGCCATGTCCGGCACGCTGACTATCGTTTCGCGATAGGGCACGATTGTCTCACCCGTCTGGATTTCGCATTTGGCAAACCGTTCACGCAGATCCTTGACACACCGCTCGAGATGCAGCTCGCCCGCCGTCAGGATGACATGCTCGCCGCTGGGCAAGATCTCGTACAGCGCACAGGGGTCGCTCTGCTGCAGTAGCTGCAGCCCGTTCACCATCTTACCCAGATCGGCCGGGTTGACAGGCTCGAGCGCCACACGGACAATGGGTGGCGTCGCCAGCGATACTCCGGCCAGGTTGATACTGCCTTCTAGCTGGCTGCACAGAGTCCCCGTCTTGAGCACATGGCCCGCAAGTCCGCCGATTCCAAACACCACCCCCGCGGGGACCGATTCAAGGGGTTCCAGACTGCGTCCCATGAGCAGGTAGAGATCAGTGACCGTCACCTTTTGCGGTTCTGGACTGACGTGCGGATGCGCCGGGGAAAACTTGGGTGGCAACACGTAGATTGAGTCTCCCACGGAGAGTGTGCCGGAGTAGAGTCGGGCAAACCCGACAAGGTGCTCCGGGTCCTCCTTTTCCACCTCGGGCGTCGATTCTTCAGCTTCCAGCGTGATCCGTTCGAATGTAGATGTGATGCGGGAGAAATCGTCGCTTTGTCCACCGTTCGATTCCGCCTGCATTTTGGCAATCTCCTCTCTCTTCCGGCGAGCAATTTCCCTCGCCTCATCGGCTGTCATACCACTACCGCCACTTCGTTTCTTGCTCGACAGTAGCTCGCTTTCTGGAATAGCAACCATCTTACTGACGTACGCCACAACAGGCGCCTCAGGGCCAGTCTTGAATGTAGTCATGGAGTCTTTTACCTTCTCATCAACGTACGTAGCACCGGGCGACCCCTCGATCATGGCGGGCAAACGAGCCGCCTGCGCTGCGGGGGGGCTGGGCAGATATTCAATCACTGACACAAGAAGAGCAGTAGACAGGGGCAGCCACATGGAGAACAGTGTCGTCATGATGTTCCTCGAGTCTCGGGATCGTAGAACATATGGGGGGATCGTGAGGTTCAAAGACTTGGTGATTTTTTCCAACAGAACGGGGTCTCTGCCTTCGAGTTAGCATTTTGAATTACATAGATGTTCGGACAGACGCACCCCTTTCCCTTGCCCCCTCCGGTAGTAGCCTCATATGCTGCCCAGATGCTGTCGAGGACCAACTGAACAAACATAGGCTTGAGCGCTCTCCCCTTCAGATGCTTCTGACCCAGCACCCGCTTCGTCTTGGGGTCCAGATAATAGTCGCCCCAAAGTACCTTTTCCAAGATGGACCGCTTGATGCCCAATTTCCGCTCGTAGATTGCAGCAAACTGGCGAACTGTGAATGCCCAGCCGTCCACGGCGCTGCAGAAGATGACATTGTTCTTTTCAGGTGCAAAGTACAGGTCCTCGTCGTCGCGCTCTTCAAACTCCGCCAGGTCAACCATACTCACAGACGCAGCATCTGGGGTCGCATCTTGCCCCAGCTTCTTGGACCGGTCTTTCTCCCGCGCCGTCGAGGCCTGGACACGCTCTTCCATCCGCTCTCGCCACAGGAGATCTTCCTCCATCCGTTCCCCCTGGAAGAAACTGCCGATCACAGCGTTGACCTGTTCCAACAGTCGGCTGAGATGAGAGTAAGCCTCGCTCGGGCTCATCTTGAGCTCGGTGACCAGCCGGTCAATCTTGTTAATGACCAGGATGGGCTTCAGTTGCTCCACCCACGTCTGGCGGAGGACGGTGACGGTCTGGCTGCAGACCCCCTCCACGGCGTCCACGAGGACGACAGCCCCGTCGCAGAGACGCGACGCCGTCGACACTTCGCTGCTAAAGTCGATATGACCCGGCGAGTCAATCAGATTGATCAGATACTCCTTGGTTTCCGGGGATGCCTCGGGCGACGATCGGCGGAGCATAGAGAAATACAACGAGATCGCAGACGACTCCATTGTAATACCTCGCAGCTGCTCATCTGGCCGCGAGTCCAGGTACCGGATCTTACCCGCCAGCTTGGGCGAGATGATGCCATTTGTGGCGATCAGACTATCCGTCAACGACGTCTTGCCGTGGTCCTGGAGAAGAAGCAAATCATGTCAAAATTCATCCACGACCGAGGTTTCCAGCCTGTCTATCACTTACTACATGAGCTAATATACATATCTAAGAGACCAGTTAGCAGGCGTAGTTCGGGAGATACTCCAGGGTCCGGTGTATACTGGGTGGGATGGAGGGGTAAACTGAACCGTACATTTCGAATATCGTCGGGTTTCCGTTGCAGGCGAACCAAGTCGTCGACGTTGACAACAGGCATCTTGGCTAGATCTGGCCTTGATGGAAAAGCCAATCGATATGACCCAACTGTGAGGAGCGGGCTTGGAAGACGGGGTTGAATTCTTCAATCCCGCAAGGTGAGGGAAAAAAATTATTTGCCCGTTCGGAAGATCTATGGAAGCCCCATGGAAGGCTTTTTTACACAACGTGCTGGCCTTATTAATCCAATTTAATGAATCAGGGTAGTAGCAAGTAGATATATACGAGTACAAGACAAGCAGCAGATTCGTAGATGGATGTGTGGTATTTACTAATGCTCTCATACTGGGCTGATTTGGCAGAGTGACGTAACAGTATACCGTCCCTGGGAGGTCAGCAAAGGAACAAAATCTTCGCAGGAGCTACAGAAGAAGGGTTCTCTATCGTGATAGAGAAAAGGCGATGCCCTGGGACAAGTTCACTCGTCGTCGAATGAGAGTTTGATCTTCTTCTTCTTCTGTTTCGGCTTTCGCGCAGCGGGGACATCTGACGGTCCTTGTTCGGTATCCTTGAGGTTGTCCTCCTGGATCACTTTGGCCTGTTTTCGCTTCTTAGGGCCTCCAATATCTGCCATGGCCTGCTTATGTGTCGTCGATGTGTCCTTATTAGCACCTGTCGCGCTGTCTTTGTCGGCGGCGTCCTCTGGACGCGTTTGATCCGCCTGGTCCTTCGACTTGTCCTGGTCTTCTGTCTTCGAACTGCCCTGGACCATCATCTCGTACTCTTCCTTTGTAATAACCTCATTGGTCGCTTCATCAACATATGTCGGCTCGTCGTCGTCATCGTTCTTGTTCATCGCTAAACGAGGACGCGCTGCAGGGCGCTCCAAGCGACCGTCATTGCTTCCAAACTGGCTCTTCAACCGACGTATAAACGCAGGCTCATTGCTCTCTGTAAGAATCAGCATCTCTCTGAATTTTTGCCCAGAAAAAAAATCCCGTACCATAAGAGAGATTTTTCCCTTTGAAGGACATCGTTCAAGTTCCCAGGTCAAAACGCGTGATCAATGTTCAACGAGACAGAAACTATTCAAGTGTATCCAGAGAGACTTCGGACTTGTCAAATCCAATTAAATTATTCTGTAATCAGGGCAATTGTGAAGCTTCGATGCTAGGTTCCGACAAAGCTCAACGATGAGGACGACTGCGGCGAGAGACTACCATCGTCAGGGCAGACTTTCCTGGGCATCACATATAACTGATCTCACAAAGGGCAATTCCAATGGTAACGGTATTTCCAAATAATCTGGATCGTTGAATTACAGAACAAGTGATGAGGTGGTCCTCGTCCTACGTTAAGACTCCCTCTGATCGGCAGGCAGCTCCAATGCTTACTGTGGGCGACTAAACCCAGCCCGGCGGAAAAAGGCGCCAGGCCCTGCGGAAGCAACTTTCGTAACGAGCACTCACCTCACCCAACCTGTCGCTGCCTACACTCCCGCACCGCTCATCATGCTCTGTGCAAGTATGTTTTGATGACTCTGGAGTTCTCTTTGAAGATTCAAGCTGACAATGGATTTGTAATAGTCTCCGGAGAGGCTCCTCAGGTGCCTGTTGTCTCGAGCAAAAGTGGTACGTCAAGATCCGCGTGATGATGAGGCTGGAGGGGTTCTTGTTCTGACAATGTGTGCGTGATAGGCAGTGTGTTTGAGAAGAGATTGGTTGAGGCATATATTGCCGAGAATGGGAAGGATCCTGTGAATGGAGAGGAACTGTCGACTGACGACCTGATCGAGGTCAAGGCTCAGCGCGTCGTCCGCCCCCGGCCCCCTACCCTCACTTCGATCCCGTCGCTGCTCAGTGTGTTCCAAGAGGAATGGGACGCGTTGGCCCTGGAGACGTATACCTTACGGCAGACACTGGCGCAGACGCGGCAGGAGCTCAGCGCCGCGCTCTACCAGCATGATGCCGCGGTTCGTGTGATCGCCCGTCTGACCATGGAGAGGGACGAGGCTCGGGACGCTCTATCTAAGGTGACGGTTGGGGCTACTCGCATGGCGGGTGCAGGCGAAGCCATGCAGGTGGATGCCAGTGGCTTGCCGGAAGATGTGGTGGCCAGAATTGAGAGTACTCAAGCAACGTACGTATATCCGGGATTGAGAAGTGCATCGTGGTTTTTTTTTCCTCCTCTGGCTGGGATGGTACTGATTCAATTAGTCTTTCCAAGGGTCGTCGCAAGCGTCCGGTGCCCGAAGGCTGGGCAACAAGCGATATCATTTCCACATATCAGTCCACAGCAACATCAGAGCCCCTCTATCCCGGCTCCAAGGCACTGGCCGTGAATGCTTCCGGTGAATTGGCACTAGTCGGTGGTTCAGATGGCGTTGTTGGGGTCTATTCACTGGCCCAAAATAGTGTGGTCCAGACCTTGAAGGCTGGTGGCCCAGTCACGGATGCTGTCTGGGCAGGCGACAAGGCCGTCGTTGCGACCTCCAAAGGGGCTGTCAAGGTTTTCGAGAACGGTAGCGAAGTCGCCAGCTTCAATTCTCACGCTGGCGAAGCGGCCGCGTTGGCTGTGCATGCTACTGGCGATATTATCGCTTCTGTCGGTGTCGACAAGAGCTACGTCTTATACGACCTAACTACCGGCTCGGTGCTTACCCAGATCTTCAGTGATGCCTGTGAGAACAACCCCCCTCCCCATCCGCTGACCCTTGTCTCTTTTCCGTAACTAATGGTTTTCCAGCCCTTCTTTCTGTCAGGTTTCATCCAGATGGACATCTGATTGCCGCTGGAGGTGCTGACGGTCAGATCAAAATCTTCGAAATCAAGACTGGCGCGTCAGCTGCCAACTACAACATGTCCGGTCCCGTCAAATCCCTCTTCTTCTCCGAGAACGGTACTTTCTTGGCCGCCGTTGCTGAGAATTCGACCACTGTCTCGGTGTGGGATCTGCGCAGCTCGAAGGAAATCAAGGTTCTGGAGACAGGCAGCAAGATCAACTCCGTCTCCTGGGACTACACCGGCCAGTTTCTCCTCACCGGTGGGCCCAGCGGCCTGACCGTGCAGCAATATTCCAAGTCGTCGAAGGAGTGGTCCGAGCCCCTGCGCAGCGCCGTCCCTGCAGTGGCCGTCGCCTGGGGCACGGCAGCTCAAAGCATAGTGGCTCTAAATGGCGATGGGGCAGTGACTGTGCTGGCGGGGCAGTCGTGATGATACCTCTGAAATACCTGTATAATTCTAGGAGTCTTTGTTTGCTTTCTGATTCTATTTTTGTCGAGGGTTCCCTTCTTTTTGCGCCTTTTCTTCACTACAAAAATCATATCTAGGTGGGCACAAGTTAATCATGCATAAGACACGTATTCTCCCACCACACTCCTATCACATGGGCTCTCCTCTATTTCCCGTGGGCTGTCTCAGCGGCAAAACCCAGTCAGTCGCCCAAGCAGCCATCTTCTCCCTCTGCCCTCCCTTTTTTCGTAGCAAGCCGTCCGGGCCCTTTGGAAATTCTTCTGTCCACGATCGAACGGCTTAGGTTCCCCCTCCCTTCCATCATGGATCGTGGAAGGGCGGTATGGCATCTCCACCACCAGTGCCACCACCACCCGGAGGCCAGCTTTGGACTCGGAACCACGGCCAACGGACAGCCTCAATTACCTCACCAGCCGGCTACACCAGCGCTCTTTTCCTTTCTTCCTTTAGAGCTGCCATTTGTTCCTAGCCACGATCCATTTTTAACTGGTCCCCAGTTAGACATGAATAATGACCCTAGCATTCATGTGTCAGAGACCAGGAGAAAGGTATGAGAGCAGGCCAAAGGCGGGGCTAATAGTGAATGATGGGACTGCCAACTGCCAACCACATCAGAGATTTCCTGAAGCTTGCTGACCTCTATTTTTTCTTTGTTTCTCTGTGCAGCGTTCACACCAGGAGATGTCCCGGAACCCTCGCAGCCAAACTCCCTACCGACCATATGAGGAATCGTCCAGTAGCTTCGCCACCCGCCCGTTGGCCCTCCCTACATACCCGCCGTTGAGAGCTCACGGACACGAAGGATATGACTTTCGACGGCCAGTCATGGCGACTTCGGTGACTCCTCATGCCGAGGAAGTCATAGATCTCACGAACGAGCCGGACACGCCGCCCCAGCATGCCCGACCAGAGCGACGGGCGTCCCGTCCGTCGAGGCCCCCGCGGTTTGGGCGAAACATCATCACCGACCTGGTGGACCTTGAGGAAGATGAGCATGAAGCGGAAGGACGTCAGGACACACCCATCAATCTTGATCCTCCCAGCCCCGAGGATGTGCAGTTCGTGAGAGCCAATGTGCGGCCCCCGCCGCCGCCGCCGACGAGGAACCGGCCCTTCTCAGCGAGATCAAGCCTGAGAGACTTTCTACGGATGCGCGCGCCAGATTTCCGTGGCCTGGCTCATCTTCACCCACCACCGCCGTTGGATATGATCTGGCTGGGTGAGGAACCCAGGGACGGACTCGACAGTGCCATCAACCTTGACTTGGACGTCCCCTTCGGACTCAGCTTTCCCCCTCTGGTCAATAATCCACCACCGCGTTCTACCTACAAACCACCGAGTCCTCCCCCCCCTGGGTTCACCCGAAACGTCAAGGAGGAGGATGTTGTTGTCTGTCCGAACTGTGACGCTGAGCTTGGGGTCGGAGATGAGATCAAGGCGCAGATATGGGTTGCGAAGCCATGCGGCCATGTTCGTGATTTTTGAAACCCCTCTCCTTTTTCTTGGTTCTTTCTTCTCTGACCTTGACTCTATTTGCTTAGGTGTACTGTGGAGAATGCGCGAGGAATCGATCGTTGTCCAAGGCCAAAAAGGCCGTTACCAAGGTCAAGCCTTTCGCCAAGTGCCAGGTCGAGGACTGCGGAAAGCCAGTCAGCGCACCAAAGGCTATGTTCCAAGTTTACTTGTGAACAGTCCCGATTGGGTGGTCGACATGCATCGAGTCTTTTTTTTCCCGGCCTCAGATGGCTTCATCCCATCTTCTATTTCTTTTCTCTATTGATTTCAAC